GTTTTTTCCCGAGCCGACCCCCATCCCACCCCTCTTTCTTAGCCGCGCAAGTATCAAGTAGATCAATGTATCGTTTATGAACTACTTCCTAACCGTACGATTCACCACTTCAGCACATTTTGTCAGACACTAGACAGCACTAGTCAACAGATATTAATTTACTGACATAGTATTAGGCTATTAGGTGCATCTAATTCACAAAACAGGAAAGCTAAGATTATTTTTATATAATTATTTAGAAATTAATTAGAACGTTTAGAATTAATTGATCATTATTAATAGTCAATTACTACTTATAAATGACGTCATTGAGGTGGGGGTGTGTGAGGGTCTGGCTTTTTGTCAGTCGTTAAAAAATGTGACATCATTTGTGGATCCCCCCCCCCCCCCCCCCCCAAAAAAAAATCAGAAGGTTATCCGACACGTGAGCTGGCCACATACAGTTGTACATGTAAAAAACATTTTTCTGTCTATTATGCATTACTGTATCATTCACCCAATCGCCATGAAAACTTGGGTTTGCAATCTCAGGTCCGCCCGCTACATACCCACATACTGAATTGAACTTTCTATATTATAAGATATAAAGTAGAGGAGCGTTGAGTGAATTTTGGCTTTTAAATGTAGCGGTGGGACGGAAAAGTTTAGGAAACACTGCTAGAAAAAGAACAGTAATTTTTTAATTTCTTGTTTTATACCTTCTTTTTGATTTGTCATTGCAATCTTTCCTGAACTGTTTTTCTTAAATGAAATTTTATGATAAATATGAAAATGGAGAACAGTTAGCGACTTAAGTCCAGAGAAAGCTTTGTCTGAAACATTTTGAGCATCATCCTCGTTGATCCATAATTCCCATAAGTTGGTCAAACCTGCGAAAACTCCATCCTGTAAGCGTGTCAGGCCATTAGCATGTAATTCTAGACTAGCTAAGTTGTTTAGGTTCGCAAACAGATTATCTGGAAGCTCTGCAATGGTAATAAAATTAATTATTAGCATCTCTTTTAGTGAAAAACGCTGATCCTGGAAATATTTATCACACGTGTCAAAGCCAGTAAAGTGGGCGATATACAAGTATACCAGATAATTTAAGTTGTCGAAAACGTCACATTTGAGAGTTGCTCTACCATGGCCATCTAAAACTAACCACGTGGAACTAGATGGCAGTTTCGGACAATTATTGGAACAATCACATTCACATGACAGTCCTTTATCTTCGAAATAAGTAATACATCCATCTGGACAAGTCTCCTTTACCTCTGCATCGTGATAGGTCCAAGGTGGCTTAGATTTCGAATTATTATAAGAAATGGCAGCATTTATTCCTGGAATAATGAACATGTTCGATAAAATCAGTAACAAACTTGTTATAGTTGAAGGAAAGAAAAATCCCATTTTTCTATGCAGTAAAAACAATAAATTCGCGTATTTCCAAATGCAGTTTCTTTTCCAAACGATGGTATTGCTGTCTTGCTCACTGAATAAATACAGAAATTTATTTAAAATATACAGACCAGGATGTGTTGTGTTGAGAAGTTCTGAGTGTTTATGGAGATATAATCTATGTGTTTCTGGATCGACGTGATTTCTTCGTGTGGAGATACGATAACCATCTCGCTGTGTAGGGGAGGGATGTGTTTGTTTTCATAGTTGTGCTATTGTATATAAGGTAAAATAAGGGGGGGGTCTATACTAACTTTACATCTCTTGTTTGTAACAAGTGCACCGCGCCCAATGTATCACCAATAATAGGAGGATACGCAATTAAAACGAATTCAGAAACATTTTAACCATTCACTAATCACTGATGTCGTATGAATACTCATTGAAATACAAATAAAAAGTTAAATGCAAACTATTGCTCAGAGAGAAGAATCCAACTCTTATCAATAAATTATATATGCCGCTTCAAATGTAGGAATTTCAATCCCACTAGCAAGGAAAACCTTTAGACAATGTGGTTTATACAACATTGCGCTGTATGACCAAGCAGTGGCGTAGCGAGGTCGGGTGTCACCCGGTGCGGCACTTAATGGTGTCACCCCCCCAGAGGCATAGAGACCCTTCCCAGGGACAAACTTTCAAATTTTCGATTTGCGCCCCCCCCTCAAACTTTCGATTTGCACCCCCCCCCCCCCTCAAACTGTCGATTTGCACCCCCCCCCTCGAGTTTTTCTCTATATATTTTGCTATTTTTTGCCTTGGTGTCACCCCCCTAAATGGTGTCACCCGGTGCGGTCCGCACCCCCCGCCCCCCCCTCGCTACACCCCTGTGACCAAGATGCATTTACAAGCACTGTTTTTGAGACATTTTTCTCCGGTTGGTGGGTAGGAAGTCCCATACGCTGGAGACATATCTTCTCCCTCCCCTATTAGACACCATCCCTCCTCCATTCACCATACAATGCCACCGCTCCCACACCCACCGCTAGAATTACACTATCCTCCCCCCTCCACCATTGACATGTAATTTGGCGTTTATGTTCTCCTCTCGACGTGTGGTCTTTAGTTCAAGGGTCTAATCTATACAGAAATGTTCGGGGTTTTAAGATAATGTATATGTATACAATTTAATAATTACATTAAAATTTTCTAAAACGCGTTATAACTACTAAGAATTAGGGAAAAAAACTTCTTAGGTTAAAATGTGAAGTTGTAACTTAGGTTAAGGGGATAAGCGCGTTTTTTTTTTATATTTTTTTTTCACAATTTATGATCTAAAGCCTTTTGAATACTTTTATCATGTTTGGCACACACAAATAAGTATTAAACAGCAAAAAAAAAAGGGTAAAACAATTTTGGTTGTCATGGAAACCCAAAAAAACCTCCGCCATTTTGAATTTTTCGGTACTTTAAAAAATGCTAAGGCTTTTTTATTTATGCACCAATAGCAATCAAATTTAAACTGATTATATTTCAGTTTTTATTAAAACTTTTGTTACATATTTTTGAAATAACTATTAATACTAATAGTTTCGCTGTCTGTGTATGTATCTATCTATCTATCTGACAAGAACGCTCTAGAGAAAACACAAGGAAATTAAAAACATGCATAGTAATTCGAAAAACGAAGTATGACGCGGTCACATTTACCATAGAGTAGAAAATAATCTCAAGCCGGAGAGTGCACACAGTAATATGACGTCATTGATTCTCGAGTAAACATTGAATAAAAAGGAAATTTTGTCTAATCTAAATGGTTTGCGTGAAGAGTTTCTTGCATACAATTCTTCGGGTAGGGGCTAAGCCCCACCCCCCGCGTAAGAACGTCTGAGCCCCCCCCCCTCCCCAACTCAAAAGAAATTTCTTCATCGATACTCTATGTGGGGGGGGGGTGGGTTGGTTTTAGTTTAGAGAAAAGAGACAGCACTATCAGCCTAGCGCCCGTTGTATCCTTCCTCAACGGGACATTTTTCTCGTTAGTAAGAATTTTACAAAGTCTAAAAAAATCGTACCGTTTTTAGTATTAAAAAGTTTCAAAATTTGCATATTAATTACCAAATACTTTTTTCTGTGAAAGCAATCACAATTCCCTCGTGACAAAAGTTGTATTTTCGCATCAAGACAATTATTGACAATATGGTTGGCATTGTTTAATAAATAAAAAGTAGTAGGCTTTTAAGTGTTAAAAACCTGCGAACTGAGAAAACAGCAAAAAGTAGGTCATAAAAAAAATTCATAAAAAACGTTTTAATAACAAGCTTTTATGTAATAATGCACTAAAGAGTAGAAAATAAATTATAGACTACTATTTAAATAACTATAAAGAAAAGCGTGGGTCACTTTAGTACCGATTGGATACTTTACTAATATTTGAGAAGAGACCCATGCTTTTCTGTATAGTAATTTAAATAGTAGTCTATAATTTATTTTCTACTTTTTAGTGCATTATTACATAAAAGCTTGTTATTAAAACGTTTTTTATGAAAAAAATTTCAGTACTTTACATGTTTTATTTACAAAAGAGTTACATGACTAAAAACCATTGCGCGCCTACTGAACGTGATGGCGCAGCTATTGAACGTACCGTGATGGCGCAGCTATTGAACGTGATGACGCGTGTGGTGTGGTTGGCTAGACATGCCTACTAATTCGGTCCAAATTTTAATTAATTCATAAAAAATTAATTAGGCATCCAATTAAGTCAAATTTAATTTCAGATTGCATTGTCTTCATGTCTTGACCCACGTGTCAAATGTGAATCGTATCGGTCAAGTAGAAGTTTCCGAATTTTCACTCCTGCGTTTCGATCTAGACAGACTGACGACTGACGAGGAAGTGAGTTAAATAAAAGCTTGTAAAAATACCGTATTTGTGTAAACTGCAAAGCCGATTGTAAGCTTTCGGTGTCTCCTATATTATGGAAATTAAGATTATTATCAAATAAAGGAGAAATGCAGCTTTCCAATGATGCCAAATACAACATGATGACGGATATAAAACTTTTCATAGAGGGCTTGTGAGATAGGGAAAAAATGATTATTTTTTAATAAATAGGGTTGTAAAAATGGTAATTTAAACACACATTTTTTGTTCTCTTTAAAGTTATTATTTTCTTAATACAAAAATGCACAAAGTATTTAAAAGTGCAAGAAACCCATCATGACGAAAAATAAGAAATTGTGTGATTTTTTTTACCGCGCATATCCCCTTACAGTATGAAGTTGTGACTTAGGTTAAAATGTGAAGTTGTGATGCACAACATTCTCAATTCTTCCATCCTAGTCACAGATCGTAGCACAATTTCCGACCCCTCTTATGTATACGACGCATGTTATGGACAACGCTTTTAGTAAAACCGTAAATTCATCAAGTATCTCTGTTGATAGAAATAGCAGCCCGAAGTTCGCATGTGTGAACTTGACGCCACCACTTGCGTGTCGCTGAGATAAGCAAAGGTCGACAACTTCAAAAACAGCAAACACACTGATAACAAAACTAACACAGCTAATTCAAACCTCGGCATTCAAACAGGAAGTAGCTAACATTATCAATACAGGATTAAACTAAACACGATCATATATAAATATATATATATATATATCATACAGTGTTGGATTTCGTTTTAGATACCGGATTCTACTGAATTTCAGTTGCTTAATCATTACAAGTTCATTTATTTTTAGAAAATACAATTGTAGCGCAAGTGGTGATCATAGAGCATTCGGCCCTATGTAGGGAATTAGTGAAGAAGTTGATATTTTTTGCGCTGTGATATCAGAAAAGAGATTTAGTGAGGAAGTTGATATTTTAACGCCTGGACAAAGCAGTCAGTGTAAATAAAATGTTTGATGTTTGTTGAATAAGGAACGACAACTCAGGTAAAACTATATGACGTAAGAAATACAGACACATTTTCTTTATTTTTACGTCTACACTTAATTATATTAATTTATATTATAATAGGATTAGAATTGCAACATAAAATACTTGCCAACGCAAGTTATGATCCAACCAAAATAAAAATATAAGAGAATGTTTCAAACCAAATACGACTTATATAATGATTTTAATAAATCTATTTATAGCCCGTGGGTTATTAATAGAAGGGAGAAACGATATCTGATGTTTGTTAAGACGGCCCATGGGTCAAGTTAAGTAGAGTTCACCTGTTTCTGTAACATCGGCAAATGATTATAATCATCACTATGCCCAGTCACCCTTACTTTCCCTAACGTGAGTTGGACACTTATCAAAGCTAGGTGGACTTTGTGAGGTTCTACTGACTTGAACCAGGATTCGATATCGAGACTTTCAGGTTACCAGTCAAGAGCTCTATCGCTAGGCCACTCCGTCCCCCAAAGAATGTGTAAATCCTGCCAAACCTATATCAGATAACAACATGCCGTCTTTCTCGTTAGCTTTGCTATTCTTATCACACCGTACACTTCTTCCTCTATACTTATTAATATATATTTTGAAAGGGTGAAATATTTTGTCTAGTATTGTTCTGAATGTGCCCATGCCTGCGCCAGGTTATTTAGCGCACTAGGCGAAGCTTATTAAAACGCCACATTCCCCCGCATTATTTTAGTTTCCCCATATATATGTATATATATATATATATATATATATATATATATATATATATATATATATATATATATATATATATATATATATATATATATATATATATATATATATGGTGACAGGACAAAGGATATCAGGACAAATGATCTCAAGGACAAATGAGCTCACGGACTAAAGTTACCAGGACAAAAGATATCAGGACAAATCATATCATGGACAAATGATCTCAGACAAAATATCTCACAGAAAATTTTTAATTGTGTATTGGATTTTAGTTGATCTGAACATTTTTTTATTGACTGTCAATATGGTTTTGTTTACAATTTTACACATAATAATTGTTAGTTGTGAATAATATATATCCTATTGTTGATAATGGATATTTTAGTAGTATAGTAGGTCCCCCAAGTGGTATTATTGAGGGTGAGGGTGAGGATGAGGGTGAGGGTGAGGGTGAAGGCCACCTGTTGCATAGTTTGACCGTTATTGATTGATTTTTGCCCACCTGTTGCATAGTTTGACCGTTATTGATTGATTCTTGACCACCTGTTGCATATTTTGACTGTTTTTTGACCACTTGACCACTCATTAATCACTTGTTGATTGTTGTCTTGAGGGTTAGGTGAGGGTGATTGAGGGTGCCCACCGTCAATTGAGGGTTAGGGTCCCCATCTTTTGATCTCTGAGGGTTAGGTGAGGGTGATTGAGGGTGAGTCCCCACCCTCAATTGAGGGTGAGTCCAACTATTGATTTTTTTAGCCCGTTGTTGGGTTAGGTGAGGGTGATTGAGGGTGCCCACCCTCAATTGAGGGTTAGGGTCCCCATCTGTTGATCACTGAGGGTTAGGTGAGGGTGATTGAGGGTGAGTCCCCACCCTTAATTGAGGGTGAGTCCAACTATTGATTTTTTTTAGCCCGTTGTTGATTGTTCATTAACCAACTGTTGATTGTTTTATTGAGGGTTAGGGTGAGGGTGATTGAGTGACCAACTGTCCACTTGTTGACCACTTGACCAGTTATTGGTTGTTGACCAGTTGCCCATTTGTTGGTTGTTTTTTTTTTTGTTTTTTTTTTATTGACCTGGACGACAGTAAAATATTATTTCCCCACCCCAGTGGGGGTGTGGGGACCACTTGGATTTAAATTTTTGTCTTATTTACACCTTTTGTACTAAATATAGTTTAGTAGAAATAGGTCATGACCTCATGACGGAGCAGGTGCTGTCTTTTGAGCATGTCCTTTTGTGTTTGACGCGACTCGCGCGCTTTGTCTACCCCGACCCAATCGTTATGGCTTATTGTTAGGCTAGGTTTATTGAATAGGGCTGGTCTTGTCTGACCCCAGTTGTTAGTGTTTTTTAAAAACATTGATATTTTTTTCTAAAATAGTGACCAGGGTCAGACATCAAAGAGTATATTAATCAATTATTGTTAACAATTTAAAAAGTAATTTAGGATACCAATGGTTTCACAGAAATTACCCTTGATTATGTTTTTGTTTTAGTTTCAAAGTCGGTTATGTTTCAAAGCTCAAGTTTTGTAAATTTCTTTTGAAACTATGTTGTAATCACTACGTTTTCATTGTTTCATTTATTTATTTTTTTTTCACCACCTTTTAATTTTAAGGTTCTATAATTCTACCATATTGACTTCCACTTAAAATATATGTTTAAATACATTTTGTTTATATTTTTATAATTTTCTAAAAAAATATTAATATAGAAGCTAAACAAATAAAATTTTGTTTCTGTGACCTCGGCCTATGAAGAGCTAGTGTGTTCATCACTATACGCACCCGGCTTTATTTTCCCTAACGTTAGTTAGGAACCCATCAGTACTCAGAGAACTTCTATTGAATTGGACCTGAATTCTACTCTTCCCTGTCTATAGAATGGTACTTCTGTGACAGTGGCGAGGGAGTGGGGTGGTTCACCCCTAAACTAATCCACGACCACAACGATGCATCTTTCATCTTTTTATAGTTTTTAATTGTCACCCTTTAAACATTCTCAAGTACGAGAACTCAGCGACTTACATTATCATAGCGACAATGGAACGGTGTAGCCCCGTGCGTTTATTGTTTACATTTAAAAATGTGTGACGCGTGCGCTGCTCGCGTCTTCCCTAATAAATAGAGCAACGAAGGTAGAATCCGATGTTCTATAATTAGAACAGTCTTGTTTACATTTAAAAAATAGCTTCACATAAATTTAGGATCCCAATTGTTTAACTGAGGACTGATACGGATTTACAATAGTGATACTTCTTTTTGGCTTGAACTTTTTTAATTTAAGAAGGTTTACTTATACATAATACAATACGTCTAAATACAATTTTATTTTTGCAAGTTATTTTATTTTGTTTTTTCTATATCTTGCATTATCATCTGAATTTTTGACCAGCTTAGTAAAATTTGCTTTAGACTATAAATTAAAAGTTTAAAAACGTTATAGTAGTTCGTGTCAAATGAGACAGCGTTTAAAATGCGTACATTTAAATTTCACCAAAATAACGACGTAAATAAAAACTAAATACGGTATGCCTTTAGCATACATATCCTTCAATCAAATCACTTTTAAGTACAAATCAATAATTTTGATTGATTGATTAATGATCTTGGCGAGTTATTTTTATCCGTCATTTACAAACATCAAATAGGGTAATCTGACACAAGACGAGCTTTTAGTACTTTGTTGAAATTAATTCAAGGGAGAAAACCCTAAAAATATTTACTAATGTACCGCTGGTGTAATCTTTACAAGCTTGCAAAACATACCCGCGTCATTCACTCTAGCATTTTTAAGTCTCACAATCGCGCGCGCCCAAATTCCATTGAATACCGCGAAGACAATACCCATTGTATGGGTAGCTGAGCGGCGGACAATAGGCTTTGAAAACCCCAACGCGCAGGTATCTTTTCCGCGGAGCAAGCGTGAAATTAGATTTTTGATTTTATGTCTCAATCAGGGTGGCGCGATTTTTTTTTCTTTGTATCCGTGTTGTAAACAAAAAGGATGAGGAGAAAGGGCAATGACCTACCCTCCCACCCGTGTGTTCCATGATGGCAAACACAATTCTAAATGTGTATTTGTTAGGTTTTAGGAGCGAAATATTTTATACTTGTTTCTTCCTTGTGACGGTATTAGCAGGGGAGACGATTTGCTCACAACATTAGCGACGCGTACATGTAAAGGGTATTAATTAGTTTACGCAGCGACTTATCTTACTTGTTCGGTAAAGGGAGAGAACGCAAGGGATAAATTAGCATGCCACCTATAAAGGCGTCTGTCGTTTTCTTTGCATAAAAGAGTTTTTTTTTTTTTTTTTTAAACCGTGTCACCATCCCATTGTCACTTTCGCAGCTGCTTTTATTTTTTGCTCGAAGAAATTTATTTTTTAACTTCACGTTGAGTCATTTTTTTTTTTTAGTTTTTTTTTTTTAAACGCGTATTTGTTACGTTTTAGTAGCGAGATATCGTCTACTCGTGTCTTCCTTGTGACGTCATTAGCAGGGGAGACGATTCGTTTCCGCGGAGCGAGTCGTACGTCATTTATAGACATCAAATAGGCTAATCTAACACAAGGCGAGCTTTTAGAACTTTGTTGAAATTAATTCAAGGGAGAAATCCCTAAAAATATTTACTAATGTACCGCTGGTGTAATCTTTACAACCTTGAAAACATACCTGCGTCATTCACTCTAGCATTTTTAAGTGTCACAATGGCGCGCGCCCAAATTCCATTGTATGCCGTGAGCACAATACCCATTGTATGGGTAGCTGAGCCTAGGACAATGAAATAAACAGACTGTGTCGGAAAAATACTTCCACACAACACCCTTCTCTCTCGAAGACAATTTATTTTTAACTTCACGTTGAGTAATTTTTTATTTTTTTTTAAATGTGTTTTTGGTACGTTTTAGTAGCGAGATAGCGTCTATTCGTTTCTTCCTTGCGATGTCATTAGCAGGGGAGACGATTCGTCTTTTACAGTGAGCTAGACCATATCTTTTTCAAGTGCAACGTACGCGAAATAAAGACACTAGCTTTTGTATTTTATATCGCAAGCAGGTGACGGGATATTTATACATCTGCTTGAGCGTTATCGGCAAAACTTGTTTTAAACATTATTAATACGCTAAAATTTTAAAATATTATTGTTTCATACACTGATCTCAAGATAGAGTTTTTAATCAGATCTATTATTAACAAATATTGTCATTTTAACACACTTTGTAACCATCAAGTTGAATCAACCACACCTGATGTTACCACTCGTAAAGTCAAGTCTTCAAGACAAAACACTGATACTAAACTAGACATTAAACTGAATTTTTAAATGTAAACAATAAACGCACGGGGCAACACCGTTCCATTGTCGCTATGATAATGTAAGTCACTGAGTTCTCGTACTTGAGAATGTTTAAAGGGTGACAATTAAAAACTATAAAAAGATGAAAGATGCATCGTTGTGGTCGTGGATTAGTTTAGGGGTGAACCACCCCACTCCCTCCCCACTGTCACAGAAGTACCATTCTATAGACAGGGAAGAGTAGAATTCAGGTCCAATTCAATAGAAGTTCTCTGAGTACTGATGGGTTCCTAACTAACGTTAGGGAAAATAAAGCCGGGTGCGTATAGTGATGAACACACTAGCTCTTCATAGGCCGAGGTCACAGAAACAAAATTTTATTTGTTTAGCTTCTATATTAATATTTTTTTAGAAAATTATAAAAATATAAACAAAATGTATTTAAACATATATTTTAAGTGGAAGTCAATATGGTAGAATTATAGAACCTTAAAATTAAAAGGTGGTGAAAAAAAAAATAAATAAATAAATGAAACAATGAAAACGTAGTGATTACAACATAGTCTCAAAAGAAATTTACAAAACTTGAGCTTTGAAACATAACCGACTTTGAAACTAAAACAAAAACATAATCAAGGGTAATTTCTGTGAAACCATTGGTATCCTAAATTACTTTTTAAATTGTTAACAATAATTGATTAATATACTCTTTGATGTCTGACCCTGGTCACTATTTTAGAAAAAAATATCAATGTTTTTAAAAAACACTAACAACTGGGGTCAGACAAGACCAGCCCTATTCAATAAACCTAGCCTAACAATAAGCCATAACGATTGGGTCGGGGTAGACAAAGCGCGCGAGTCGCGTCAAACACAAAAGGACATGCTCACACAGACAGCACCTGCTCCGTCATGAGGTCATGACCTATTTCTACTAAACTATATTTAGTACAAAAGGTGTAAATAAGACAAAAATTTAAATCCAAGTGGTCCCCACACCCCCACTGGGGTGGGGAAATAATATTTTACTATATACTGTTAAAGCTGGACTGTCGTCCAGGTCAATAAAAAAAAAAGCAAAAAAAAAACAACCAACAAATGGGCAACTGGTCAACAACCAATAACTGGTCAAGTGGTCAACAAGTGGACAGTTGGTCACTCAATCACCCTCACCCTAACCCTCAATAAAACAATCAACAGTTGGTTAATGAACAATCAACAACGGGCTAAAAAAAATCAATAGTTGGACTCACCCTCAATTGAGGGTGGGGACTCATCCCCAATCACCCTCACCTAACCCTCAGAGATCAAAAGATGGGGACCCTAACCCTCAATTGAGGGTGGGCACCCTCAATCACCCTCACCTAACCCTCAAGACAACAATCAACAAGTGATTAATGAGTGGTCAAGTGGTCAAAAAACAGTCAAAATATGCAACAGGTGGTCAAGAATCAATCAATAACGGTCAAACTATGCAACAGGTGGGCAAAAATCAATCAATAACGGTCAAACTATGCAACAGGTGGCCTTCACCCTCACCCTCACCCTCATCCTCACCCTCACCCTCAATAATACCACTTGGGGGACCTACTATACTACTTATTTTATAAAGGAAGCCAGATAGAATAATATGTCCTAATTGTTTAAGCCTCCCTTTCTAAGACTGTATACCCATATCCAGGATATGTAGAAGAATTCTACCTGTGCCAAAAATTAATTTAGGTTAATAATCTAAATTTCTCCCTAGCTTACGAGATCTCTAATTAAACGTGAGAGAAAACGAGATTTACAAGCCCTATTAAAAATCAAAATTCCATGCGCGATGGAGCGATCACTAAGTCAACATTAGAATGAGTTAATCATCTGAAATTGTCGAAATTAAAAGATTTAGATTATATACAATAAAAATCTCATTATTTTAGCAGGGGCGTAGCTAGAGGAAGGCGTGTGGGGCGGCCCTTAAAGGCGCCGAACCAAAGGGAGCGCCAATGTAGAAGACATAATATAAAAAGCTCGTTACTAAATTGTATACAGTCAAAATAAAAATTGTTGACTACTACTTTGCATTATGGACTTACTTGTTTTCTATATCATTTGTGGAACACCAAAGTAAAAAGACAAAATGACTGGTAAAAAGCGCCCCGTCCTGTCCAAATTAGGGAAGGGGGGGGCGCATTTTCACCAGCGCGAATAACTATTTATAGGCCTAATTTAAAGAGGTGGCCCCAAATTCATAGTTCGTCCTGGGCACCGAAATAGATCACAACGCAAAGTTATTAGGTACTTTTTCATAATGGCGATTACATATTTTTGCGCCCCCGTATGGGTTGCGCTCTAGGCGACTGCCTAGTTTGCCTTATAGGTAGCGCCGGCACTGTATAGGCCCTAAATTCTTTTCATGTAAGCTTTTTTAAAAATGAGTCATTATATTTTCCGTTTTGTTCTGCCAATTAAGTTTCTGATTTACCGGTTACTGATATCAGCTTACAACAATTTTTACACAAACATGAACACTTTGATCAAAAAAAGGATGATTTATTACGACACTTCCTATTGTGTGATTTTCTTTGCATAAAAATAATAATTTAATTCATGTAAACAAACACGGATTACACAATTTTTTTTTACAGTTTTTTCATTCACTACAATAGTTTATCTTTATTAAACAAAGACTCACATGTTTAACGTATTTGATTCATGTTTTATAATAGTTAAAACTATTCTTAAATAAACTGAATTATATATTTTTCCACAGAAACGTTTTTACTCATATAGATTAGGATGTCACCTATACAGCAGCTGTGTTTGTGTGTTGTGTTTCTCGTGGGAGTCTTTACCTTGTCTGGTAATTTGGCTTTTCTATTTCCTTTATTAAAATAAAGTTCCCTTTCTGACTGTGTACGGGCAAGTGAAGTAGAGTTCACTTGTTTCTGTGACCTCGGCAAATGAAGGGATAGTGTAGTCAGCACTATGCCCAGCCGCCTTTACTTTTCCCTAACATGAGTTAGGTACCCATCAGAGCTAGGTTGACTCAGGGCCGGTCTACTGAACTGAACTTGAATTCGAACTTGAGACTTACGGATTAAAGTCAGGCTCTATACCGCTAAGACACTCAGTTCCTTTAATGCTATTAAAAAATTCATGTTTTAAACATTTTTATTTTAGCTTCCTTTAGATCAGGGTGTGAAAAAAGTCTTTAAGCAAAACAAGAAAAAGATGTTTAATCACAGATTACAATAAGTGCTATCTAATATGAGAACAAAAACATAATTACTTTTACTTTGTAATAGAAACGTCTGTATCTTCGTTATTAATCCCCTACAACCCATTTTAAGGATTACGTGTCATCTTATATAAAGCGACACATATACTGTTGACTCGATTTCAGCCTTCTTTTCGTTCTGGATTTGCTTCCATAGCCTTTGTCCATCTAAGAACAAACAAAAAGCAGCAGTTGTTTAATTTTCGAGTTGTATTTATTTATTTATATATATTTTTTAATTTTTTTTTATATTCAGCATCCATCGTTGCGTGTGTTTTGGTATTATAGAAACCTTCAAACACAACATTTTCATGAGAAAAACAATTATTCTCAAACAAAATGCAATCCCCAGAATCCAACATGTGCTACAAATGTGCTACCAGTATCCACTCACCAGAATCCATCATATGCTACCAATGTGCTACCTATATCCACTCCCTAGAATCCATCATGTGCTACCAATATCCACTCCCCAGAATCCATCATGTGCTACCAATGTGCTACCTATATCCACTCCCTAGAATCCATCATGTGCTACCTATATCCACTCCCCAGAATCCATCATATGCTACCAATATCCACTCCCCAGAATCCATCATGTGCTACCAATGTGCTACCAATATCCACTCCCCAGAATCCATCATGTGCTACCAATGTACTACCTATATCCACTCCCCAGAATCCATCATGTGCTACCAATATCCACTCCCCAGAATCAATCATGTGCTACCAATGTGCTACCTATATCCACTCCCCAGAATTCATCATGTGCTACCAATATCCACTCCCTAGAATACATCATGTGCTACCAATGTGCTACCTATATCCACTCCCTAGAATCCATCATGTGCTACCTATATCCACTCCCCAGAATCCATCATATGCTACCAATATCCACTCCCCAGAATCCATCATGTGCTACCAATGTGCTACCAATATCCACTCCCCAGAATCCATCATATGCTACCAATGTACTACCTATATCCACTCCCCAGAATCCATCATGTGCTACCAATATCCACTCCCCAGAATCCATCATGTGCTACCAATGTGCTACCTATATCCACTCCCTAGAATCCATCATGTGCTACCTATATCCACTCCCCAGAATCCATCATGTGCTACCAATATCCACTCCCCAGAATCCATCATGTGCTACCAATATCCACTCCCCAGAATCCATCATGTGCTACCTATATCCACTCCCCAGAATCCATCATGTGCTACCAATATGCTACCTATATCCACTCCCTAGAATCCATCATGTGCTACCAATATCCACTCCCCTGAATCCATCATGTGCTACCAATGTGCTACCTATATCCACTCCCTAGAATCCATCATGTGCTACCTATATCCACTCCCCAGAATCCATCACGTGCTACCAATATCCACTCCCCAGAATCCATCATGTGCTACCAATGTGCTACCTATATCCACTCCCTAGAATCCATCATGTGCTACCTATATCCACTCCCCAGAATCCATCATGTGCTACCAATATCCACTCCCCAGAATCCATCATGTGCTACCAATATCCACTCCCCAGAATCCATCATGTGCTACCTATATCCACTCCCCAGAATCCATCATGTGCTACCAATATGCTACCTATATCCAATCCCTAGAATCCATCATGTGCTACCAATATCCACTCCCCTGAATCCATCATGTGCTACCAATGTGCTACCTATATCCACTCCCTAGAATCCATCATGTGCTACCTATATCCACTCCCCAGAATCCATCATGTGCTACCAATGTGCTACCTATATCCACTCCCCTAGAATTCATCATGTGCTACCAATATCCACTCCCCAGAATTCATCATGTGCTACCAATATCCACTCCCTAGAATACATCATGTGCTACCAATGTGCTACCTATATCCACTCCCTAGAATCCATCATGTGCTACCTATATCCACTCCCCAGAATCCATCATATGCTACCAATATCCACTCCCCAGAATCCATCATGTGCTACCAATGTGCTACCAATATCCACTCCCCAGAATCCATCATGTGCTACCAATGTACTACCTATATCCACTCCCCAGAATCCATCATGTGCTACCAATATCCACTCCCCAGAATCCATCATGTGCTACCAATATCCACTCCCCAGAATCCATCATGTGCTACCAATATCCACTCCCCAGAATTCATCATGTGCTACCAATATCCACTCCCCAGAATCCATCATGTGCTACCAATGTGCTACCACTGACATGTCATCCGGCTGTGTCACTGACATTGAGGGTCTCATCAACGTTACCGCGGGTAACGAGAGCAGCTACCAGTACGCCAAGAACTGCACGGATTCGAACCCGGAGTGGGACCGTTGTATGATAGAAACCTGGGAGACTGGAGGTAGAGACCGCTAGTACATCTGATTGATGAAAAATCATTTGACTTACACTAGTATAACTGACTAACCCTTGATACCTTCATATATATAAGACTACCACCCCCCCCCCCCACGAATTACATGGATTTTATATAGAAATCAAATACTGTTACTGTTACCGCCCCCCCCCCTGAAAATATTAAGTGCCCCCCCCCCCCCTCCCCGGAGAAAAAAGTCTTGAAAAAAACTGTCTGGCGCTAAAACCTTTTATCGACGCTATAACAAATGACTGACGTAACAACATATTATCGAGAATATAGCATAACTGACATTTACAACATATAATTGATATTTATAACTGACGTAACATATAATTGGCCTACGTTTTACCCATAAAACCACCAACACACTCATACGTTTCAACTTTCCAGGCAAACGGACCGTCTTCAACCGCGACTGCACCAGTCGTAACGGCTTCATCATCGTCGACGAGGGCCATAAGTTCTACAACCTGCCCGCCAACAACTACACCACCTGTGAGTGGGTCTCCACCGTCAACCACTACATCTGCTACACCCTCTGTAAGGAGGACTTCTGCAACGGCCCCCAGCCGCCCAAGAAGTCAGACTGTCCGGAGAGAAATAGGAGTACAAGTTCTGATGACTACTATGACTATGATGTAGATGATCCTTGCGGTGGTCCTAACACTGTGTATTTATCCAAGGAAACCATTTGGTTCGCGAGTTTGGTTGCCATATTCTTTAGTTTGTTAGCGTCATTTTAAATGTCCCTGCTGTTACGATTATAAGCGCAGATTCTGATCAATACAGATTCATGCACTTCTGAGAATAATCATTAGCGTTTCATTAAAAACCAGAGTTTCTTTCAGGCATCACTTCTGGGGTCTAGTGCCCCCTCCTCCACCCAAAGCAAGCCTACCGCCGCCAATCTTCTTCCCCCTCCCTTCACGTTCAGACGAAATAGAATAAAATATATAAGTCATATTGAAAAAAGATTGCTTTATCCCATCCCCACCAATATTTAAATCGCCCACTCCGTGATTGAAAACTCATAGTGCGCCCCCACCCCCACCCCTTCTGTAGAAAAATTGTTGAACGAAACAATGAATAAAAACACAAGACTGCTTTCAAGTTAGTTTCGAGACGCTATCCTTATAAGCTGGATTTTAAATGTGAGGGAGGTTCATGGCTGTGGATTCTGGGATTGAGGAGTCAGGGGGGCGGGGGGTGGGGGGGGGGGGGGTATAGTATTATATGTTCTGATCTCAAGTGATCATTCTTGACTGACATTCACAGTTCAACAAATAAAAACATTACGACAGGGGGCGCTACTCTAACAATGTTACCGCACATGGTCATCTCCCCTGTTTGTTTTGTCACACTAAGTGTAGCATGTAGCGCGCCCTGTGGTACTGATAGGATGTTCTCTTTACCTTGATTGTAGTCCTAAGTCAGGGGTCGGCAACCTTTTGAAGCGGAAGAGCCAAATGTTACAATTTTCAAAATTTCCCTGGTTTTAAAGAGCCACTAACATTTTTTTATTTCAAATATTTTATTTTTTTATTAAGATTATTAGTATTTGTGCAAAGAGCTGGAGAGCCGCATCTTGATATCAAAAGAGCCGCATGTCCTTAGTCATTCAGTGTAAAAAATGTTTATACCTAGACTGAGATCTGTATTTTCATTCAGGGTCTTCGTTTAGTCAAAACGTTGAGACAAAAATTCCCAGCACCATCAGACTAACAAGAAAAGTCATAATTTATTACATAAAAATGAAATAGACTTGTTTTTACACAATTTAGTATTAATTAAAAGATGTAATTTGTTTTTAAATTCCTTTTTTATGGTATTTGATGTATTAAATTTGTTTCATATTGGTTATTTTTTTGTTCTAAGGAAAATAAAATAAATGTATACGACTGTTTGTTAGTGAGTTTGTTATCATATTTTTATCTTATGCGCTGACAACGTGCACTCGGTTTGTATTTATTACAACCTCAACAGGCCTCAAGAGAAAGAATTGCACTCTTAGCTAGTTCATTGTTCTGGCAATGTACATCACGTTTGTTTTCATTTTAACCTTAGCAGGCCTCATGAGAAAAAAAATGCCCCAACTCTTAACTTGATTGAAGTGTTAATGGTAGTTGTTTTTATTATCTTGAAAGTAAACATTTCTGTGGATTTGTCTTTGTAATGTACATTGCAGCTTTGAATTTTTCCAATGAAGATTTACGAGGGTACATATTATTGAGTGAGTTGTGTATTATACTTTAAAGCAAGAAAAATGCGAGCGGGTGAATGGATATTTTTTTTTGTATTATTTTATTGTGTGCAAATCTGTGCGTGAATAGTCCACTGGACAGTAGGATGTAGATCGGGTCAGTTTCTGTGTGGGCACCTCGTGCTTGAAGGTATTTGTTTTTTATTTTACTTTTACATGTGTGATTGGTATGAAAGCGACCGCCGATGTTTCTCGTTTTCTTTCTTTTTCATCTAAAACGAGATAGTGGGCAACAGCAGGTCTGATACTCAAGTGGTGTGTTCTTTGTGTTGGTTTAAAATGTATTTTTGTATTTCCTATACCCTTGGCGTGTTTTTGGACCACGTGATTTAGATTGATGTTTAGGTGGGTTTCCTAAACTGTCGCGTATGTGTGTGTATGTAATTTACTTGATTATTTTACTTTATTATTATGTGTATATATTTTACATGCATTTTATTTGTTTTGTTTACCCCCCCCCCCCCCCCAGGGCTTACATAAGGATGTAGGACTGGACCAAAAGTCACAGCTTCCTCGATACAGAACCCATCCAGCATTTAACCGTGACTGGCTCATGTCAAGAAAAAAGCAAGACAGCTAGGCATATTCAACGTATACACAATCTCTTAAAGGCCTAGGTAGGGGAAAGTTCAACTCTACTTGAACTGTTGAAATGGACCGTAATGTCCATAAATATATAACTTTACAATATGGGTTAGAGTTAGGCTTTTCATAAAACTTCATGTGTTAAGAGAACCGTTGACCATTTAAGAACAGAACAGATAAGCTATGTAGTGTGTACATGAGTGATTAACCCATATATAAACATCGCATGCATGATGTTATTCTTTTCAAAGAAAATTGAAAAAAAAAAAATATTTTTTAAATATTTTATTTAGAAGTCAATTTTGAGATTTCAACAACATACTTTTCGAGACTTGAAATTATTTTAAATTTTTTTTTAACACAAAAGTGTTTTGTTTTCATTTCATGTAGTATGGAGTAGATCTACTTCCGTGAGATATTTTCATTTAAATCTGCAGCACTGTAAATACTCCAAACACAGCAGTTTGTCACACCCTCCACGGTACAGACCAACAACGAAGTAACCATCGTTACAGCGGCACAAGCCCTCTTGGTCTAAACACTGAACAACATCCTGTGTGTAGCAGTGACCGTTTTCATCAGGGTGGTTTCTGGGTTTAGCGCAATGTCCGTATTCAATGTTATGGAGTCCTGATGGACGTACAGACGCGACAGTCCTGTACAGCCCGTAAAGATAATAACCCATAGGACAAAATGCCCAGCCTTGGTAATCAAGAGTTATCCCCCAGTTCGCGGTTACTTTCACCAAGTCGTTGCCTTCCCATGGCGAAGTCGGATAGCAGCATTCAGCTCCTTCCAGGTGATATATATCATCGGTATCATCACTGCTGCTCCTATAGAAGCCGTTGATAAAGTAACCAGGGTTGGTGCATTGTGACGTACCTTCCACGTCAAAGCTATACCCCCAGTCGGACTTGCTGCAGCCAGATTTGACGCCAAGTACGTACGTGAAGACGATCAGCGACAGCAACACACGCGACATGACTGAAAATAAAAGAATTAATTGATTCAATTAGCGATAGGCATATTAATGTTCTATACATCATTATCATCTGTTCCAATTTTTTCGCAAGACACATTGGGCAGACTACGTAGAGTTCTTCTCTTTAAATGACCACGACATAAGGGAGGAAAGTGTAGTCATCGCTATACGCCTTTGTTTCCCTAACGTGAGTCAGGTACACATTAGAGTTGGGTGGACTCAGAAACACTCTTCAGACTTGACACCGGGTTAGCAGTCGTAAATTCTACCATCTGACTACACTTACAATACTTAAAAAATGTGAAATATATTTCAAATTCTGATGTCAGAATATCGTTTAGAAATGGAGAGCAACCCCCCTTCAATATGTTGACGGAGATTGTGTAAAAAATATTTCCCCCAAATGATTTCCTGGCCGAGAAGACAGCGCACTCGATAACATGTCGACTGGCGTGGGTACGAAACTCCGGTGAATACTTCAAATTCATTGAAATAATTATTTTGACGTTAGCTTTCATAATTCATTCATTTTCTATTCACATGAGGTTTGAGCACAGTAAATACAATAGAGTGAAACTGATGTTTTTACAAGACAAAACTTGTTGAGGTGTGATTTCTTTTCAGACGTGTGTAGTAAGGTTGCCATGATGAAAGCCGGACGTTTTCCAGACACTTGCCGGATGCCCGAAGGCCGATTTCCAGAACGGACACTCTCATTACACTACATAAAGGCCTAAAATTAGTCAGTAGTGAAACAACAAAATTAACAAAGAAAGGCTTAAGATTAGTCAGTAGTGAAACAACAAAATTAACAAAGAAAGGCTTAAGATTAGTCGGTAGTGAAACAACAAAATTAACAAAGATGGGTCTAAGATTAGTCAGTAGTGAAACAACAAAATTAACAAAGACTGGCATAAGATTAGTCGATAGTGTAACAACAAAATTAACAAAGAAAGGATAAGATTAGTTAGTAGTGAAACAACAAAATTAACAAAGACTATCATAAGATTAGTCGATAGTGTAACAACAAAATTAACAAAAATAGGCATGAGATTAGTCGATAGTGTAACAAAAAAATTAACAAAAATAGGCATGAGATTAGTCAGTAGTGAAACAACAAAATCAAAAAGATGGGCCTACGATTAGTCAGTAGTGAAACAACAAAAATCAACATTATATTATACACAAAGAAAGGCATAAGACTAGTCAGTAATAAAACAAAGAGATTTACTTTACCTAACGTGTAATGTAGCTTGCTCGCTCAGCTTTCTGTAACCCACAATGACTCTCGTCTACCAAGTCAACACGTTAATTTAATATTGATATTCTTTTAATTAAACGTGTAAGCTACCATCAATCTTATTTTAATTAAGTAGTTAATTTTATACAAGCCGAGAAGGAGTGGGGGTAAATGGTGGGTCGTTTGGGTTCAACTGAACAAAACAACATCGTAAATAAGCGACCTCACTTATCGACTACTCACTAATTAATTTATGTAAATTGGCTATCGTGAAGTGTTGCGAAATTTAAAGGCTTGAAGAAAAGGTAACTGCTGTACAATAAAGATTAATTGTTAGTAAAATGTTGGTAAATTATCACTGAGTTTTAGATAGATGATTATTTATATGTAAAATGAAACAGATGAATGTAAATAAAACATGAACTTTTTTAGTCACACAACAAGTAGATTCATTAAACTAAATAAACCGGGAATGATCTCCCCTAAACTTTCTCGAATATTCTTATATAAAACAACAGGGGATGGCAACTCTGGATATAGACATGACTTTTAATCTATTTTTAATTATTTAAACTTTTTAAATAGAATAGAATCTCGTAGAAAAAAGAATTGAACACCAAGTGAATGCAAAACAAAATGTGCATAATAGTACGGGATATTATTAGTACTTTATAAATTCACATGAGTTTTTTGAGAAATTGGAAATAGCGTAAATTTCTACTTCCGGTCAACGGAAATTACTCAAGGCAGAGAATTAGATCTTTTACTTACATGTGAAATTTCATTTATCTATCTGAAATAGTACTCAAGTTATAGGCTTTTGAAAATTTGAAAGTAGAAAAAGTTCCACTTCCGGTTATCGGAAATCGCTCAAAAGTTGATACGGATCTACAAATTGGATATAATACTTATAAATGAAATTTCATCAACCTAGCTGTAACGGTACTCAAGTTATCGCGTTTACAGAAACACATACATACACACACACACAGAGACATACGGACAAGATTGCTAAATATGTTTTTCCGACTCAGGGAGGTGTAACGCCGTGAGATTTGAAAAAATCTCGATTATTTTTTTTGCACGATTATAATATTTTCTCTATACTCTGTACAGTAAAAAGTATTGTATCGTATTTTAAGGCTGGTAATCGATAACGTGTGTGTTGTTTCATAGGTCGTCACTTGCTATTGTCAATGTCTCACTAAGTTAAAAAGGTAGTATAGGGTGACCTTTGCTGTGCCATTAGTATCCTTCTGATGAGTTTTCTCTATTTCTTTCGGGCATCTAGTTGGAAAAAAATAGCCTATAGAGAAATTATATTTAAAAATATACTTCAACCAGTGCCCCCACTCCCTGGAAATTAAACAACGCACATCCTCCCTCCCAAAAAAAAGTTTCAAGTGCCCCCACCCTACCCCAAGCATTCCTCGGTGCTTTTCTGAGGTCGAACCAGTGCTCACTTTGAGGGTAAATTAATTCAGGAACGGTGGCGTCACTGGGTCGTGCGTAAACATCAGAGTATCTTCCAGGTATCTCTACCGCCCTCCCCCCGAACGAGATGGATTGTATATAATAAACATACGTTTTTACTAGTGTCCGCCCCCTCCCTCCACCAAAATGTTCACCCACCCACCCCCGAAAATATCAAGTGCGCCACCCCCCCCCCCCCCCGGAGAAAAAAGTCTGGAAGAAACACTGGTCAACATTTACATCTGGATGAATAGTCGCTAGTCTGATGGGAGGTATCTTGTACGTAGGAAGTTAGTGTTAAAGGGTATAATAATCCCTCCCCCCCCCCCCAGGGACCCCCAAAGGAGGGGATTTATTTAATTTTAAATATACAGTTCCTAATGATCGTACGTTCGCGTCGCTTGATATCGACGTTGTCAAAAAAGTTATTGTCAAGAAAATAACAATTATATAAATGCATAATATATACCTATATATGGCCATATATACATATACATACACATACACACACACACATATATATATATATATATATATATATATATATATATATATATATATATATATATATATATATATATATATATATATATGTATATATAAAATTATATATATATATATATATATATATATATATATATATATATATATATATATATATATATATATATATATATATATATATATATATATATATTTATATATATATATATATGTGTGTGTATATTATATATAGCCAAGCTGAGTTAGACATGATTTGATACACTTTGTATCATGATAACGCTCTGAGTTTTACGATGTATTTAATAACTCGACTGGAAAAGGGATGTATTTCTCAGTGACTGTCACAGTTGTTGGTTTTCATGCCACGCCCCACTTGTTTCATTTACTGCGTCCAGAATCCTGCGCCCCCAACCCCGTCCTCACCACTTATCGCTACCTCCTTCAATGTTAATTTAGGGTTTGTGATAAAACGAATGGTATTTTTACAACTTAATATTATTAAGTACGAGAAAAATGGCCCGTTGAGGAAGGATACACCGGGCGCTAGGTTGATAGTGCTGTCTATTTTCTCTAAACTAAAACCACCCCATCCCTCCCCCCACCCCCACCCCCCCACCCCCCCCCCCCCCACACACCAACACCCCCCCCCCACACCAACACCCCCCCACACACCAACACCCCCCCCCCACACACCAACACCCCCAACCCCCACCCCCCACATACCAACACCCCCCCCCCACACACACACACCAACACCCCCCACCCTCACCCCCCACCCTCACCCCCCACCCTCACCCCCCACCCCCCACACACCAACACCCCCACCCCCCCACACACACCAACACCCCCCACCCCACACACACCAACACCCCCCCCCTCACCCCCCCCCCCCCCCCCCCCCCCCACCCCCCAAAAAAAACATGTCTACCGTCCCATTCAACGAAATATAATTATATACTTTTTCCAGTGTCCGCCCCCTCCCCGAAAATTCTACCCCCGCCCCCGAAAATTTCAAGTACCCCCCACCCCTCTCCGGGGAGGAAAAAGTCTGAAAGAAACACTGGTGTCGCGCTTAGCCACTACCCGAAGAATTGCATTAATTATTTTTAAGTTTGGCCCAAGAAAACAAAAAGAAAAAATTCGTTTTGCGCCGCAAAACTAAAAAACGGAAACTTCCGATGCAAGTATGAACACGGAAATGTAAACAAAATTGTCTTGAACACCGAAATGTAAACAGAATAAAATTGTAAGGCAAGCTCGGCTGGCTTTAATTTTATGTTTATATTTTTCTTTTCACTTTTTTGATTGTCGGATTTCAAACCTTTAGGGAAACGTTGGTCCATTTTTCACGTCATGTGTTGTTTCATCAACAACCAAATTTATTCTGGTGCTTAGTTCGCCTGAATGTATTTTTATTGTCAGTACCAAATTCGTTCACTGTTCCTTTTATTGGCAAGTTGTTTTTAAACAATGTGATTGTAATGTCGATCTAGATCTAAAAACCTTTAGGCAATTGCTTAATCTGGAGGGGGAGAGTTTAAATCCAAAATGACGTCACGTTTTTTAAAAAAAAATATTCTCCCGCTTTCCTCATCACTTAAGTCGGACCCCCCCCCCCACCCCCACCCCACCCACCACTCCCTCCGTATGACTTTGACGCCTTTTACCCAGAGGCGTAGCGACCCTTCCCGGCGCCCGGGGACAAACTTTTCATTTGCACCACCCCTCGAACTTTTCATTTGCACCCCCCTCAAACTTTCAATTTGGCGCCCCCCCCCCCTAAGGTCGGCGCCCGGGGACATATGTCCCCCCGCTCCCCCCCCCCCCCCGCCTCGCTACGCTTCTGCCTTTACCAACACGCTTTCCTATATACTATAAACTTATATAAACTTATATAACTGGAATATAATTTTTTTTCTTGTTTTTATTGCACAGAAATATATTAAAACTTATTATATAACCATCTCAAAGTATGTATGTTATGTCTGCAGGCTAGGTGATTAAGTATTGCCAGAATCCAATATATCCGCACCATGGCAGACTTGGGTGAAATGATGTCGCAGTTCTCAGCCCTGATGTACAAAAACATGAAGCTCTATCAAAGATCCATCATTGTGACTCTACTAGAAATTGGTAATTGTTGTGACTCTACTATACATTAGCAAATGTGACTCTACTATAAATTGGTAAATCGTGTGACTCTACTATAAATTGGTAAATCTTGTGACTCTACTATAAATTGGTAAATGGTGTGACTCTACTATAAATTGGTAAATCGTGTGACTCTACAAGAAATTGGTAAATGGTGTGACTCTACTATAAATTGGTAAATGGTGTGACTCTACAAGAAATTGGTAAATGTTGTGACCCAAGTAGAGAGGGACGGTTTGGTCAACTGCTAACACGAAAGTCCCAAGTTCCGATTAAGGGCTCAAGACTCTCGGGCTTCCCTGAGTCCACCCAGCTCTGATGGGTACCTGACTCACTGAGTCCACCCAGCTCTGATGGGTACCTGACTCACTGAGTCCACCCAGCTCTGATGGGTACCTGACTCACTGTCCACCCAGCTCTGATGGGTACCTGACTCACTGAGTCCACCCATCTCTGATGGGTACCTGACTCACTGAGTCCACCCAGCTCTGATGGGTACCTGACTCACTGAGTCCACCCAGCTCTGATGGGTACCTGACTCACTGAGTCCACCCAGCTCTGATGGGTACCTGACTCACTGAGTCCACCCAGCTCTGATGGGTACCTGACTCACTGAGTCCACCCAGCTCTGACGGGTACCTGACTAACTGAGTCCACCCAGCTCTGACGGGTACCTGACTCACTGAGTCCACCCAGCTCTGATGGGTACCTGACTCACGTGAGCGCAAATAAGGCGGCTTGGCATAGTGCCTCCATGAAACATGTGAACTCAACTTCATCTCCCACATGTGTCATGGCAAGAACGAAAAAATATAAAGAGTAGAGATTAAAAATCTTTTGCAACTCTTATATTAATCAATGAACTTATGTGACTTTATTGCCACTGGTAAGGTTTCCATAGCTAACGGCGTTAGATGAAGAAAATATGGGTTGCCATGTGTCTAAAACATCTCAAGCTATGTTGGTACAGTCAAAAGAACTGCTAAACCCGGGGTTTTTTTCAGCCCAACTGTATACCAGAGGCCCTACCTTCTTTAACTGTTAAATGTGATACTTTAGGATTTAAATGTGTTAAATCTGATGTTTTAGGATTTAAATGTATTAAATGTGATGTTTTAAATGTTTTATGCCGCTAAAAGTGATTTTTTAATGGTTTTACGGTACTTCATGTGAAGTTTGAAAGGTTTTACTGTGTTAAGTGTGAAAGTTTAATGGTTTTACGGCGCTAAATGAGATTTTTGTAAAGTTTTACGGCGCTAAATGTGATATTTTAAAGGTCTCACAGTTTTATATATTATGTTATACAGGTTTTCAAGTGTTAAATTTGATATTTTAAAAAATTTTCAACTTAAAATCTGTTATTTTAAAGATTTTACAGCGTAATATTTGGTATTTTAAAGATTTACGGTGTTAAATGTGATGTTTTAAATGTTTTACGGTGTTAAATGTCATGTTTGAAAGGTTTTACGGTGCTGAATGCGATGGTTATTGTCTCCTTTGATGCGGAGAGTCCCAAGGAGATGTTGGCCCATGACGTAGCATTGGGCAAGAAAGATTCACTGTTTCTCGTGCCGGACATTGAAGCCATCAACATTTCTTACAGCGCTGACCTTGACCCTTCGTTCAGTAAGTCACATGACACGTTATACATAAACACAGCACACGTTTAATAGTTTCTTCTTCTTCGTTCTTTTCTGTAATGTTAAATGTGTTTCCTCCCAATTAATTAATTATGTTTAATTATATTGCACATTGTTTCACTTGTAACCAGTGGCGTCGCTAGGTCGGGTGTCTCCCGGTGCGGCACCTCATGGTGTCACCCCTACCCCCTTTTTTCTCTGTAAATTTTGCAGTTGATATATATATATATATATATATATATATATATATATATATATATATATATATATTTCCCACCCACTGCATTATATCTGAGCGGTCAGGCTTTAAGTTTGAATCTCACGGTCGATAATTTTATAGTTACTTTCAATATTTTGACACCTGTTCTAACCGCCAGATTCAACCAGTGTCAAACTACTCCCGAGCCTGGAAATGTTGGAGGAAAACTTGCACCTGGGCAGGATGACCTGGTTTTTCAACCGCGCAATCAACTTGATCAAGTTTGAGATGACCGGCGATCAAATTCCGCTTGACTGGAACTACAAGGTGGTCCTCTTTGAGGAGGTGCCAACGAACTCGATCTTCGGCAACAGTTACAGTAAAAAAATATATTATAAATGATACATTATTTTATTTTTTCTTATGTTCGGGGTACTAGTACGGTATCTTGTAAGGGCCTGATGGTTATTTATGTTGCAGGAGAGGGCTTTTATCTATTTAGATAAGATAATGTCCCAGATCCGAAGTCGTGTTTATTCTATAAGGTGGCGTAGCTAGGGTATTTGCTTTTTTGGTCCCCCCCCCACCGCCCCCCGGTTAATAAATGTCCGCGTTTTTAAAAATCACAAACGCTTTAGTAGTTTAAGATCGGAGAAGATCAAAATCACTTATAGTGACTCAGCCAAAAGTAAAAAGTATAGTGATATACAATAACCTACAAGTCTTAAGGAAATGATTTAAAATAACTTCATATGACTAGTGATATATATATATATATATATATATATATATATATATATATATATATATATATATATATATATATATATATATATATATATATATATGAATGTATATATACACTAGCCGTCCCGGCCAGGCCCTGCTCTGGCTTTTGTGAAAAACATTTCTGTTAAAGACCATTACCTGTGTGTTTAGTAATCATCATAAACCCTGCATTGCCCACCCAAACCACAACCAACCAAAAAAAAAAAAAAAAACGCAAACATAACGCTAACACAATTACAAATACAAACGAAAACAAAAACCTAACTACAAACCCAACCACAACCACAAACACCAATACCAACACAAAAAAAACAACGAAAAAGCAAACGAAAACAAACCAAATCCAAACGCAAAACCAACCAAAAACACAAATACAAACCCAAAGAAAAAAACACAAACAAAAACTAAAAAAAAGAAAGAACAAAAACGAACCAAATCAAAACGCAACCACTAACGCAAACCCACCTAATCACAAAGAAAACACTAACGCGAACATAAACGCCCGGGGCGGAATCACCTGTTTTAGCTTAATGAACGACTATAGTACCCCAACTTATTTATAGTCTTTTGCACTCACTTAAACGAACGCGCCTTTTTCAATTTAATGAACAATTATAATACTCCAAGCTTATCCGTAAAATACCTACAAAATTTGCACTTGATCGATCCCCGCTAATTATGTAATTTTTTTTTTCCCAACACCAAAACAAAGTAATAAAAAGTAAATTCTTTTCCACTAATGCAATGCTTTTATAAAGGGAAGTAATTGTGTTTTCCTAATTTATCAAAGGGAAGTAAGTGCTATAGGACTAAATAAAGACAAAATTAGAATTTTTGTAAAAGATGATATTTTTTTAAAAACTTGTGTTTAATGAACATGCCGAAAATTATTACTTTCAGTTTGATAAATGAAAATTATTTCCCAAAACTTTCAATATGAATTTTTTAACTCATAAATTTAGACCATAAAGACTTTAATTATCTAACACTTAAATCCATCGGAGTATGTCAACGACAAACATTTATTTTTACATACAGAATTGAGCTTTATATATTAGATATATATATATATAGATAAATTTATTTATATATATATATATATATATATATATATATATATATATATATGTATTTATTATATATATATATATATATATATATATATATATATATATATATATATATATATATATATGGCTACTGTGTTCATACATGACTAGAATATACATATATATACATATGTTTCCCATATATATATATATATATATATATATATATATATATATATATATATATATATATATATATATATATATATATATATATATATATATATATGGGAAACAAAAAGAAGCCTCACATATATTTTTTACATCGCAAAGACTATTCACGTATCGGCTTGACCTACTGCCAAGTCGTGGCCACAAAGCTGTGCCTCAACTACTGGAAACAGAAGTTAAACCTGAACCTCGACACCCGGATCCCCATCAAAACGCAGCCCATGCCCAACATAGAGAGCAAGTTTTTCAAGTTTGGCATGCGCCTGCATTACCTGGACAGCGTGCCCTGGACATTTTGTTTGTTCACCATCGTCTCTACCATGGTCATCTCTAATGAGAGGATAGCAAATATAAAGGTCAGCTTAGGGCTAAGGGTAAGGTTAAGAATGGGGTTAAGGGTAATGGAGATAGTAAGGGTAAGAGTAAGGGTAAGCGTAAGGGTATGGGTATGGGTATGGGTATGGGTATTGGTATTGGTATTGGTATTGGTATTGGTATTGGTATTGGTATTGGTATTGGTATTGGTATTGGTATTGGTATTGGTATTGGTATTGGTATTGGTATTGGTATTGGTATTGGTATTGGTATTGGTATTGGTATTGGTATTGGTATTGGTATTGGTATTGGTTTTGGTATTGGTATTGGTATTGGTATTGGTATTGGTATTGGTATTGGTATTGGTATTGGTATTGGTATTGGTATTGGTATTGGTATTGGTATTGGTATTTGTGTTGGTATTGGTTTTGGTATTGGTATTGGTGTTGGTGTTGGTATTGGTATTGGTAATGGTATTGGTATGGGTATGGGTATGGGTATGGGTATGGGTATGGGTATGGGTGTCGGTATCGGTGTCGGTATCGGTATCGGTATCGGTATGGCTATGGCTATGGCTATGACTATGGCTATGGCTATGGCTATGGCTATGGCTATGGCTATGGCTATGGCTATGGCTATGGCTATAGCTATGGCTATGGCTATGGCTATGGGTAAGGTAAGGTTGAGGGTGAAAGGTATGATTAAGGGTTAAGATTAAAATCAGGCTTAGGGACATATATATATATATATATATATATATATATATATATATAAATATATATATATATATATATATATATATATATATATATATATATATATATATATATATATGTGTGTGTGTGTGTGTGTGTATATGTGTGTACGTGTGTGCGTGTGTGAGTAGTTATGCCTTACTAATATACATATTGATAGTCTACACCAAAAATATTAAATGCTTATAATCAATACAATATAATCGTAGATATTTACATTTAAACTTTTACTACACAGATATTCATAGTTTAATTTTTTCAAATATAATTATAAATAATTTTATCTTTCACGTAAATGACCAGAGGCGTAGCGACCCTTCCCGGCGCCCGGTGACAAACTTTCGATTTGCACCCCCCGCCCTCGAACTTTTCATTTGGACCCCCCCCCCCCTCAAACTTTCGATTTGCACCCCCCCTCGAACTTTTTATTTGCACCCCCCTCAAACTTTCAATTTGGCGCCCCCCTAAAGGTCGGCGCCCGGGGACTTATGCCCCCCCCGCCCCCCCCCCGCCCCTCCCCCCCTCGCTACGCCTCTGTAAATGACATACATATTTCTAGTGTTAACTTATACATTATTTTTAAAAAAAAAATTATTTCTAGTCTACTTTGAAGAAGCTCGGACTTGGCCCACTGGTGTACTGGGGCTCCTGGTTTTGCTCGCGTATGGCCGTAGGTCTCCTCATCGCCACATGCGTCTCGCTGATCGCCCTACGTCAGACGGAGATTGGGTTGGTCCTGCACGTCTACAGGCCCTTGGTGTTCCCCCTCTTTCTGCTGTTTGCCGTCAACAGTTTTACCTTCTCGGCGCTCATGGCGTGCGTCGTTCCGAGCGGTCAGTGACAATTTTCTTTCATCTCTGAGAGGAAAATTTACCCATACTTATCCCATTCAATTTCCCATACCACACAATTCGATTACTTTAAAAAAAATGTTTTTTTTTCCCTCTGTATTTTAGTCTTATGGTCTAGGATGGGATATGAGTTACGTTTAATATGAGAGTTAGGATTAGAGAGTAGTGCTTGTGACCTACTTAGGTCGAGTCAGGTTCCATTTTTATTTCGACATTGTATAATACCTTATATGGAATGATTGTGCAACACCTGGGTTTTTTCCACTGACTTATTAAGGTGTTTGAGACATAGAAATTTTCCATTAAACTCTGATTGAATGATTCTGATCAGATGATTATCCCAACCAATGGCGACATGAGTTGAGGATAGCCTCCCCTGTCACAGAAGTCTTTAATTGCACTGCACACTCGCAACACGAGGCAGTTTATCTTGACCTGGCAGTCTACGGGGCAGTTTTACCTTGGTCAGGCAGCCGTCCATATTGTCCGGCTATAGACTCTGACCATTTGAACGTGAGAGTACTTAAGACCTGTGTGTGCCTTGCTTTCTGAAGTTGATTTAGTCTTCTAGTTTAATATTACTTGTCGCTAAGTAAGTCTGGAAGCTACAGCAGTGTTGTGTGGCCTGTAGCTGTTCTTTAGACAGTGTAGAAATCTGTGATAGTGTTTTTTCCTGCATTGTGTAAGTTGGGTTTTTGATATTTTATACATTAAATATTTTATCTAGTTCATCTTTGTGTTCTGCCACAACTGTGTTCGCTGATTAAAAGGTCGTATGTAGATTGGATGAGTGTTAATTACAATAGTATCACTAGCTTCCCTAGACATTAAATTCGAGCCCTAGTGGGTCGTTGTGTTAAGTGTTCATCCACTTAGGCCGTGAGGCATTTGCATATGACCCCGAAAAAAGAATCCGGGGACGTTCTCCTTCTATTTGGCTGATAGACAGGTTAACGTTACAAAGTGGGGGCTCGTCCGGGATTTAATCTGTCGTTCCAGTTGTTGGTTATATCAGTTGAATACTAAGGTTAGTTGGATTTAGTTGTTTTTATATCCAGTAGCGCAGTGTTCTTACAACGCGCGCTCAGGCTAGAGTATCTAGGTCAAATAAGCAGACGTGTCACGTTCTACATTTAGAGGTCAAGTACACGGCCCAACGCTGTGTATTAATTTAAAGGATCTAGGCTTGTTGTGATTTTCAAGTTAGTGTTATGGAGTCTTTTTTGGCTAATCCTACTTTTGAAGGTGTAGAAAAGTTGAGTAGAAAAGTTTTGATTAGTGTTGTTAAGGAATTGAAATTGGATTATTCTGTTACGCAGAAGTCAGAGGTGTTGAGAGATAAAGTTGTTGTTCATTTTATTAATGAAGGGGTATTTGATGAAAGCTTGTTGGCTGGGGTGTTACTCCGCGAGGAGAAACCTCTAGAGAAGATAGAATTAGAAGCTAGAATTGCTTTAGAGAAGGCTTTAAAAGAAAAGGAGTTTGAAACTAGAAGTGCTCTAGAGAAACAGGAGTTAGAGGCTAAAATTGCTTTAGATAAGAGGAGGTTGGAATTAGAGTTTGGTCAAGTTAGTGATGTCACTTCTCAGGTAGATCCAAAAAAGTTGTCGGTAGGGCAAGTGATTGCCAAATTTGGGAAATTAGTTCCTAAATTTGATGAAACAGATTTGGTCGTTTTCTTTAACTCGTTTGAGAGTTTAGCGAAGACATGTGAATGGCCCGAAACTTCCATTACTGCTTTATTGAGCTCTGTCCTTACTGGGAAAGCTGCAAAAACATACCAGGCACTCTCTCACGACGTTCAAAATAACTATAGTTTGGTCAAGACTGCCATTTTGAAGGCCTACGCACTGACGCCCGAGGCCTATCGGACAAAATTCCGAACACTCCGCAAGTTACCCACACAATCATATGTGGAATTTCTCTTTGAAAAGGAGAAAATATTCTCAAGGTGGCTACACTCTGAGGAAGTTTCTGAGTTTGAGAAACTCAGGTCACTTATCCTAAGGGAAGAATTCCTATCGTCCCTGCCTGAAGAGATACGACTACACATACTGGATAACAAGATAACTGATATCCAGAAGGCTGCTGAGTCGGCTGACACATATATGTTGGTGCATAAGAAACCACCAGTGTCAGGAAACCGCCTCAACCCCGTGCTTCCCCTTTTTGGCAGCAATCCTCCTGTTGGCCAACACGTGAAGGCATTACAGTCCAGAGAGAAACCAAGATCAACTCTCAATCGTCGAGCAGTATGCCAGTTCTGCAAAAGACCTGGTCATCTTGTCAAAGACTGTTACAAACGTCGTCAATATAACAGAGAGGTGGTGCGTACTTCCGCGCACTATGCTCTATCCCCTCAAGCAGCCAGTTCAACTATGAACTCTAGAATTCTAAAGGACTCTAACCCTAAGTGTCCGCAAGAAGGTAGTCAAGTCTCCACACATTATGTGCAGTCACATTTTGACTGTTCTCGCCACCATCCAGTTTCTTCCGAGTCTACCGATCTCGAGGGATCGAGAAAAGTTGACTTTTCATCTTTTATTGCCGAAGCCATCATTAGCAAACCAGGTGACCCGTTGTCTCAGAAGAATATCACCGTCCTAAGAGACACAGGAGCGTCACAATCACTCCTTTTGAAAAGTTCAATGGACATTACACCTGAGACGAACACCGGAAGGATTTCCATTATCCAGGGAGTGGGGACAAAACCTACTGTCGTCCCTCTACACAAGTTTGCCTTGAAACATCATCTCGTCGAAGGTGAGGTCATTTTAGGTGTGATAGATAGTATTCCAGTCCCAGGTGTACACCTACTTCTAGGGAATGACCTTGCGGGAAGCAAAGTATACCCCTGTACGGTTTCAGACCCTTTGTCAACAGTTCCAGATAATGATTATGAACTGTATCCTGCATGTGCGGTGACAAGAAGCCAGACCAAACAATTGGCTGACACAACGTCTGAACCACACCCGCCATCATCGTCAAGAAATTCGACTCCCAAACTGGAGTCTATGCTTCCAGAAAACACAAGTCTGGGCTTACCCCTGAGGATATCTCAGGAAGACATCATTAAAGCTCAACAAGTCGACGCGGAACTCAAAGCAACGGTCGAAAAATTTCTATCATCTGACGATGGAGAATACTTCTCCGAGAACGGCCTCTTCTTTCGTCGCGCTATACCAGTGAATGCCTCACCAGCCGAACCATGGTTGGGTAAAAACCAGCTGTGGGTCCCTCCACCTTATCGGCATGAAATACTTAAGCTGGCACATGACCATCCAATGTCAGCGCACCCAGGTGTCACTAAAACGACGGCGAAGATCAAAGAACTGTTCTTTTGGCCCAAAATGAGAAAAGATGTGTCGCGTTACTGTAGAAGTTGCACGAACTGTCAGTTGGCCGGAAAGCCAAACCAGACAATTCCTAAGGCCCCTTTGAGTCCGATTCCTGTATTAGAAGAACCTTTTTCTAAAATCGTCATGGACTGTGTAGGTCCCTTGCCTAAAACCAAGGCGGGCAACGAGTACCTACTTACCTTTATGTGTTCAAGTACCCGTTTTCCCGAGGCGATTCCCTTACGGAACATTAAGGCAAAGACTGTAGTCAGAGCCATGACCCGGTTCTTCACTACCTTTGGATTACCTAGAATCGTGCAAACAGATCAAGGCAGCAACTTCACCAGTCACCATTTTCAGGAAGCACTAGCCAAGCTAGGCGTTACCCACACCACCAGCTCAGCCTACCACCCTCAGTCTCAAGGCGTACTTGAGAGGTTCCACCAAACCCTCAAAACCATGCTAAGGACATTCGCTAATAGTAACACCCAATGGGATGAGTCTGTTCCTTGGATTGTTTTCGCCGCGAGGGACTGTGTCCAGGACTCTTTAGGCTACTCGCCTTTTCAACTTGTGTTTGGACATTCTGTCCGTGGTCCCCTGAAGCTGATACACGAACGTTGGACAGGTACCAGTGATCATCCAGTGGAAAACTTCGACGATTTTCACGTTCGACTGAAAGCCGTGTGCGAAATGGCTCACAAGAACTTAAGAAAGGCCCAAGTGAGAATGAAAGGACTGTATGATAAGAGTTCTTGTAAACGAACATTCAATCCAGGCGACAAAGTTCTTGTGTTAGTGCCGAATCTGAACAATGCGTTATCCTTGAGATATTGTGGACCCTTTACTGTGCATTCAAAATTAAGTGATTTGAACTATGTTGTCAATACGCCCGACAGAAGAAAGAAACAGACAGTGTATCATGTTAACTCACTAAAAAAATATTATGATAATTGTAACAATTTTCATTCCACAGCTAAAATTACTTTACCTGTATGTTCAAATGTTTCTGATGATGTGATACATGATAAATTGAAACCCCCAAAATTGGTAAATTCTTCTTTTTTAGATAATTTGAATGTCCACCTTATGCATTTGTCCACAGAGAAAAGCCAGAGATTGTCTCAGTTATTCGAGACATTTCCCTCTATTTTTGGGGATGTCCCCAAAGAAGCGAAGGTTCCACCTCATGATGTAGTCGTAGGTGACGCAAAACCCATTAAACAACACCCCTATAGAGTTAACCCGGAAAAAGCTGCTTTGATAAAAGATGAAATTGATTATATGCTCAAGAATGATATCATTGAGCCCAGTTTCAGCAACTGGAGTTCCCCATGTCTCCTAGTCCCGAAAGACGGTGGATCTTTCAGGTTTGTGACCGACTTTAGGAAGGTAAATGCGCTCACCAAAGCTGATTCCTATCCTTTACCTCGGATAGAAGACGTTATTGATAAAGTTGGTCAGGCTAAGATAATTTCCAAAATTGATTTACTTTCAGGATACTGGCAAATCCCCTTATCTGACCGTGCCAAGGAAATATCTGCTTTTGTAACCCCTAATGGTTTTTATAGATACAAACGTATGCCCTTTGGTATGCGAAATGCTGGTCAAACTTTCCAGAGGGTCATTAACTCTGTCATTGCTGACATAGACCAATGTGAGGCCTACATAGATGATATAGTTGTATTTTCTAATACTTTTGAAGAACATATTGTTCAGTTGACTAACCTTTTTAGAAAATTGTCTGAAGTTAATTTTACTGTAAACTTACATAAAAGTGATTTCTGTAAAGCTTCAATTACCTATTTGGGTTATCAAGTGGGAACGAACCAAGTTCGGCCCATTGAAGCTAAAGTAGATGCTATTGTAAGGTTACCACCTCCCAAAAATTGTAAAGAGATCAAAAAGTTCCTTGGGATGGCTGGGTACTATAGACGGTTCTGTCAAAACTTTTCAGCTATTGCTGAACCTCTTACTGCATTATTGAAAAAGGGTGTTGAGTTTGAATGGTCAGATAAATGTCAAGAAGCTTTTTTAACCATTAAGTCATTTCTATCTAATGATCCTGTTATGGCTGCACCAAATTTCAGCAAGCCCTTTAAACTTGCCATTGATGCTAGCAACTTAGCCATTGGCTCAGTCCTATTTCAAGAAGACAACATGGGAATTGACCATCCCATTGCCTTTTTTTCCAGGAAGTTAAATGAAAACCAAAAGAATTATTCTACTATTGAAAAAGAAGCTTTAGCTTTGGTTTTATCATTACAACATTTTGAAGTCTATGTCTCTTCTTTAACCAATCCAGTCAGAGTGTTTTCTGACCATGATCCCCTGAAATTTACCTCTAAGTTAGGACAGACAAATCAAAGAATATTGAGGTGGTGCTTATATTTCCAAAATTTTAATCTGGAAATTTCACACATTAAGGGTAGTGATAATGTTGTGGCTGATTGTTTGTCAAGGATGTAAAATCTTGTTACACACATTGATCATGTGACATGCTTTGTGGTTCATTAGGACCATAGACAGGTTTTGTTTGAATGTCACTCATATGAAAATGAGTGGTGTGAGTTTTGAATTTTTTTTTCAAAATTCCAATCCTGTTGAATATTTTGTTTATTTTCAGGTGAACCTTAATTAAAGGTGGTTTTTGATTATATGTAATCTTTTATAATAATATGTCTCATATGACTCAATTGATATTGTAGCTAGTCATTGAAATAAAGGTCTTACCCTGGCGGGTTTACCACTTTTAATATCCACATGGAAATATTGTAATACCCTTTTTGAGGGATTTTGATGTATAATTACTTTTTGAAGGGTTACTCCCCTTTCATCAATTGTAAAAGTTGGAGTTACTTCCCTTTTATGTTCAGGGATATTTTCATATGGTATTATGATTTTGATTGACTACATTTGTAAAACATTTTTTTTTTATTCTCATTGCCAGATTGGTTCCTTATGTATGTTTTTGTGGAACCTATCTGTCACTTCCAAAAAGGGAGGGGATGTGACCTACTTAGGTCGAGTCAGGTTCCATTTTTATTTCGACATTGTATAATACCTTATATGGAATGATTGTGCAACACCTGGGTTTTTTCCACTGACTTATTAAGGTGTTTGAGACATAGAAATTTTCCATTAAACTCTGATTGAATGATTCTGATCAGATGATTATCCCAACCAATGGCGACATGAGTTGAGGATAGCCTCCCCTGTCACAGAAGTCTTTAATTGCACTGCACACTCGCAACACGAGGCAGTTTATCTTGACCTGGCAGTCTACGGGGCAGTTTTACCTTGGTCAGGCAGCCGTCCATATTGTCCGGCTATAGACTCTGACCATTTGAACGTGAGAGTACTTAAGACCTGTGTGTGCCTTGCTTTCTGAAGTTGATTTAGTCTTCTAGTTTAATATTACTTGTCGCTAAGTAAGTCTGGAAGCTACAGCAGTGTTGTGTGGCCTGTAGCTGTTCTTTAGACAGTGTAGAAATCTGTGATAGTGTTTTTTCCTGCATTGTGTAAGTTGGGTTTTTGATATTTTATACATTAAATATTTTATCTAGTTCATCTTTGTGTTCTGCCACAACTGTGTTCGCTGATTAAAAGGTCGTATGTAGATTGGATGAGTGTTAATTACAATAGTATCACTAGCTTCCCTAGACATTAAATTCGAGCCCTAGTGGGTCGTTGTGTTAAGTGTTCATCCACTTAGGCCGTGAGGCATTTGCATATGACCCCGAAAAAAGAATCCGGGGACGTTCTCCTTCTATTTGGCTGATAGACAGGTTAACGTTACATGCTTAAGTTCAGATAATGGTAAGGGCTAAAATAGTGATAAAGCCAGGCAGCTTTTTCATTTTTCTCTGGGGAGGTGGACTTAAATTTTCGGGAAGGGGGGAGGGAGTGACAGAATATAATTAAAGTATAAATTTTCTATATAAATCTTATTTTTATTCTCTATCGTTCGGGATGGTGTGCGGCAGTGCCCTCGCCCACCCCCATCTCCTTCAAACATACGTATTAAACAAATTGGGGTGATGATAATAACACTAAAATATTTTTAATTTTGCTGCTACGTATCACTTGTGAGGCTAGGTTAGAAACATTTTAGCTACGCTGGGAGAGTGAATTGTGGTTCGTCCCGTGTTCTTTTAGTCCCCCCTTCCAGAAAATTTCAAGTGCCCCCCCCCCCCCCTCGACGGAGAAAAAAATCTGGAAGAAACACTGGGTATAGAAGTGACGTGAACAATTATTAGGGAGAATTCGGTTAGTAAAATAAGGTGCTCAAAACAATGTTTACTTTGTCGTTAGTAGTTATAAAAAATTAAATGCATTAACAAATTATCTTTTCCTGTTAGTGGCCAAGAAACTTGGGGCAGATGAAGTAGAGTTCATCTGTTTCAATGACCTCGGCATACGCGGGGGATAATGTGTTCAGCACTATGCCCAGTCGCAGCTGTTTCCCTAACGTGAGTTTGGTACCCATCTGAGCTGGGTGGACTCAGGTAGCATCTACTGTCTTGTGGCATGATTCGAACTCGAGACTCTCGGGCTAGCAGTCTGCCGCTCAACCACTAGGCCACGCCGTCCCCCACCTTAACAAATATCCACCGTTAGTTTTTTAAGGCGTTTTGTGCATTAATCCTCTTAGGATACAATAAAAATATAACGTTTTATTCCTGTAATTACCCTGATCTATTTTGTCGTTCTCCCACAGAAATAAAAGTGTTCTCCCTCGTCTTCGTGGGTTACACGTATTTTGCCTGCAACTACCTGTCCAATTTCCTCCTGTCTGGAAGCCATCCCCACCCCCGCCCCTTGGTTGGCGCCCTGGTCTACTCACACGGTGCTAGACTTTGCTTTGATGCCTTTTTCTGGAAGGAAATGTACTGTAAGTAGTGGGGGTTGTGTGGGATAAGTGTGGGTTGTGTGGGAAAAGAGTGGGGAGTTGTGTGATAAGTGCGGAGTTGTGTGGGATAATTGTGGGGAGTTGTGTGGGATAAGTGTGGGATTAGTGTTGGATAAGTGTGGGTTTTGTGGGATAAGTGTGGGGAGTTGTGTGGGATAAGTGTGGGTTTTGTGGGATAAGTGTGGGGAGTTGTGTGGGATAAGTGTGGGATAAGTGTTGGATAAGTGTGGGTTTTGTGGGATAAGTGTGGGGAGTTGTGTGGGATAAGTGTGGGTTTTGTGGGATAAGTGTGGGGAGTTGTGTGGGATAAGTGTGGGATTAGTGTTGGATAAGTGTGGGGTTTTTTGGGATAAGTGTGGGGAGCTGTGTGGGATAAGTGTGGGTTTTGTGGGATAAGTGTGGGGAGTTGTGTGGGATAAGTGTGGGGACTTGTGTGGGATAAGTGTGGGGAGTTGTGTGGGATTACCGTGGGATAAGTGTGGGGAGTTATGTGGGATAAGTGTGGGGACTTGTGTGGGATATGTGTGGGGAGTTGTGTGGGATAAATGTGGGGACTTGTGTGGGATAAGTGTGGGGAGTTGTGTGGAATAAGCGTGGGATAAGTGTGGGGAGTTGTGTGGGATAAGTGTGGGGAGTTGTGTGGGATAAGGGATAAGTGTGGGTAAATATCCTGTATATAATGGATTTGTGTCTCCATGATAACTACATATTTTACATGGCAAGACAATATAACTGTATTAAAATTATCATTCACTCCATTAAAAGTGTTCACCAGATGGGTGTTATTGACGAACAAAATCTTAAACTTCAATTTGTATATAAACAATAGAGAATGTGTTAGTATCGTTAACTGTTTTACAAACAGACGACACAGCGAAAGATACAAGTCAATACGACTTGGAGATTGTGGAGGGATCAGTTTACATGATTGTAAACAGTCTGCTCAACTGCTTGATTGTGGTGCTGATTGAGGTGACAAGCGATGATGAGAAGAGCCTCTTGCAGCGGATCTTTAAGGTTATCACGTGACATTCGTGCTGATGTGGATTGTGTGTGGGGAATGGCGTGGTTGGATAGTACAGTTCACGACTTCTAACCTGAAAAACTCGAGTTCGAATACCGTCTTTAAGGTTGTCCTGTGTTATTCGTGGTGATGTGGATTGTGTGTGGTTGGATAGTATAGTTCACGGCTTCTAATATGAAAGACTCGAGTTCGGATCCCGTCTTTAAGGTTGTCTTGTGTCATTCGTGGTGATTTGGATTATGTGTGGGGGACAGCCGTTTCGATAGAGCTTAGAATTACTAAACCTAAAGACTCGAGTTCGAATCTCGGGCTTAATCTAGTTTGGCGCTCCTAAGCCCACCCACTTCTAATGGGTACACAATGTTCCTAGTTCAAAACCTCGGGCGGTGATTGGGGTGGTCGGGTAGGTCAAAGATATGGTGGCTAAACCGAGTTCAAACCTTGGACAGATGAGGCCCATAATAGAAAACAACTGCTGACTTGTCGTTCGTTCTTGGTTGGACAAAGGCTATGGAAGCAAATCTAGAGAGAAAAGCAGGTTGAAATCGGAGTCAATAAGGCCCATAACAAGTTGACAGGAAATACTTAATTGGGTTAGAGAAAATTCCTACCATTATTAGAATTAACAAAGAAGAAGAAGGAACTTTGGGCAGACGAGGCTCGTTAGCAAGGGACAGTAACCCATTTAAGGGAGAAAATTCCAAAATCTCTCGCCTGCATGATCAAGTTTTTTTAGGTAACAAAAGCGATTTTATTTATATGATTGTTTATTTTATTTTTATTTTTTACATTTACAGAAACACAACTCTGAAGTGCACGACGTATCGCACACAAATTTCCCACCTCAAAATAAAAAATTGTTTGAAGACCCGCCCACTGATTCTACTTCTGGAATCGTTATTCGAGATCTGGTCAAGGTGGTATTAATAATATACAGTTATAATGATCTAATAAAGGTGGTATTTTAACATTTACGGTCATAAAATTTGGTCAAGGTGGGATTTATAATGTACCGTCATATTGATCTAATAATGGTGGTATTTTAACATTTACTGTCATAATAATCTAGTTAAGGTAGAATTTATAATGTACAGTCATATTGAACTAATAAAGGTGGTATTTTAACATTTACTGTCATAATAATCTAGTTAAGGTGGGGTTTATAATGTATCGTCATATTGATCTAATAAAGATGGTATTTCAACATTTACTGTCATAATAATCTAGTTAAGTTCGGATTTATAATGTATCGTCATATTGAACTAATAAAGTTGGTATTTTATTATTTACTGTCATAATAATCTAGTTAAGTTCGGATTTATAATGTATCGTCATATTGAACTAATAAAGTTGGTATTTTATTATGTACTGTCATAAAAATTTGGTCAAGGTGGGATTTATAATGTAACTTCATATTGATCTAATAAAGGTGGTATTTTATTATTTACTGTCACAATAATCTAGTAAAGGTGGGATTTATGATGTATCGTCATATTGATCTAATAAAAGCGGTATTTTATTATTTACTGTCATAGTAATCTGGTTTAAGTGTGATTTAAAGCTAGCTTTCAGGTTGATTTAATTAAGATGGTATTTACAATTTACCGTCATACTGATATAAATAAGGTGGTACTTTAACTTCAGCATTTACAGTCATACAGATCTTGTACGTGTGGGATATACCATTTACCGTCAAATAACAAATGTGGTATTTTAACAATTACCGTCATACTAATCTAGTTTAGGTGGGATTTACCATTTACAATTATATAACAAACGTGGTATTTCATCATTTCGTCATATTATTCCAATTAAGCTTGGGTATTTCCCAATTAGGGACTAATTGATCTTATTATGGTAGAAATTCCCGTATCAGATTATATCAATCTAACAAAACACATTTACCTCACCCCTCAACCAGACCTTAAACTGGTTGTGTAGCTTGATAATCCTTATCCCTAATCGGTTATCTAAGTTGACCATCCTTATCCCCAACCGGTCAAGTTGACCATCCTTATCCCCCCATCGTTATCCCCCTATCCTTATCCCCAGATGTATGGTGCTGATATGGTCGTGTCTGGCATCAACCTGGAAATCTACAAGAATCAGATCACGATGCTGCTGGGTCACAACGGCGCGGGGAAAACAACAACAATTTCAATGATCCTAGGTATAAACATGTCGTAGGTATAAATATGTTGTTGGCTCTATGTTTCTATTGGTGGAAAAACAACAACAATTTCAATGATCCTAGGTATAAACATGTCGTAGGTATAAATATGTTATTGGCTCTATGTTTCTATTGGTGGAAAAACAACAACAATTTCAATGATCCTAGGTATAAACATGTCGTAGGTATAAATATGTTGTTGGCTCTATGTTTCTAATGGTGGAAAAACAACAACAATTTCAATGATCCTAGGTATAAACATGTCGTAGGTATAAATATGTTGTTGGCTCTATGTTTCTAATGGTGGAAAAACAACAACAATTTCAATGATCCTAGGTATAAACATGTCGTAGGTATAAATATGTTGTTGGCTCTATGTTTCTAATGGTGGCAAAACAACAACAATTTCAATGATCCTAGGTATAAACATGTCGTAGGTATAAATATGTTGTTGGCTCTATGTTTCTATTGGTGGAAAAACAACAACAATTTCAATGATCCTAGGTATAAACATGTCGTAGGTATAAATATGTTGTTGGCTCTATGTTTCTAATGGTGGAAAAACAACAACAATTTCAATGATCCTAGGTATAAACATGTCGTAGGTATAAATATGTTGTTGGCTCTATGTTTCTAATGGTGGAAAAACAACAACAATTTCAATGATCCTAGGTATAAACATGTCGTAGGTATAAATATGTTGTTGGCTCTATGTTTCTAATGGTGGCAAAACAACAACAATTTCAATGATCCTAGGTATAAACATGTCGTAGGTATAAATATGTTGTTGGCTCTATGTTTCTATTGGTGGAAAAACAACAACAATTTCAATGATCCTAGGTATAAACATGTCGTAGGTATAAATATGTTGTTGGCTCTATGTTTCTAATGGTGGAAAAACAACAACAATTTCAATGATCCTAGGTATAAACATGTCGTAGGTATAAATATGTTGTTGGCTCTATGTTTCTAATGGTGGAAAAACAACAACAATTTCAATGATCCTAGGTATAAACATGTTGTAGGTATAAATATGTTGTTGGCTCTATGTTTATAATGGTGGCAAAACAACAACAATTTCAATGATCCTAGGTATAAACATGTCGTAGGTATAAATATGTTGTTGGCTCTATGTTTCTAATGGTGGAAAAACAACAACAATTTCAATGATCCTAGGTATAAACATGTCGTAGGTATAAATATGTTGTTGGCTCTATGTTTCTAATGGTGGCAAAACAACAACAATTTCAATGATCCTAGGTATAAACATGTCGTAGGTATAAATATGTTGTTGGCTCTATGTTTCTAATGGTGGAAAAACAACAACAATTTCAATGATCCTAGGTATAAACCTGTCGTAGGTATAAATATGTTGTTGGCTCTATGTTTCTAATGGTGGCAAAACAACAACAATTTCAATGATCCTAGGTATAAACATGTCGTAGGTATAAATATGTTGTTGGCTCTATGTTTCTAATGGTGGCAAAACAACAACAATTTCAATGATCCTAGGTATAAACATGTCGTAGGTATAAATATGTTGTTGGCTCTATGTTTCTAATGGTGGAAAAACAACAACAATTTCAATGATCCTAGGTATAAACCTGTCGTAGGTATAAATATGTTGTTGCCTCTATGTTTCTAATGGTGGAAAAACAACAACAATTTCAATGATCCTAGGTATAAATATGTCGTAAGTATAAATATGTTGATGGCTCTATGTTTCTAATAGTGGCAAAACTCTCAGATGCAAAAGATTTCTCTTTAGACCTAGCGATCCTTTGGGTAGATGAAGTAAAGTTCATATGTTTCATAATATGTGCATATGAGGGGATTGTGTGGTCACCCCAGCCGTCTTTACTTTCCTTAACGTGAGTTAGGTACTCATCAGAGCTGGGTGGACTCAGAGACAGTGATTTAAACTCGAAATTTTTGGGTTAGCAGTCGTATTTTTCCAGAGGCTATTGAACGCTCTACCACTATGCCACGCTGTCATATATTTACTAATGTAGAAAAACGGAAAATTCCGCCATTAACTGGTCTGTATAAACGATTTTTTTCCGGAGGCTGTTGAGCGCTCTACCACTATGCCATGCCGTCATATATTTACTAATGTAGAGAAACGGAAAATTCCGCCATTAACTGGTCTGTATAAACGATTTTTTCCGGAGGCTGTTGAGCGCTCTACCACTATGCCATGCCGTCATATATTTACTAATGTAGAGAAACGGAAAATTCCGCCATTAACTGGTCTGTATAAACGATTTTTTCCGGAGGCTATTGAGTAACGACATCCAGATAAAGCCACACATATTAGAATAGCTGGACACATTTCACATAAATATTCTACTTTTTTTTATTGCCAACAAGCAGTGGGAGATAGTTAATAGGGCGACTGGAAAGATGCGCAACGTAAAACTGCGCTAAAGAAAGTGCGAAATGGCCATTTTGTTTTCTTTTAATTCGAGCAAATATAGACATTAACAACAAATGACCACATGTACATTGCAGCATAATAAAACGCTTTTCAACTTAATATGACAAAATTAAAGTATATTAGTATAATTAGTGTGTATTTTCGCATTTTCCGTCGCAAATTTTTCCGTTGGTGTATTTTTCCGTTGCGCATTTTTCCGATGGCGCATTCTTCTGGGAACCATTTAATAAATACATCGTCTGCTACTTTGTATGAAAAAAAAAGTCACAATGTTTTCTTTTATTTCTTACATTTAGAAAATCTTCCTGATTCTCTTTAGGTCTGACTTCAATCACGCACGGTAAGGTCACAATCAACGGATGTGACGTCACTAGTGACATCTCCGCCATGAAGAGGACTCTGGGACTCTGTCCGCAGGTGGATCTGTTTTTCCCCAAACTGACGGTATATGAGCACCTAGTCTTCTATTCCATGGTAAGTCAGTTTTTTTCTTTCGTACAAATTATTTTACCGTGCAATTACAGCTTTTGATGTTCCATTTCATGGTAGGTCTACGTCACGTTTTAAGTACAAGCTTTTCAACCGTGTATTTACAACAGAAAACTTACTATATAGGAGCATTTGGTGTTCTATTACATGGCGCGTCGCTTATTTCGTAAAAAGAAGTTTACTGTGCATTTAGAATTAGAAACTTACTGTATACGTAAGTTTTGGTTAAGGTATTCTATTCCATGATACGTCAATTTTTTTTTCCAATAAAAAATTTAACAACTGAAAACGTACTACTTACGAAGGTTAGTTAGGTCGTTATGGTTAAAGCGTTTTATTACAAGGTACGTCACTTTAATTGTACAAACAATTCAACCGTGCTTTTCGAAGTAGAAACTTACTACTTACTAAATAGTCGCCATTGGTATTCTATATCATGATAGGCTTACATTACGTTTTTCTTTCCTTACTATTATACGAACATTTGGGGCTTTATTCCATGGTACGTCACTTATATTGTAAAAAGAATGTAGAATTGGTATTCTATCCCATGATAGGCCTACATTACGTTTTTCTTTCCTTACTATTATACGAATATTTGGGGCTTTATTCCATGGTACTTCACTTATATTGTAAAAAGAATGTAGAATTGGTATTCTATCCCATGATAGGCCTACATTACGTTTTTCTTTCCTTACTAATATACGAACATTTGGGGCTTTATTCCATGGTACTTCACTTATATTGTAAAAATAATGTAGAATTGGTATTCTATCCCATGATAGGCCTACATTACTTTTTTTTCTTTCCTTACAATTATACGAACATTTGGGGCTTTATTCCATGGTACGTCACTTATATTGTAAAAAGAATGTAGAATTGGTATTCTATCCCATGATAGGCCTACATTCCTTTTTCTTTCCTTACTATTATACGAACATTTGGGGCTTTATTCCATGGTACGTCACTTATATTGTATAATTATCATTAAAAAAGTTAAAAAAAAACACGTTTTCTGATTGAACTAAAAAGTAGAAAATAAATGCTATACATCACAATAATGCAAGCGATCACTCTACTATAAGCGATGAAAAACGTGGGGCGCCGAAGTAAAAGTTATATTACTATTGATTAGATAATACTATTGACTTTTATTAGGGAGCTTGTAGAGAGTCAACAGTATTAGAAACTGTAAGAAAATCACGGCGCCCCACGTTTTTCATCGCTTATAGTAGAGTGTTCGCTTGCATTATTGTGATGTATAGCATTTATTTTCTACTTTTTAGTTCAATCAGAAAACGTGGGTTTTTTTTAACTTTTTTAATGATAATTATTTTCTACTTTTTAGTCTTTGTCTGTTTGTTTGCATTAAAATCTTGCTATCGGTTTTATCTTTTCGCATTCACTTTTTTTGGGTAAACGAAGACAACTCGTAAAAAACACGTGCCTTGAACCCGTGTCGAGTGGATTAGCAATCGTGGGCCCAACCACTCGACCATATCGTCTTCCCCATACTGGCCACCAGTTGTTACGGTTGTTTGTACACAAACACCGCGTGAACACTACTCAGTAAGCAAAGAGGGAGAGTACCGAACCTTGTTTTCATCAAATTACAGTTACTGGGTTATGTCCCTTTTTCCCCACGTTTTTACTACAATTATAAAGCGCTCTAAAATGCTCAATAAAATGTTTCCATGGATCAATTTAGTAATAATAACAATTGAATATTCTATTGTCATCCAAAACAAAGCTTCCCTGAAAATTTCAGCGCGCTAGCTAACTGGGAAGTGCCAAAAATTTCGATCGCAAGATTTGATTGGAAAGACAGAGACGAAAGCAAGTTAAAGAAAACGTGGGAAATAAACCGGGAGTGATCTCCCCTAAACTTTCTCGAATATTCTTATATAAAACAACAGGGGATGGGAACGGGCTATAGACATGATTTTAATCCATTTTAAATACTTAAAGTTTTAAAAATAGAATAAAATCTCGTAGACAAAAGAATTGCACACCAAGTGAACGCCAAATAAAAAAGTGCATACTAGTGCGCAATATTATTAGTACTTTATAAATTTACATTAGTTTTTTGAGAAATCGGAAGTAGCGTAAATTAGTACTTCTGGTCAACGGAAATTACTCAAAATTTAAAAGAAGGTAGAGAATTAGATCTTTTACTCACATGTGAAACTTCATTTATCTATCTGAAATAGTACTCAAGTTATAGGCTTTTGAAAAATTCAAAGTAGAAAAAGTACCACTTCCGGTTATCGGAAATCGCTCAAAAGTTGATACGGATCTACGATTTTGATAAAATACTTATATATAAAATGTCATCAACCTAGCTGTAACAGTACTCAAGTAATCGTGTTTACACACAGACACACACACACATATATATATATATATATATATATATATATATATATATATATATATATATATATATATATATATATATATATATATATATATATATATATATATATATATATATATATATATATACATATACATATATATGTACTTGGTGCTTTACTTTTTCATGATAAGTCATCCTATTCATATAAAAAGTTCGGCCGTGAATTCAGCACTAGAAACTGCCTGTATTCAAGTCCTTGATGCTTCCTTATTCCACGACAGGTCTAGATATTTTAACACAGAGTTCCAGAGTTTCTTCCAGGCATCTCTTCGGGGGGGGATGTAATTTATATATATTAAACATATACTTTTACTAGTGTCTGACACCCCCCCCCCGAAAAATGTTGACCGCCACCCCACCCCCCGAAAATATCAAGTGCCGCCCCCCCCCCCCCCCCGGAGAAAAAAGTCTGGAAGAAACACTGCAGAGTACAACTGTGCATTAGGCACTGTGAAAACAACAACACAAAAAGTCCACAATGTGTGACATAGGGCCGTTCGCCCACTAAACCTCACTGTTCTACCAATGGATCCATATATCCACATTTGGCACCTAAATGAACACCCAGACCAACAATGTAGACTTATCAATTTAGGACTAAGACTTAAAGTGGGTAACAAAGTTACCTATCTTATCCATATCCGTACACTTGTGTATAGGTGGGGGAGGGGGGCAGCTCAATTTAGGTGTGAGTAAATATATTTGCGTTGCTTTATGCAGTGGCGTAGCAAGGTCGGGTGTCACCCGGTGCGGCACTTAATGGTGTCACCCCCCCCCCAGAGGAATAGCAACCCTTCCCGGAGACAAACTTTCAATTTTCGATTTACACCCCCTCTCCCTCAAACTTTTGATTTGCACCACCCACCCCCCTCAAACATTCGATTTGCACCTCTTAAAAGACTATTTAACACTCGAATAATCTCTTAATGAGTGGAATTATCATTTTTCTCTATATATTTTTCTATTTTCTGCCTTGGTGTCACCCCCCTAAATGGTGTCACCCGATGCGGTCCGCACCCCTCAACCCCCCCCCCCCCCCCTCTCGCTACGCCACTGGCTTTATGTGATAAGAGTGGGATTTTAAAATATATTTGAGTTGCTTGATGCGATATTTACAGATGCGCAAATCTACACTTAAAAAGACAGAAGCCATGGAGCTACTCAACGTGCTAGGTATTGGAGACAGGGCTAATGTGTATCCACGCAATCTGTCGGGAGGGGAGAAACGTAAAGTCTCAATAGCGTGCGCCTTCGTCGGGAACACTCAGGTAAGTCTAAAATTTGTCGGGAACACTCAGTTAAGTCTAAAAGTTGCCGGGAACACTAAGGTTAATCTAGAAGTTGCTGGGAACACTAAGGTAAGTCTAAAATTTGTCGGGAACACTCATATAAGTCTAAAAGTTGCCGGGAACACTCAGGTAAGTCTAAAAGTTGCCGGGAACACTATTGTTAATCTAGAAGTTGCCGGGAACACTAAGATTAATCTATAAGTTGCTGGGAACACTCAAGTAAGTCTAAAAGTTGCCGGGAACACTCACGTAAGTTTAAAAGTTGCCGGGAACATACAGGTAGGTCTAAAAGTTGCTGGGAACACTCAAGTAAGTCTAGAAGTTGCCAGGAACACTCAAGTAAGTTTAAAAGTTGCCGGGAACATACAGGTAGGTCTAAAAGTTGCTGGGAACACTCAGGTAAGTCTAGAAGTTGCCAGGAACACTCAGGTATGTCTAAAAGTTGCATCAGATTTCCCCTTTCCCTCATCTGTAAAGCTTGGAATCAGCAGTGTCGCAGGAGCTGTAGAAATTAAACCAGAGTTAATAATCCTATCATCCAAGGGGCTCTAATCCTGGTTTTGGAATTTTCTCTCCTGGACAGGTTGCTGCCCCAAGTGACGAACCTCGTCCTCCCGAGGGTAAGAACTGATGACTTTCGATCTAGCAACTTTGTGCTTACCAACTAGACCACTCAGACGAAAATACCCCAATTAATTACAACTATAATGTCCACATGTGGACGGAGTTGTCTAGCGGTAGAGAGCTGGATTGCTAACCCGTTAGTCTCGAGTTCGAATCGGTGTTCAAGTCAGTAGACCGTCCCTGAGTCCACCCAACTCTGATGGGTACCTAACTCACGTTAAGGAAAGTAAATGCGGCTTTGCATAGTGTTGACCACACTATCTCTTCATATGCCGAGGTCACAGAAACAAGTGAACTCTACTTCACTTGCCCTATAGACCGTCAGGTTTGAAAGGGAAACTTTACTTTTTACTTTATAATGTCCACATAAGCAATGGCTATCTTTTTTTTTTCTCTGGCAGACGATTTTCCTTGACGAACCATCCAGCGGCCTTGACCCCAGTGCCAGACAAGACCTGTGGAAGGCCTTGAAGACCTGGCGCTCGGGTCGGACTATTTTAATGACGACACACTTCATGGACGAGGCGGAGAATCTCAGCGACAGAATCGCCATCTTGGAAAATGGCGCCATCAAATGCTGTGGCACCCCAGCGTTTTTGAAGAAAGTATACGGTAAACCTTATTTTCTTCGATCAATAACTACTGTTTCCTTGTAGAGGTCTATCACCTTATCTATTTCTTTTTATAAGCGTTTTAAGATAATTTTCCACAATCGAAAAACGAAAGTATCTAGAAAAAAAATCGTGAGGTTTAGACAGTGACTACAAATAAAGGCTATGGTTGTATACATTTCTTACTTTTTAGAGGGAAGAGGTAAGCGATAAGACTTTTGTTTTCAAGTGGAGGTGGAGGCACCTAGATGATTCAGGTTTTTCAAGGGAGGCGATGTGAAAAACACAAAATGGACACTTTTGATGTTCGAATTGGGGAAGGGGTGTGGTGGTGGGGGGTACATTAATTATTGCACAACATTTTTTTTTACTATAAATGACCTTTGTATTTGTTACATTACAATATTTATGCCATTAGGACTGAACTATAAACGGACGGTTTTATTAGTTAAAAACATATTATTGTCATTAAGACTGAACTATACACTGATAATTGTATAAATTAATTAAAATATTTGTGTTATTAGGTCTGAACTACAAAATGATGACTGTATTAATTAATTAAAATATTAGTGTCATTTGGACTGAACTATAAACTGATGATTGTATTAATTAATTAAAATATTCGTCTAAATAGGACTGAACTAAAAACTGGTGATTGTATTAATTAATTAAAATATTCGTCTCATTAGGACTAAACTACAAACTGATGATTGTATTAATTATTTAAAATATTCGTCTTATTAGGACTAAACTACAAACTGATGATTGTATTAATTATTTAAAATATTCGTCTCATTAGGACTAAACTACAAACTGATGATTGTAAAGGAAGAAAACTGTGTGGAGATGGATGTGGTTAATCACGTCAAAGCCAACATGAAATCTGCAACTTTTCAGGTAATTCGAGAGTACCTAGTGGGTACCTAGTGGGTACCTTGTGGGAGATTAGTGGGTAATTAGTGGGTACCTAGTGGGTAATTAGTGAGGTTTTAGTGGGTAATTATTGGGTATGAAGTGGGTACATAGTTGGTACCCAGTGCGTATCATTTGGGTTTCTATTGAGTATTTGAACTGCACCATTTGTTTACCAAAAAGCTAATATTTCTAGCTGCGAACAGATAATAAAAAAACAATAATATAAAACATGTACGTTTTTAAACTTAATATACAGTTAATGTTCAATGATATATAGCAAAATTAAGGATACTTTCTCCTCTTTTTATTATGTATTTATCAAACACAAACTCGCACACTTAAAAAACGATCTGATGAATGAGCAAAATATTTTATTACATTAGTCTTCAAATAGATCAGAGATGGCATTCACTTTGCCTGAAAGTCTGGTCAGTGAATACCCAAAGCTGCTAGAATGTTTAGAAGAAAACATGGCGGTATTGAACATAAAGTCCTTTGGTTTATCGGCGGCTTCAATGGAGGATGTTTTTTTCAGGTAACTTCAACATTCAGTACAATTTTTTACTCACTTTTAGAATAGCCTATATATTTACAGATATAGTAGATGTCTAATACTTTTTTGTGTGGCTGATAAGAATATACATGTGTATATAGTTGTGTACATATATATATATATATATATATATATATATATATATATATATATATATATATATATATATATAATACGCCTATATAGGCTATATATAAACATATATTATATATTTATATATATATATAAACATGACGGTCTGTGGGATAAGTGAAGTAGAGTTCACCTGTTTCTGGGATTTCGGCATATGAATAGACAGCGTGGTCGGCACTATGCCCAGTCGCCTTTGCTTTCCCTAACGTCAGTTAGGTACCCATCAGAGCTGGGTTGATTCAGGAGCGGCCTACTGGCTTGACCCCGGATTCGAACTCGAGAGTTACGGTGTAGCAGTCTAACTCTCTATCGCTAGATCACCACGTCCCAATTTTACTTTTGTGTTGTAACAAATCTACAATATTTTTTTAACCAACCAAACTGAACTTGAAAGCTTGATCAATTGAAGCGATATTTTGTGTGACTTTTTTTTTCACTGGGATATCTATTGATGACTCTGTATTATTTCTGTCTTTCATACATTAGGAGTCAAGTAGATGTAGAGGAGCAGAATGTAACGTAAGTTATACTAGTTCGTCATACATTTTCTTTTGGTCGAAGTCTTGTTTTGGTGGGCTTCAATATCCTCTTTCTTGGTTTTATTATCTACCAAAAAAATGAAAGATATAGATACGTAAAATAGATATAGTAATACAAAACGGAGTTACTACTGAATTGAATTTAACAAACTCGAAAGATATAGAAAGTAAAATACGAGTAGAAATACAGAACGGCTTTACAAACGAAATTTGATTTTACAAACTAGAAAGATATAGAAAAATTAAGAAGTTATAGAAATACAAAATGGATGTACAACAAAATTGGATTTAACAAACTGGACACTTACGTAGGTACATGATCATGCATAATAAATGCCATAGACTGAAGCAGCAAAATCGTGCAAGATGGCAGACACTGAAATAGTAGCATTGTAAAATTTTAATCTGTCTCTAGTTTAAGTGCCTGCATCAGATAGGAGTTATTAAGGGAATATGCTCAAAAAAAAAATCACCATAATCCTTATTTTTTTTTGTCGTAATGGTTTTTTTTTCACTTTTGGATAATTAGTTCGTTTTTGTAATAAGAAAATAATAACTTCAATAGAAATTTATTTTTAATACCATTTTTATGAACCTATTAATGAAAAAATATTTTTCCCAATCTTACATGCTCTCTACGAAAAGTTTTATATCAATCATCATCTTGTACTTAGGATCATCGGAAAGCTGAATTTCTCATCAATTCCAAAACACGAAAAGCTTACAATCGGCCTTACATTACATTTTGCTGTTTTTCTCAGTTCGCAGTTTTTTAAAACTAAAAAGCCTACTGCACTTTTTATTTATTACACAATGCCTACCATATTTTCAGTAACAGAAATAAAGTTTTTGTCACGAGGAAATAGTGATTGCTTTCATAGCAAAAATTTGTGGTAAATAATATGCAAATTTTGAAATTTTTTCATTCTAAAAAGGGTACGAATTTTCAGGCCTTGTAGAATTCTGACCTAAAGCCTTTTAAACAGTTTTGTCGTGATAAAAGTTTAAACATATATTGAAATAACAGTCGTTTAAATTTGATTGCTATAAGTGCATTAATAAAAAGCCTTAGCGTTTTTAAAAGTACACAAAATTCAATATAGTGGTGATTTCTTTTTCGGGTTTCCATGACAATCAAGATTGTAACAGCCTTTTTTGCTTTAATTATTTTAATACTTACTGTCATGTTCCAAACATGGTAAAAGTATTTAAATGGTTTTAGATCTTAAATTGTAAAAAAAAAAATAGAAATAAACTTAGCAAATCCCCTTAATAAGTGCTAAAAATGTTTCTATATAATTTTTTAAAAATATTTTATTAAAATTGAATAGACCGCCCTCATCTCCCATATTGCCGGGGACTCCAGTTGATGAAGACGACGCCTCAGCTGTTGATAAAGTGACAAGTCAGATCCCTACAGTTCCCAGTAACGTGCCCGTCAGTGCACAAGAGGCTGACGTCCATGTCAAATTCGACTCAAAGGAAGCTGGTATGTTTATGTGACAAGAGTGGGATTTTAGAATATATTTGCTTTATGTGACAAGAGTGGGGTCTTAGAAAATATTTGCTTTATAAAATATGAGTGGGATTTTAGAATATATTCGAGTTGCTTAATGACATAAGAGTGGGATTTTGAAATATATATATAAGAGTTGCTAAATAATATAAGAGTTAGATTTTAGAATATATTTGAGTCGCTTAATTTTATAAGAGTGAGACTTTAGAATATATTTAAGTTGCTTAATGTTATAAGAGTGTGACCTAAGAATATATTTGGGTTGGTTGCTTAATTAATGATATAAGAGTGGGATTTGAGAATATTTTTGAGTCGCTTAATGATATAAGAGTGAGATTTATTTTAAAAGATATTTGGGTGCTTAGCGACGTCAATCAGGTTTAGCTAATTTAAAACCTGAACACAAATACTTCCACGGGCGTCACTTAAAATCATTTCTTATCTCACAGTTCTCTACTAAAACCATATCGTACAAAGAGAAGCTCTCATCACACAAACTTAGAACCCCTCTCGTCATATAATTTTAGATCCCCTCTCGTCACACACAATTTAGATCTCCTCTCCTCACACATTTACCTCTTTCGTTACACAAATTTAGAGACCCGGACTCCACACACATTTGGCACCTCTCTGATCACGAAAAATTCATTTAACTTTGTTGAACAACTTATCTGTTGTTTTACCAATTATATTCCATGATTTTTCTCTAAACCTAACCTTCTTTTGTCCACCTACAGATCTTAAACGCATCATCCAGCTAAAGAAAGAATCCTTCATTGAGAAATTATCGCTCCAATTTTATGCGCTTTTCGTTAAACGGTGGATCCTTTTCAAAAGACGCATCATATCCGTCGTCCTAACAATGTTGACCAATCAGTTTTTAATCGCCTTTCACGTGTGGCAGTCCTATCAGGTGCAGCCAGTCCCTCCCCTAGCCTTCACGACCCAGGGGTACAAAAACATGACCGTCATGATGGGTGCACCCGAAGACCCTGGGGCAATGAAAATCTACAACAGTCTCAAAGAACTCCTGAGGCCGAATTTTCACGTTGTGGAGCCGGATAAGTCTTTGGTAAAGTATTTTTAAACAGCTTTTATTTAGCTTGCTTAGTATGTTTGTGTGTGGTTCTGCAACTATTGGAATCTACATTTGACCCCTTTCCTATTGCCCGAATGATCTGAATATTGGCACAGTGGTAGATCTTGGATGAAAGTAAACGAATATTGTAATTTTTTAATATAATTAAACAGACAATTAGCGTTAAACTTTAATTTAAAATGTAAAAAAAAATTGCTATATTTAAATTAGTATATACCTAATATCTGGGAATCTTAATTTAACCCATTTCCCAATGTCCGATTGAGGTGAAATTTGTAAAATACAATCCTTTTCATAGGAATTTCATTGATAGTTTTACGTTGTATAACATAATATGAGACCTATGCTCAATTTTCATCATTGAGTGCCTAGGCTGTTATATTTAGCCATACCAGCATTTAGCTTTAGTAAGGCTAAACCAAGCTAAATGTACTTTTTAGTGCATTTTTTTCATTCGTGTTTATATATATATATATATATATATATATATATATATATATATATATATATATATATATATATATATATGAATATTTTTAAAAATGAGATTTTTTAAACTTTCAAGACAGTAACCTTGTCTAAAATCATTTGACAAATGTTCAAACGCTGGGCAGACTGTTTTGCTTGAATTTTTAGACATCGTGATCGGATCAGAAAACCGATATTTTTTATCTTAAAGTTAAAAAAAATTCTCCAGTAAATTCCACAACAAGAGATATGTACTTACAATCTCCAGAACCCAAAAAGAGGGCTTAGACTGGTAAACGTCTAGTTGATAAAAGAAGAACAAGTGGTTGGCGAAATGTAAAAAATGCTGCATTTCACTTCCTTGTATGGTTATTCCTTGTATAAATTTTAAGAATATTATTCGGGCCAACAATATTATATTAAGCAGAAAAGAAACATGTTTAACTATTTAAAAACAATACTATTTTTGTCTTAGAGTTTTGAGGCGAATTTAAAGGAATGGGGTCGAGTGAATTCATTGGAAAAATACCAACACAATTTGATGATGGGTTTTGAAATCAAGCCTCCCCCAGACTTCAGTGTCGTCCATTTTCAGAGTTCGTTTGTTCACAGTGAGGCTATTGGGGTAGGTCATAGTTCACAGTGAACCTGTTGGGGTAGGCCAGAGTTCACAGTGAGGCTATTGGGGTAGGCCAGAGTTCATTAGTTCAAAGTGAGGCTATTGGTTTAGGAAAAGGGTCACAGAGATGCTATAATACCTATGCATTCTTTATAATTCCTAGAAAAATTATTAATAAAAAACAACAATATATCATCCCCTGCCTGTTAACTAAAGGGATTGTATACATTTCCTATAGAATTCTATAGAATACACTGCAGGTTTTTAATATATATATATATATATATATATATATATATATATATATATATATATATATATATATATCTTTATAGAGAATATATAGGTAAAAATCGACTCAACAGGTAGATCTACTGCTAAACGCACACGTTCGAGCCTTTCTCGGAAGTGAGTACTCAATCCAAAGTGGAGTCTACCCCCACGAGTCGTTCATCAATGACGTCTTGGTTCAATTTCGCAGCCTTCTAATGTTAATAGTGGGGATGATTTTCGTGCAAACTCTGCTCCTATGCTGGCAAATTACTGAACGGGCAGTGAGTATTCATGACGACAGTATTGTTTATATACATATATATATATATATATATATATATATATATATATATATATATATATATATATATATATATATATATATATATATATATATATATATATATATAGGTATGAGCTCGTGTGTAGATTAGAGTACTTTCGGTATTTGACGAATTTGATTAATACATGAAGAGAGATGTAACTAGCATGTTTTACTTTACAAAAGTTTTTTCTGTGCCTCAAACGTTTCATTAGTTAAACTCAATTTATGTTTATGAGTTTTTGTTTAGTTCACAATATCTGTATGTATGTCCGTATGTTCTTTTGTCTGTATGATTTATGTCTGTATGTTTGTATGTCTGTACGTCTGTGCCTCTGTATGCCTGCATGTCTGTACGTCTGTATGTACGCATATCTGTATGTATGTATGTCTTTATGTCTGTACTTCTGTACATCTGTACGTCTGTATGTACGTATGTATGTAAGTCTATACACGGCGATTTCGTTTGTCAATTCATCAGTTGTAAGATGTATTGAAAATATTTTAGAAATGTGAAATTTATTTCGGTTTATTCTCGTTCTAATTTCTTTAAAAAACCTATTATTACAGAAGTTTTCATTCTTTTATTTCCAGTCCGGATCAAAGCAACTTCAAATCCTCAGCGGCGTTCCCTTTTCGCTGTGCCTGTCTGTAGATGCCATCTTCGATACCCTAGTATTGACAGGGTACGCCGCTGTAATTTGGGCGTCCCTCTTCACACAGAAGTCGGCTGCATACCTAAGCGACCGGCTCGTGCTTCTCATCTTCATACAGCTCCTGGCTTTCGGGAGCATCATCCCATTTGTGTACACGTTTCAGATCTTCTTCAGCACTGCCTCCATTGGCTGTTTCGTCTTCATTGTGTACAACTATGCTATCGGTGGGTCATATTTAAAGCTTGCGGGCGCAGTGGCGTAGGACGGGGTTAGCCATGGAGGGTGTGCAAAATTTCGTTTCTTAAAAAATATTCATACATCATGGAACTCGTACATATATATATATATATATATATATATATATATATATATATATATATATATATATATATATATATATATATATATATATATATATATCATCATGGAACTCGTATATATATATATATATATATATATATATATATATATATATATATATATATATATATATATATATATACTATACTATATACTATGTATATATATATATATATATAAATATATATATATATATATATAAATATATATATATATATATATATATATATATATATATATATATATATATATATATATATATATATATATATATATATATATATATATATATATATATATATATATATATATAAAGATATATATATATATATATACTATGTATATATACATATATATATATATATATATAAATAAATATATATATATGTATATATATATACTATGTATGTTGCGAATACGATACGTAACGTAACGTTAGATCATCTCATTTTTGGGGGTCTGAACCCTTTTTCCATAACCGAATCCCCGCCCTGCCTACGCCACTGAACTGTAAAATTGTACCACACTAGCCTGCATAAAAATTCCAGACGTATCTATCTAACCCAATACTTGTTTTATATCTGCTAAATTTAAATATGTGTAAATATATAAATCATAATTAATGCAATTATTAAACTTAGGCAGCACAGGCAAGTGACAATAAATAATGCAAAATAAATCATAAATATATATATATATATATATATATATATATATATATATATATATATATATATATATATATATATATATATATGTATGTATATATGTATATATATATATATATATATATATAGGCCTATATATATATATATATATATATATATATATATATATATATATATATATATATATATATATATACAATTTATCTATTTATTTATATATACATATATATGTTTGTGTGTCTTTGTGTGTGTGAACAATTGTGTGTGAGTGTATATGTATAGATTTGTCGTCCCATTTTTAAGTATGATGATTTATGTTACTGAAACCGTTTACTGCTGTTTCAGTATTTCTGTACCTGATATACAGCAGACTAGAGATTTTGAAGATTTTCACCCCCAATGTGATGTACATGGATAAAACTACTATGGTCTTTTTACTCTATCTAGGAGAAGGTAGCTAACTTTCTTAGCAGAAGGTAACCAACTCACCAACTAGAAGGTAACCAACTCACCTACTAGAAGGTAACTTTCTTAGCAGAAGGTAACCAACTCACCTACCCGAAGGTACCCAACTCACCCACCAGAAGGTAACCAACTAGAAGGTAACTTTCTTAGCAGAAGGTAACCAACTCACCTACCAGAAGGTACCCAACTCACCCACCAGAAGGTAACCAACTAGAAGGTAACTTTCTTAGCAGAAGGTAACCAACTCACCTACCAGAAGGTAACCAACTCACCCACCAGAAGGTAACCAACTCACCTACTAGAAGAAATTTTTCTTTGCAGAAGGTACCCAACTCACCTACTAGAAGGTAACCAATCAGAAGGTAACTTTCTTAGCAGAAGGTAACCAACTCACCTACCAGAAGGTAACCAACTCACCTACCAGAAGGTAACCAACTCACTTACCAGAAGGTACCCAACTCACCCACCAGAAGGTAACCAATTAGAAGGTAACTTTCTTAGCAGAAGGTAACCAACTCACTCACCAGAAGGTAACCAACTCACCAACTAGAAGGTATCCAACTCACGTTATTTAGTAATCGGATTGATAACTAAACTTCAAAACATCAATAAATATGCGTTTGTTTTCAGATATTTTAAAAGAGATGATAGAACAAGCGGAATTTTTCACAAAATACGCTATGATGTGTGGCTTGATAATGTACTTATTTGAATATCTCCGGATTTTGGGAGTAAGGTATGGTGATGTGGGAATACATGAGGTATAAGTGGGAGGTGAAGTGTGTGAGGTGAAGTGTGTGAGGTGAAGTGTGTGAGGTGAAGTGTGTGAGGTGAAGTGTGTGAGGTGAGGTGAAGTGTGTGAGGTGAAGTGTGTGAGGTGAAGTGTGTGAGGTGAAGTGTCTGAGGTGAAGTGTCTGAGGTGAGGTGTGTGAGGTGAGGTGAAGTGTGTGAGGTGAGGTGAAGTGTGTGAGGTGAAGTGTGTGAGGTGAAGTGTGTGAGGTGAGGTGAAGTGTGTGAGGTGAGGTGAAGTGTGTGAGGTGAAGTGTGTGAGGTGTAGTGTGTGAGGTTAGGTGTGTGAGGTGAGGTGAAGTGTGTGAGGTGAGGTGAAGTGTGTGAGGTGAAGTGTGTGAGGTGAAGTGTGTGAGGTGAGGTGAAGTGAAGTGTGTGAGGTGAGGTGAAGTGTGTGAGGTGAAGTGTGCGAGGTGAAGTGTGTGAGGTGAAGTGTGTGAGGTGAAGTGTGTGAGGTGAAGTGTTTATTGTGAGGGGGTGTATAAGATAAAGCTTGTGAGGCAAAATGTATGACGTCAAGTATGTGAATTGAGCTGTGTGAAGTGAAGTATATTGGTGAAGTGTATATATATTTATATATATATATATATATATATATATATATATATATATATATACATGAGTGTTTAAGTGTGCGTATGTTTGCCTGTGTTTGCCTGTGTGTGAGTGAGCGATTGTCATGTAAAATAGTCAACTCTGCTTCAATCGACAGTTTTAAGAATATACCCGCTCTACATAGACTGTGCCGGAGCTCACTTGGTAGTCAGACAAACATTCTAAGTGACGATGATGTTGTATCTGAACAGAATCGCATCCTTAAGAATTCGAGAGAGCTGAGAGGTACAACATGTTGTGTGTGTCGTTTAAAGATGGGAGGGTTTGAACTGAACTAGAGCTATGTATGGTTTACCGTGTCATGGTTGGGGTTTGGTTTGGACTGCTAGGTTTAATCTGTTAGGGTTAGATTAAGGGAAGGGGGATAGCCTCCGTTAACTTATTAATCAATGCGACTTATTTATTTGTTTGTGTGTAACTCTGTTAGGGTACTTAAAGAAAATATTTGCTCGCATCAGAGACTTTTCTGAAAGTATAGTTGCCATGCCAACAGTGGCCATCTTGATGTGAGGTGAAGTGTGTGAGGTCACAAGGTTCAAAGCTAACATATATATTGATCATATAATCATTGATCCTTTTATTTTACTAACTATAAGCCAACTGGCTTTTGTAACAGAGAATACGTTAGAAATATATTTTTTTTTATTTTCAAAATTTGTTGTGAGAAAATTCAGTAAATAATGCTTTATTTACTACTACTAAGGCTAAGGTTGGACTTAAATTATGTTGTCGAATTCTCAATTTTTTACCGGGTACGGTTTCAATATTACTCAAATTTGATTATATTCTTCTGCCGCCACAGGAAAATTTTTGAGGTGATCTCTCCTTAGTAATATTTTTCTACATTAATAACAAGGTAAAAAGATTAAACTACACCGATTTATGTAACCCATATTATCCCAAGGTCTCAAATTTTTATAATTTTTTGATATGGTTTAGCTTTTGGGCACTGAATGAAGGAATGACTATGGATTTTTCTTTTAAATCAATACTTTTTAAAATATCGATTTTTTTAAAAACGTCCCATAAATGGGACGCTAGCAACGAACGGCCCCATGCACATTTATTGAAAAATAAAATCATTCATCACGAAATATGGCTATTCACGCGAAAATTAAGCTGTATGCTGATTTTGTATTGTTAGACCAATGATTACATTGTTTAGGGCAGCTAAAAATACTGATAATGATCAATTGGGTTAGCCATACCATGGTCTAAAATGCAGAAATTATGTTCAAAAGTCTAGTTTTCTTTCAATCTAGCATCCATCAGAGTAAATAACACTTGGAAATAAGTAAAGCTGTGACTAGTACATCTAATTAGACACACATGATCACAAATATTGTTATTATTCATCGAAACTGTAATATAATTAAATATAAATAATTGATTTTTTGGTGGGCGAACTTGAAATTTTCAGGGGTGGGGACTTAAATTTCAGGGGAAGGGTGGACATTGGTAAAAGTATGTTTTGTATATAAATTCCATTTTGTTATGGGGGCAGAGCCCCCCCCCCCCTCCTCCGAAATGATGCCTGAAAGAAACTGCCCTCGGTGAGTTTGCAAAAGATGATCCGGTCCAGTCCCAGATGTCATCCAGCCATTTTCTCTTTTGTTACCCTCGCTATTCCTCCCCCCCCCCCCTCACAGGCGTACATTAGGACATCAGACATCTTATTTCTAGGGCACGGATCCGTCTCTGGGGGCTTGTATTGAGTGTTCATGGCTCTCATCCATGTATGCACCTCACTATGCGAACAGCTCCCAATCTAACACCAGGGATCTCCTTAAAAAGTTAACAAAGTAAAACTGGTATTGGGAACCTTTGGAGTGGAATATTATTGGGGCATGACAACCGTACACAGCTAATTCACATTTCTGCTATATGTAGCATGAGCTCTCTTATATGAAGAGAGTTAACCAACCCCCGTGACTGAATCATTTCACCTAAATCGTGGCCATTGTTATTATTCTGGTTTGTTATAATTTTAATATCACCCGCTAGTAAATTTACAGCAATACTAAATTAGTTTGTATTCGTTGGTATTAAATACTTCAGTAAGTGTAATTCTGAAAACTTAAAAATAAAATGTAAGTTTTTCAATATTTGCAATTTTTTAATACAATAATATATAAGAAAATATAGCTCAAGGTCATAATTAAATATCTATAAATACTAATTAACACCCTAAAGTCAACAGTTAACAAAGTCAACAATTGTTTCACCATAAATAACCATTTAACATAAATATTTGCATCTGTGTTTCTCGCTAGTGTCCAATAAATGTGACGTTTGTGTAACAATCTACATGGGGCCATTCGTTGCTAGCGTCCCACTTATGGGACGCTTGTTGTACACTTGATATAACGAAGTAGTAAAAAAAATTATTATTCTTAAATTTTTATCAGATAGAAATATGGTACTGCTACAAGTTTCAAATGTATTTTGCACTTAAAATGTTAATATTTTAGAAGATATGCATTTTCCTGCGCGCATGTTTTCTTTTTTCCGCCATTTTGACAAGTCCTGCAAATCCGGCACTATAACATTTTTCTAAATTATTTTTTTTCACAAAACACACACAAATTCAATAGTCTAGCCATTTTCAAATACAATGAAACATAATTTGTGTTTTAAATAGTTTTTAATAAATTTTAGCAATTTTTCTTGCAAGCGTCCCATAAGTGGGACGCTAGCAGAATATGGGGTAAAGTAAAATATATTATAATCTCAAAATTTGCATTTATAGACTGTGTAGTACTTGACGAACTTGAATAAATTATCCGTTGAATGTCTTATTATTCGTGTACTTTGTCATTTTAAAATAATCTATCGTAACCCTCAATGTACAACACGTCACGCTCCGTTTATGTAGTACGGTTCTCAAATTGGCTAAAAAATTACCACACAACTTTTCAAATAAGCAAAACTAGGGTTAACCATTTTCGGTTGACATTGTTACCATGACAATAGCTAAAAAAAGTAAGTGAAGCGAGATCGTCTCTTAGAATAGGGTATAGATACCAACTTCTTTTATCTCCTTATTTGTTCTTAATAGTAATGATGAAAGGGATTCACTCCAATACGATTAAGTTTTACGTGTCAACTTGTTATGCGCCATATAGGCCGATGACTCAGATATCAGCCTGCTTTTCGTTTGGATTTGCTTCCATAGCCTTTTTCTAACCAAAAACCAGGGCCGGCGCTACATATAAGGCGGTCGCCTAGGGCGCTATCAATAGAGGGGCGCTAAAATGGGTAATCGCTATTATTAAAAAGTACCTAATAATTAATAACTTTGATTATATCATATAAACTAAAGGGTAATCTTCAATGGAGTAGCGATTTATTTCAGTGACCAGGACGAACTATCGATTTTGTGCCCCCACTTCAAATTAGGCCTATATTTAGTCATTCGAGTTTGTGAAAATGCCCCCCCCCCCCCCCAACCTTTGTGTCGGTGCCTGTGGTGACCGCACCATCCGCCCTCCCCTAGCCACGCCTCTGTTAATACAATGAGATAATTATTGTATTTACTCTCAAACTTTTAATGATTTTTTTATTTAATGTTGATTTAGTAATAATAGGGCTTGTAAGTCTCGTTTTAAAACTGGATTATTTCAGACCAGAAATGAGTTTCAGCCTATCATGAAATAGTTTAAATGGTTTAATTTAAACTTTAGAGTCTACTTATATTATATATATATATATTTGTATATATATATATATATATATATATATATATATATATATATATATATATATATATATATATATATATATATATATATATATATATATATATATATATATATATATATATATATATATATATATATAATTTTGGAGCCCGAAAAAATTGCTGCGGGGGAGGGGGTGTTTTAATAAGTTCTGCCTAGTTCGCTAAATAACCTGGCGCCGCACTGCCAAAATCAAACTACAATAGGCGATTGTTTGATTGTTAAACTTAGGAGTTGTCTCTCTTAGAAGAGTTGCTGTCGCCAGCTATCGAACCTCATCTGCCAGCAGTGTTTCTTTTTTCTCTGGGGGGGGGGGGGGGGGGGGGCCTTGAAATTTTCAGGGGGACGGACTAAAATTCGGAGGGCAGGGGGGGGGGGCGGACACTGTTAAATATATTTTCGACATCAATTCCATTTCGTTCGGGGGGGGGGGGGGTGCGGTAGATTTTCTTCGGTGGGTGGGGTTCTTACTCGAGTCTTTTCTGTTTATAAATCATGAGCTTTATCGTCTCGACAACGTTGATCCAACAAATACTACGTCAATGCATCAATGGCAACAGAAGTATAATTAAATCTATGCACATTGACATTTAATATTGGTTTCTCTATCATCGAATAGATCAGGTCATTCTAAGAAACGTAAGACACCGATATATAGCAGGAAGGCTTGCAGTAACAGCACTTGAAGGTACGAGTCTAGGGATTTCAAACAATGAATGTTTTGGGTTGCTGGGACAAAATGGAGCAGGGAAATCAACGACCTTCAAAATACTGATCGGGGAGATCTGGAGTCGTTATCGATCGGTTTTGATCGATGATCTTACTTTTATAATCAATCAATTAAAGGTTAGAGGAATTATCTATGGTAACAAAATAGTGTTTTTAATGCTCAGAAAATATTCTGTACTTACTAGTTGTTTTGTGGTTTAAAAATAAAAATAAAAAAGCAACCAAATAATTTTTAACAAACAAAATATCATTAATTTCTAATCAAGAGTAAGATAACAAATAAGTTAAATTGATTGAATTTCTAGATAATCCCTTTTCCTTACAAAGTTAAAACTCGAGGGGGTTGGGGGGGGGGGGGGTTAGAGTATAAATTTATAATATAAATTATATATATTTTCGGTAACCGTAAAGAAAATAGGAAAAGCCGGAAAACTGCGCTACGGAAAACTGCACTACGGAAAACTCCGCTACGGAAAACTGCGCTACGGAAAACTGCGCTACGGAAAACTGCGACCAAAAAATTTACATTGTAGCATAATAAAAGATTTTTTCCACGACAAAGCTAAAGTGTATTAGTATGATTAATTTGTATTTGCGTATTTTTTTGTCTGCGAACGGTTTTTTTTTTTTCATTTTCTCCGTTGGGCATCCCCCCCCCCCCCTCCCCACCTTTAGATGAAATGCCTGAAATAAATTCTGCTTATATCTCATCTGTCACAGATCTATACACTGATTGGTTACTGCCCACAAAGTGATTACCTCCACGAAGAGCTCACTGTTAGAGAGTCTCTGAGTTTATACGGTCGTCTAAGAGGTTACTCCGGCAACAATCTGAAAACGGTGATCGACTACATGTTAAAAGCGGTATTGCTGGAACCATATGCTGACAAACAGGCTAAAATATTGAGGTATTTAGCATATATAATTATTATTTTTTTGGGTTGTTTTTATCGCAATAACTATTTTTATTTACATTTTTTTTTTGCATTAAAGTTTATTCGTAATGGTAAATATAGGTTAATTTTTTTTTAGTTCGGTATTTTGAATGTTTCCCATATTAAGAAAAACATTTATGTTTAAAAGGCAATATATCATTCAAAGAATAAATGTTATTTTTTAACAGAAAAAAATTATTAACTCAAGACAGATTAACACACACGCACATGCACTCTCAACAACACACATATATATATATATAATATATATATATATACATATATATATATATATATATATATATATATATATATATATATATATATATATATATATATATATATATATATATATATATATAGTTATTTATTTATATTTATATATATATATATATATATATATATATATATATATATATATATATATATATATATATATATATATATATATATATATAGTTATTTATACATATATATATATATATATATATATATATATATATATATATATATATATATATATATATATATATATATATATATATATATATATATATATATATATATATATATATATATATATATATATATAGCTCTGGCACTAAACGCAAATTATCCATTGCGATCGCGGTGATGGGCAACCCCAAATTTTTGCTGCTCGACGAACCGACGACAGGAATGGACATTGTGGCCAAACGTGCCGTCTGGGACTTGCTGAAGACGATGCGATCTCTCGGCTCTACCCAGATCCTGACGTCACATAGGTTCGTCTGCTCCCACACACGTTTTCTGAAACAGATGGTTGGCAGAAAGTGCACACACTCATAGGCTCTATACACACTTAGCCTGCCTAGCTTCAACTCCCTCACCACTCACCATTCCCCCCCCCACCCCCACTGGAAATATAGAACACTATCCCACTTGCTCACAAGCGTAGAATCTGAACGGTGTCTCTTACACATTTCTCGGGGGTAAGGGTGGAGGTAGCATTGCACTTACACTTTCCCTTCCAACCTCCCTTCCCAATGAAAGAGAAATATAATTTAATTTATATAGAAAAAAATATAATTTACCAGAGGGCTCATTTTGGTCGAGTCGGAGGGAATCCCTTCCAACACCAAAATTAAGAACGAAGAAGAAGAAGAAAGACTTCCTATTCTAGAGTAGAATCGAACATTTCCAATTTTAGCGCAGAATCGAACAATACTTACTGTAGTGTAGAAGCGATCAATTCTTACTGTAGCGTAGAAGCGAACAATTCCTACTGTAGCGTAGAAGCGAACATTTTCTGTTGTAGCGTAGAATCGAACATTTCCTATTTCAGAGTAGAGTCGGACAATACTTATTGTAGCGCAGAATCGAACATTTCCTATTAGGGGGTCAGCGTGGTCGAGTCGGACGGAATCCCTTCCAACACTAAAATTAAGAACGAAGAAGAAGAAGAAAGACTTTCTATTCTAGCGTAGAATCGAACATTTCCTATTGTAGCGTAAAATCGAACATTTACAAACATCTCCTATTGTAGCGTCTAATAGAACATTTACGACCATTTCCTATTGTAGCGTAGAATCGAACATTTCCTATTGTAGTGTAGAATCGAACATTTCCTATTCTAGCGTAGAATCGACCATTCCTATTGTAGCGTAGAATCGAACAATTCTTACTGTAGCGTAGAATGGAACATTTACGACCATTTCCTAGTGTAGCGTAGAATGGAACATTTACTACCATTCCCTATTGTAGCGTAGAATGGAACATTTACGAACATTCCCTATTGTAGCGTAGAATGGAACATTTACGACCATTTCCTATTGTAGCATATAATGGAACATTTACGAACATTCCCTATTGTAGCGTAGAATGGAAAATTTACGAACATTCCCTATTGTAGCGTAGAATGGAACATTTACGAACATTTCCTAGTGTAGCGTATAATGGAACATTTACGAACATTCCCTATTGTAGCGTAGATTGGAACATTTACGACCGTTTCCTATTGTAGCGTAGAATGGAACATTTACGACCATTTCCTATTTTTGCGTAGAATCGAAAATTCCCTATTGTAGCGTAGAATGGAACATTTACGACCATTTCCTATTGAAATGTAGATCTGGTGCTCTCTACTGTAGTATCAAAACGTGAGCGTCTGTATCATATCTGCAGCATGGAGGAGTGCGAGACGCTGTGCACGCGACTGACCATCATGTCCAAAGGCAGACTCCTCTGTCTGGGCAGCCCCCAGCACCTCAAGACGAAATACGCCCAGGGTTTTACCATCACTGTACACCTGAAGCCTGAGTCTGGATTCACCGTGGATGACGTCATCAAACACCTGAAGGGCATCTTTCCTCAGGCCGAGGTGAGAGAAAATAATTTTAAAAATGTAAAAACATTTAAAAAATTAAGTTTATTAAGCTTTAAATGCGATGAATATAATAAAAATTACATTTTAGAGAAATATCTGCACCTTCTTAGGCGCTCGGGCAAAAATACTCAGCCGTGAAAAAAAAAACAGTTCACCGGCGACAGTCAGTTTAGATTTTAGAGCGATCGCTAATAATTAATCTAGTTGCCTCCCCTTTTATTGAAATTTTAAAAAAAATTTAAATTTAATTATTAAACTAATGTCTAATTAGATTACAAAATAGATATTATTGAACTTTCACGGAGACAAATTTATCTGGAAAGTTTGAACGAAATCGCTGCATTAGAAGTGGGTCAAAACTAACTTACAAGATTTGCCACTTCCCACAAACAAATAGACATTGTGAACCAATTAAAAACTTATAATCTATATATATATATATATAAAATTCTCTTCTGGGAGACGCTAGAAAACAAGCTGCAAGCGCGCTCCCTACCTCCCCACCCCTACATGGTCTGGTGGGCTGTGGTTCACGCTAAATGTTTACATCGTAGAGCCGGGTTTAGTGAAGGCTATTAGGGGCAGATAATTTATTTGAAACGATTTTAAACTATGGGGAGATAACTTAGAGGAGGCTGCTTTCACGAGGGGGGGGGGGGGGGGGTAGGGTAGGGGTTGAGGGAAAGGAGGGGGGGTAGTATCGTTCTTAACGACCTACTGATAGTGTTTTAAAGCAAGTATTTTCAGTGGCAGCATTGGTACTGTCGAATTCACAAATTCTGAATTACTGAAAAGTAGAAAATAAAACAACTAAATAGCGGCGTATGATATGCCGCGGGTCGGCTCGTATGTAATAAAATAACTACAGGTATATAAACATGCTCTAGTGAGTTTTCACGAGTGTCTTTCTTGTTATAAAAATAATATAAGATATTATAGGGACTAAAAGATTAAGGGTACGAGGTGGTCTAGCATACATATATATATATATATATATATATATATATATATATATATATATATATATATATATATATATATATATATATATATATATATATATATATATAAATTCCTAAATAAGAAGTGGCTCTCTCTATAATTTGAACAATTAGGTATTCAGCCAAATGGATCTGTACCTCCACCTGCAAGTGCCTGCTGGAATCGTTCCCCTGTCTGCCCTGTTTGACAAGATGGAGACCGCTAAAAAGGATCTCGACCTAGAGCACTACACCATTCAGCAAACCACCTTAGAACAAGTGTTTCTCATGTTCATGCACAAAACCAAGGCTTAGGGAGCCATATTTTAATGGTCTTATTCTATAATCATAGTGATGCTGATGCAATGGTCATTTTATGCACCAATAAAATATATACCCATGTTTTGAATTCTTTTTAAATATATTTTTAGCGCAATTTCCATACTGGAATTGTTAGCGCAATTTCCATACTGGAATTGCGATTATTAATTCGTCATTTCTGGATGTGTGTCCGCAGCTTTACCGCAGCTTTAAGTCGTATCTCCTCCTCAACGAAGCGATATCGAGGACTAGTTCCAAAAGCAAATATGTTAAGCAAGTTCCGAGGATGATTGTGGGCCAAAAAAAATTCCCGGAATTCCTTCCTGGATTTCCCGGAAAAGCCAATAAACCTCGAAAAAATGCAATTTTTGGCCCATATCTCGGCAACCAGACCACTTAGCGACTTGAAACATTTACCAATCGATTCCTGCCATAATTTAGAACAATATTGCCGAAGAAAGTTTTCAAAAATATCCTTTCGTTCGGTCACAATTTTTTTTTTAAATTACATTATACATAATACACTACAGTACTATATAGCAATATAGAGAGCGCGATAACTAAATACCCCCTACACGTCCGCAAATTTTTTAAAATCTCGTTAATAAATATTTTTTTCTATTTTGTTTTGAATTATTAAAACTACTTGTGTTGCATTATTTATTTGTTGAATAAATGATTTATCTCGATTTAAAATTGTTATGGATAACATAAGGAAATTGCGCTTCAATTGTCACTAGATTTTTTATTAACTTGTTTTGTTTCCTATTAAGAAGGGTACTGGGTTTGGTAAATGCTCATATGGAACATCTGGGGTTCAGTATACCCAACAAGGTTAGGAGCCACTGGTGTTAAAGTAAATATATAATACAAAAGTTGGGGATTAATTAGGTGCCGTAGCGCAACGTCTGGGAATACTCATATGATGAGAGAATTGTAGTAGTCTTTTTTGTTTAATGTGTGAAAGAAGCGAAAAGCCTGAACAGGAATTACTATTGTATAACCAAAACTTACTAATATGTAATGAAAATGTAGTAATACGGGATAAAAACATACTAATGTGTTACGGGAACTTACTGATGCAAAATAACTTACTAATGCATAATGAGAAATGATTATAATTATAGTGTATTAAAATGACGGTTTTTCGAATTAAGAAGTCTTGAGACTTCTATTTTTAAACTGAATGGAACCATCTCCATTTTTATTGCGATATAAACATTACACAATCAGGTGTACGTGTCACGACCGCAGTTGCCAGTTGGGCCTACGAAGACCATGAAACGATCCTGCAACAGACTTCTGCATCAACGACATAGATCTAGAAGTACAGTGTTATTAATAGATTTCAAGTAGTGGAGGTAATTTCAAAGAGTTCCGTGTATTTTCAGTAATTTTCCAGTGGACATCTCATCTTCAATCAAAGGCGAAAATGAAAGGCAATGAGATCATTAGCAGCATTTCCATACTCCATTTTCATCAAATTGAAGTTTTTGTAACCTTTTGCGTCTTACCATTTTAGCATATTCAGAACACCCTTGGCTACCACCAAACTTTTCCTAACCATTACCCAATGAATGTTAACCTTGACATACACTTTAACCATATCCTATGCATAACCCTAGCTAAATATTTAATCTCAACGACAACCCCAACCCTATCCCTAGCCACATAGGGTCGGCCACCCCTCCCGCCCTCCCCTAACTACGCCGCTGGTCAGTCTGCCTGTCAGCCAGTTGATTCACACGCATCGTTGGACTGATGTGGATCATTTTTTACATTTTTACTTTCTCGTATATACGTAGTATAGAGAAAGTATTGTAATCGTGCAAAAAAAAAAAATCGAGATTTTTACAAATCTCGACGTTTTACACCTCACTGATACGGAAAAACATAATTTTGCAATCTTGTCCGTATGTCTGTGTGTGTGTGTGTCTGTCTGTCTGTCTGTCTGTCCGTGTGTAAACACGATAACTTAAGTACCGTTACAGCTAGGTTGATGAAATTTCATATATAAGTATTTTATCAAAATCGTAGATCCGTATCAACTTTTGAGCGATTTCCGATAACCGGAAGTGGTACTTTTCCTACTTTGAATTTTTTAAAAGCCTATAACTTGAGTACTATTTCAGATAGATAAATGAAATTTCACATGTAAGTAAAAGATCTAATTCTCTACCTTCTGTTAAATTTTGAGTAATTTCCGTTGACTGGAAGTAGTAATTTACGCTACTTCCGATTTCTCAAAAAACTAATGTAAATTTTTAAAGTACTAATAATATTGCGCACTATTATACGCGTTTTTATTCGGCGTTTGCTTGGTGCGCAATGTTTTTTTTATGAGATTCTATTCTATTTTTAAAAGTTTAAGTATTTAAAATGGATTAAAAATCATAACTATATCCCCAGTTACCATCCCCTGTTGTTTTATATAAGAATATTCGAGAAAGTTTAGGGGAGATCACTACCGGTTTATTTACAAGTATTTTCCTTTATGGTTACTTTGCTGTCGTATTTATTGAGACATCATTAGTATTCCCGTAATTGAAATTTTCAGTTTATTTATAAAGATGCAGATGTCTCGCGTGCATCTTTCGCAAATTTTATTCCAATGTTACAAGTAATGAAATATTACTTGAGTTTTCTGCGATACTTAAAACGACGATTAGCCTATATCAAGTCACTAAGACCTTCATTTAAAGTTTAAGTTTTATATTTGTATTAGCTTTTTGAATGCTATAATTTGAATGCTTTCTAAATAGAGCATCATATGTAATTGATGTGATCACAGATAGTAAAGTTACATGTAACCTATAAGCTTTAATGAAGGAAATTTGAACCCCCTCCCCATTATAAAAGCACTTATTTAAGATCGGTTCTTTTAAGATCGCAAAATTGAGGTTTTGTGTCCTTTTGGAGTTCATGTTGGTTATAGTAACCCCGAGTACGCTCCTGGCTGCGCTTTTGTCTTCGCGCATTTTCTTTATTTGATAATAATAGGCCTAATTAAGAAAATTATTAAATCAGATTACTCCCGAATGAAGGGGATTACAGTAAGCCCATTGTTATTTTTAATTTGGTTTGAGGGTTATAATACAAAGACAGATAATTTATTGTACGCTTAAATTACACTTAAAACATGTGATGCGTTACCGTCTGATGTATTTAGTCACAGTTTGCCGTATTCACATAACATATTTCTAAATATTAAAATACGTTTTAAACAAGAATTTAGGTAATCACGAAAACGTTTATAGTTTTTTAAAAAAATATCTAAAAGTAGAAAAAATTATAAAAACTTAATGCCAAATTAAAATTGAGTTAGATTATTTCTAGCCCGAAAGAAATACGACAGAAAAACATATAGATCTAGAACTGTTGTTGAAAATATCGTGGCAACTTCCGGTATCAATATGTTTGGATCTAGAATCTAATTACAAGATAACAAGAAGAATAGCATTTAGATTAAGTCCGGAGTAATATCGCCCTGTCGGTGCCCTTCCTCAAGCCTAGGCCTTAAATTAAGGCATGATTTTAAAATAATGTAGGGATTTTCAAATTGTTTCATGTTTAGTTTTTAGCTTTAATGTTGCTCAGATTGTTTCTTTATACTTTATTATTTATTAGTATTAGTTATTGGTAATCTATCGTTTTAGGTACGTAAAATCGCCCGCGACTAGTAATGTGAAAAACAGGTGACTCCTTACATTTTAATAATTATTTCAAATTTTGAGGAGGATTTATGTTTTGAAAAATACAAAAATATTTCCTTGTTTCATTTATGTACCTGTTTTTAAACAATTGAATTAAAACTTTTCAGTAATAAATGAACACCAGCGATGTTTCCAACAGATGCAACCATGCTCATTTACTATAGCAGCCATCTTGTTAAAGTTTTATTTTTATAGACATATAGCGCAAGATTCAGGCGGAAGTCACTCTATTTTACAAATGGCTGCTGTTTATATAGCAAATCTTGCTTGCAGACACTGCTGTTTAAAGTTAATTTCTGGCCTATATTGATATATTTAGCCATTGATTAAGGTTTATTATTCATTTATCTATAATATTTGACACAAACATATCACAATATACTTCTATTACAGCCTTGACAATGAGGTAACGTTTTCGTACATTAATAGCCGCGGGCGATTTTACGTACCCAAAACGATAGATTACCTAGTTATTAGACTAGGTCTAGGACAGGACAGGTAGACTCTAACTCTAAGTCTAAGTCTAGCTCTAGCTAGGTGAAATCTAGTCGGTAAAACTTCATTTTATCGTATTTTATTCCCCGCTCCACGTTCACGTCCAGATTAACGTATTTTTAGTATTTTATTATATAAACACAACCGAAAACACAAACACGTTAGGAAAACATTGGGCTTATTTCTGGTAAAACCTTAATTTAGCGTCGGAAATTATCGCGTAATGTTTGTTGAGTTTCGGTAACTAGAGTTACGGTAAACCATGGTTTATTTGACCATTGAAATATAAATAAATTGAAAGTCGATTGTAGTAAATTGTTTTAATTTTTTTAAGTTTAAATAATCAACAAAAGGAAACAAGAATAAATATAATCTTTATATAATAGTAGATCTAAATTAGTAGATCTAAAAAAACAAAAAAAAACAACATATATTAATATAAATAATGAAGTCAAATGTTATAGGCCTAATAGTATAATTTAATTTTTTAATGTTTTTGGCTTGCAGCGGATTTGCGACCATTAATTAATTAGATCTAGATCTAGCTAGATATCTAGCTGCTAGGCCAAGTAAAAAAATCTAGATTACGAAAATAGTAAAAATGATTACAAAATGTAAAAATGATTACAAAAATAAATCTATCCAAATTTTAAACATTCTGTATAAAAATAAAAGATGACGCCAAATAAAGTATGGTTTACAGTACTTCCGGTGAATTCCGGAAGTGTGTGATAGACTTTGGCATTGTTTTACTGTTTTTTACTGCTATACGATTCCGGAATATAACCGACGCTAAACTAATGTTTTATCTAATTTTTTTTAAATCTTTGTTTTAGTTTTTGGTAATTTACTTTTGTCAAAACTTTAGAAAAATCCAAATTTGGAATATTGAATGTGCTATGTTATGTTTATTTATTTTTATTATGTATGTTCGCGTGTCAGTTAAGAGCTTAAGATTTTCATAAGCAATGGGAGAAGTACGAAACTCACAATTGCAAGGCAGTTAAGTTTGTATTGTTGCAATTATCTCCCACACATGATACATTAAAAAACTGTTATTAACTCACAATGACCCCAAAACTGAGGCCAACACAATTTCAAATTAACTATTGCCCAAGCTATAACATTTGCAGATAGTTAAAGACAATGTATGTGAACTCAAGGTGAACCCTCGACGGTGTAGGGATTTTTCTCCCGTTGACAATCACACTGATAATCACATGCTATTAAATTGAAACTGTCCTAATGCTTTTTAATGGTTTTTTTTTACCTTTTCTTAAGTAGATACAGATATAGCTCTAATTCTAGTGTTTTCCCAACATTTTTGTGTGTTTTAGTTGTGTTTATAATAAATACGCTCAACCGGAGGTGAGCGGGAAGCAGCAAATAAAATACGCTAAAATGGAGTTTTACCCACTAGTCTAGTATGTAGTACTGTAGTACTTTGTAGTGTAGTAGATCTAGTTAGTTAGTAGTAGTACTTTTAGTAGTGAAGTAGAGGTCTTGCCCTTTGTGCCTTTGAAGTTTGTTGTCGTTACACCCGCCTATACCCAGTTAGTAAAAGTATTAGAAATCTAGATCTAGTGCTTGAATCTAGAACAGTACCAAAAGTTGAATACACTTTATACACTTTGACTTAGGTTAATAATAGTCAAGTTAAACTTAGTACTAAGAAGTACATAACATTAATTTAGTTAGTAAATAAACAGATCTATATTTATTTCTCACAATATGATTTGAGCATTGGGCTACACACTAAATACTAATGCACACACATTCACTCCTACTCAGTCCAGTGTTATCACACTTTCAGTGACTTTCACACACACTGTGATTGTGGCATAGGCAAGGGCATAACATAGCAATACATCATAGTAACTACATACTACCAGGACCAACTACTACTCATACTGTAACATAATATCTGGCAACATCAACGAAGAATTTGTAAACATGAGTATCTTGCGTTTTGACGATCTTCTTGACGCCAAGTCTTGCTGCAGTAGTAACCATTATAGCCCACTATGCCCATCATCATGCTTTAGCAGCAGTCTGCCAAGACATCATTTTCAAGATCATCAGGGTAACTTTCAGCAACAGCAAGGCCAAGGTGTTTCACGAGTTGGTGAATCAGAGGTATTATTATTTATTTTAAATTTAAAGCAAGAGTCATGTTGTATTGACACCTTTAACATTACAATTTATTAGTGAACTGAGGTTTTTATCTAAACCTAAATGAATATTTAAAACAGACTTTTTATCAGAATGTAGTCATGCTTTGTTTCAAATTCAATTGAATCCAGACAACAATACTACTAAAACAATAGGGCCTGCCACAGCAAATAAACCTGTTATATATCCTTGCTGTATTTTAATTTTTGTTGTTGTATTTCTACCCTATTCGCTCGCTATGATATCTACACTTTTCATGTTTTATTGCTTTCAATATAACTTAGTTCTAGTCAGCTAATTTTAAATATGGCTTTGTTAGAGAAACAAAAAGGCTAGTACCTGAAGTAAACATGTTCATTAAATAGTCAAGTGGCCTCACTCTAAGCTATGTTTGACTAGAAGTAAAAAACTGTTAAATCCTATTTTAGATAGTATTGCCAATAATATTATTTCAAACCCTACCTATTTCTATTTATAAGTCTCACCATAAGTATATTATTTGTATACATCATATAGTATCTTTACCACTACACAATTGTGTACAGATGATGATACATTATTATTTTTATCTCAATGCTGTTGTCTTTTTAAAATATATGTACTATTATTTTTCAATCAAAATTTGGACTAGTGTTAATAGCTGATATGATTTCTATATAATTCTTTTCACTGACATCCCATCCCAGCTGAATGTTTGTATTTATTTTCTAGATATCTAATACTGAGAGAGAATACAAAATCCGTCTTGCGCTGCAATTCTATCAGCCCAGTGAAGTGACGCTGACTGTAGCTGCTAACAGCTTGACTGTCGATGCAAAGCATGCACAGAAGGAAGACAATCATGGATCTGTGGTCAGGACATTCCAAAGAACATACAAGTTGCCAGAGGTAAAATGTTCTTACTTGTCCAGTGTTAGTACTCAGTATCAATTATTAATTTGCTTGATAGAAATTCTCTTATTTAATGTTTGCATTTAGTTTTTAAAAAATTATGAACAACGTATAAAATTAAAATAGAGATTAAAACACCTTTGTATAGTAATGGGGGTATAAGAAACAGGCTTAAGCACCTCTTTAGGACTGTTTAGCACCTTTGTAGACTGGGTGTATAACAGATACAACAGCAGAATGCACACTATGAAGGTATACACACTTGTCTATTTCAGGATTTGGAAACCAAATCAATAACATCAACTATGGATCCTCAGGGTTCATTGATCATCAAGATTCAGAAAAAGCCTCAAGAAAATTCCAAAGAAATCTCCATACCCATCAATTTTAAATGAATTTATTTAGCCACTCCAAGCTGTAAATATATAATTTAAAATACCGGTATGCATATTTTAGAAATGGCAGTAACAAAGATATAATTTATCAAATTCAATCCCATATGATGATAAAAACATTCAAAAGGAAGATGTGCAATATGATGTTGAACACCACGGTGACATTGATTAAAGCTATGTAAAACCAAATACACAAGTGTGCATATTTACTTTTAAAGTCTTTGTGTGAATGTGCAGGTGCAATTCTTTTATTTTTAATACTTTATTTTCTTTATTTCCTTTATTCTACACTAACCAAGTGATCAGAAATAAATCCCTCTGTGAATGTGCAGGAGAGCGCATGATTTCTAACACCAAAAGTTCAGAGTTGAGACTCCTGGACAGATGGGGCTTATAAACTGGAGACAGCAACCCATCTAGATTGCTGCCTTGCAGATTGTTCCAAAACCTGTAGAACAATTCATGAAAACAAAAAGCAGGCGAAATTTAAGTCAACAGGCCATAATATATATGGTGCCTAACACAGTTAACATGTAATAATTTAGAGGAAATTCCACCCTACATTACTATTAACTGGGAACGGCGTGGCCTAGTGGTTGAGAGCTAGACTGCTAACCCGAGAGTCTTGGGTTTGAATCCGTGTTCTAGTCAGTAGAATGTCACTGAGTCCATGCAGCTCTGATGGGTACCTAACTGACATAAGGGTAACAAAAGCGGCTGATCAAAGTGCTGACCACGTTATCCCCTTGGATGCCGACGTCATTGAAAACAGATAAACTCTATTTCATCTGCCCTAAGTGTTTTGGGCACAAGCAGGAAATGATTATGATTACAAATAATTACTGCTTTGCAGATTCTCTTATCTATATAAAGGCTATAAAAGCACATCCAAACAAAAAAACCTGGAGTTAACTGGTCTTATAGTATATAACATGTTGAGATGTATTAATCCCCTCCAATAATTCAATATCACAAAATAAGAAGAACAAAATATCAATAAATTTTGAACAATTGAATCACAATATAAAACAGATGTTACTCTTTAATATTAACGAGCCGGCCCGCGGCATAACATACGCCGCTATTTAGTTGTTTCTAATTTTCAATAATTCATAATTTGTGAATTCGACAGTACCAACGCTGACACTGAAAATATTTCTTTAAAACACTATAAGTAGCTCGTTAAGGACCATAACCACCCCCCTTCCTTCCCTCCACCCCTCCTCCCCCCCCCCCCCCCTACGTTTAAAATCGTTGGCTCTGCTTGTAAACATTTAGAGTGAACACAGCTCACTAAAACCATGTAGGGGTGGGGAGGTAGGGAGAGCGTTTGCAGCTTGTTTTCTAACGGCTCGAAGAAGAGAATTATATATATAGATATAGCCTGGTAAATACGCCTCTTACTGTGATCTTTAACTCTAAGAAAATATTGAGCTGTAACCATTTACAAAAAACAATTATGAAACAATACTAGGGCAAAGTGGTATCGCTATAACGGATGTCAACCAGTGCTGTACCTAATAGTGTCACCCCCCCCCCCCCACCCCGAAAAAATTACACACACGCACACATGTGTATTGTCAAGATGGTCAATATGTAGTTTTAAGACTTAATTTTAAACTCTAATTATTCATTAATTAAACAGACAAAAAGCATTTTTCTTCTATATATTTTGCAATTTTTCATCTAGGTGTCACCCCCCGCCCCTGTAGCTACTGTTATTTACTTCTAGCTAGGGTGATATAACCAAATATATCTCAAATCAAAAGGTCTATTTAGTACCCTAAAATTGTCAGCTTACCCTGATCAATAATAGATTCATCTTTACAATGTAGGCTACTAAATAAGGATTAAATAACGAGCTTTATAAGTCTTTGTGTACTAAAAAGAACAAAGTAACTGATTATCTTAAAATTAAAATATGTAATAAATAATGCAACACTTTGTAAAAATAACTTTGGATGAGGGGTGGCAAGCATACCCTTTTCACCACATCACACTTTTTGTAATGATTTTTAGCCCCCCCACCCCCACACAACTCAAGAAACCTGAACCCATCTAAAATTAAAATGAAACATCTAAGCCTCTTCCCATTCACAATTGAAATAATTGTTTTTAGGTGGTTTCTGAGTAAAATCAAATAACCTAATATAGGGACCATAAAGCCTAGTGGTTTTAAAATTATAAATAATAATAAAAAATAAAAGACGAAATCGAAAAAATCCGTTTTCACTCATAAACAATAACAAACTCTGATCTCTAAATCTAGACTAGTTACAGTGAGTTACACGTTACACAGTATCAGTAACAGTCACTAGATCTAGATTTATACCTAAATAGATTAGATCTAGATCTATATTAGGTAAAATCGTGATAGATCTACATTTGTTTTTCTTAGAGTCTAGATAAGACATTAGGTCTAATCTAGATCTAGATCTAGATGATAGATCCTCAGCCACCCCAAAATTGGATTTTTAAAAAAAGTGATCTAGACTAGATCTAGCTACTCTAGTGTACTAGATCTAGATCTAGATCAGTAGATCTAGATCTAGAATAAAGATTTAGTTTAGATATCTAGATCTAGATTAGAACAGATTCTAGATCTAGAAAATCTATATATATATTCGGTAATCTATCGTTTTGGGTACGTAAAATCGCCCGCGGCTAGAAATGCGCGAAAAAGTTGCCTCACTGTCAAGGCTTTAATAGAAGTATATTGTGATATATTTGTGTCAAATATTATAGATAAATGAATAATAAACCTAAATCAATGGCTAAATATATCAATATAGACCAGAAATTAACTTTAAATAGCAGTGTTTGCGAGCGAGATTTCCTATATAAACAGCAGCCATTTGTAAAATAGAGTGGCTTCCCCCTGAATCTGGCGCTAAAAGCTTATAAAAATAAGACTTAGACAAGATGGCTGCTATATAGTAAATAAGCATGGCTGCATCTGTTGGAAACATCGCTAGTCTTCATTTATTACGGAAAAGTTTCAATTCAGTTGTTTAAAAACAGGTACATAAATGAAACAAGGAATCATTTTTGTATTTTTCAAAACATATATCCTCCTCAAAATGTGAAATAATTATTAAAATTCAAGGAGTCACCTGTCTTTCACATTACTAGTCGCGGGCGATTTTACGTACCTAAAACGATAGATTACCATATATTCTATCTAGATCTTTCCAGAAGTTGACCCCCAAGTTAACTCTCTCACTCATTAAAATTATAAAATAGCCTATAGGATCTACTATCTAGTTCTAGATTCTAGATCTAGATGATACTCACAATACTCAATATATAATTATATTAATTATATATTTGATTTTACTAAAGTATTTTTTATTAGTATGAAGTAGCCCACTTACTCAGTTACTGTGACGGACAATAGAAGAAACGAAGTGACTACTCGGAAGATTTTTCTCCCCAACGTCTCCACTTAGTCGGCAAAAGATAGCTCTGCGCAGTGACCTATGGCTAGAATGAGGGTTAGGGGTAGGGTTAGGGTTGGTGTTAGGGTTCTGCGGTTGTAAACACACACATGCGCAGTACCATCGAAAACATCGCCGGGAAGGCAAGTCGTAGTTTCTCTCCATTGCGCATGCGTATTCCGGCTAGCATCGGCCTAAAAGAAACTACCATTGTAACCATATTGGTGTAGAATGTAGATTAATATTAATTACTAATTTGGCCTAATAATTAGTAGACTATCATTTTTAAATGATACATTCCAGAAATCAATACTTTTATTTTTAGGCTCACAGGCTGAAGTAGGTAGATCTAGAATTAATTTTAGCCCCAAAGAATATTATGTCCATCACTTTAGGCTAATAATAGACAATCTAATAAATACTACACACTTAATGACTTAATAATTTTTAATATCTAATTTAATTTTTCAAATTATATAAAAATTTAATTTATTGTAGATAAAAGAAACTAAAGTCAACTTGTGATGACAAAGCAAGATTTCTAATATGGATTTGGTTAATCCTTCCAATGATGAAGTGCTGAAACTATGGAAAAGCTGCTATGATGAAGATGAGGATGACATAGATGAGTTTACAGAAGAAGAATTAGCAAGTGAGCCTGTCTCTTCTGTCCACTTTTTATTTTTAATGGCTTTTTCTTAGGTCACCATGACCGTTGGTCATTCAATTTGTTGTCATATTTAACATGTCTTTTTAGTACATTTTGTGACTTCTATTATCACAGCTAGAAATGTATCATTATTTTAATCTTGTAAAAGCTTATTTTAAATGTGATTTAAGTTAAAAAAATATGTACAAGTTTTGGAATCTCTCGTTTGTAAATTAGATTCTAGGCCTAGACCTTTAAAAAATCAGGTTTTTTTTCAGATGACCCTTCAAAAAGGATATTATGGGCTGCGGAAAATAACAAATTAGAAATGGTCAGTGAGCTTCTATCAACTACACCAAGCTTAATTTTATCACATGACGCTGATCTGTATACACCACTACACAGAGCTTCATACAACAACCATAAAGATATGGTTCATGTGAGTTCTGTTCAATTTGAATAACAATATATAATCAACAGAATCTATATATATATAATTCTCTTCATGGGGACCATGCGAGACACCAAGTTAGCCCACGTCATAACTCCCCTGCTCTCTCGGCATATTGCTACCAACCACACCCCCCACCAGTCAGGCGAGCTGTGGCTCACAATTGTAGTGACGGCTATTAGGGGCAGATAATTTAGTTTTTAAACTATTCAAATCTAAGGGGAGGTAATAAATTCTGCTTGAGATTTTCATTGTTGTCTGTAAACTGTCGTCATGGACGGCTGCTTTCATAGAGTTCGCGGGGGCGGCAGGGAGGGCCCTTCATGAGTTACTGATTTAAAGCAAAATTATTTCAGTCGCAGCATTGGTAGTGTTGTATTCACAAATTATGAATTAATAAAAAGTAGAAAATAAAACAAAAATAGCGGTGAATGCTTAGTTACAGCGCGGGTCAGCTCGTGTTACATAATTGTCTTAAACTTAAAGAGAGGTAGAAATACAAAAATATGTACAGTTAAAAATGCTTCTTATAAGTATGTGATCTTAGGTTGGGAAAAGTAAAGACAGTCTATTATTAAGACAGACCTCAATATCCCAGAGAAAAAGATGAATTCTTCATCTGCCAGATGTAATGTCTGGTCTGAAAGGATATTCATGATAAAGAATGTGTGTAGCTGAAGTATGAGTGCGGAAATACATTTCAGGGGATTGAGTAGGGGTCAAAGCATTGTTTATGTCCAAAGAAGATACTCTACTGATATGCCACACTAGATTAGTGATTACTTTTACTACTTTACAGGTTTAAAAAAAAATTGAAACTATCAATACAATACCATTATTAGCATATCCTGAATCAGTAAAGTTTTATTAATCTTTTGATAATCATAATAACCAAAAAGAAAATACTTGGTCTCATGTGTAAAGTACCAAATATACTTCGAAGAATCAGAATTATATTTTTTAATATCTCAGTTTCTCCCCAATATATCATTTACCCGTTTGTGCCCCAAATATATTTAAGTACAGTTCATGTTTGAATGAACTCGCATACAAGGAGTGCGGTTAGCATAATCCAGGATCAGATCTCAAACCATTTGTGTTAGTGTTAGCAGTCATAAGCTCCCCTGGATACAACAGTGCCAAAATGATTTAAATCCAATTATTGAAAAGCAAAAAATATCCACTTCTGCGTAGATTAACTTAAACCATGTCAGCTCTAAACTGGTACTTGTACTCTACAGCTGCTCCTGTCCCATGGAGCAAATATCTCAGCAAAAACAGCAGATGGTTGGCAGCCATTACACAGTGCAGCCCGATGGAACTGTGTGGAAGCAGCCCAAGTTCTTATTCATGCTGGTGCCGACATAAACGCCCAAACAAATGGCAGCTTAACACCATTACATATGGCAGCATCGGAACCAGAAAATGCATCTATGTTAGAGCTGTTACTAACTAATCCTTTCATTGATACCAGCATCAAGTCAAAAGCAGGTGAAACGGCCAAAGAGATATGCTTACGGTGTAGTCCACATTACAAACTGTTTGATTTAATGGATGACTGCATTAATGACTTTCATTCTCCTGCATAGAATTCTGTCAGTGAAGCTCTATCACTGAAGTATTGTATTATACAGATAACCTTTTGGTAAGAACAACAGACAAACCTGTTTTACACATGTTGTAAATAAATAAGACTTTTTGGGCAAATGTAAATAAAGACCAATAAAAGGGGAATGTTTATTGATTTATTGAACCTGATGGTATATTGTGTATGCCTGTTTGACCATTGCTAGTGTTTATCTTAACACACTAGTTTAAATAAAATAACTGAAGTAAATGAATTTGACAATTGTGATAAATAGTAGTTGTACAGCTGACCCTACCAATACTTGTTACTGGTGATAAAATAGTATTTGCAGTAGTGTAAAACCTTTCACTAGATAATTACATAAAAACAAACTAAAAATAAGAACACAACTTGTACTGACATGAGATTTATTATAATGAAATGCAACAGAACACATCCATTCTAAGCAATCAAACTTAATGTGGACAAAATAAATTTGAAAATGGTTAGGACACCAATTTTTACTTTAAATTAAATGCAATGTTTTCTACGAAAACATACACCACTCATTCTTATCAAAACCACAGAGTATTTAATCTTTAAGTGATATTAAACCTTGCTACTAGTGGAAAATAGGGCCAACAATCCAGCAGCTGATCCAACTGACAGTGAATAGTTTCTAGTATTCAGTTAAGGAGGCAAACAATTTCTGAATTTTCCCAGCCTTTCATCATCTGTGTTGTGAATGCCAATACACTTTTTCTAACTATTTAACCTTACCTTTTTAAGATCTGCCCACATCAGAACCCGTATTTACCAACATCATTATTACCATATTGTAAGTAAAGGATACACAACTGGGTTGAAGTTTTTCAGCAGAAAAAATGATGCCACAATTAGCAGAACTAAGTACAATGCATTATTGTAGAAGATGGAGAAGGTGGTAGCCTCATAGTCAGCTACTTCATTCTTTTTCCACAAAACCCTAAAAGTATAGTAGTGAAAAAATGAAAGAAATGATAACCAAACAATGCTGCACATTTAACAGAAGTGAAGAGAAAAAAAAAACTTGCCTTTCATCCTTCTCTTTTTTAGTCATACGCTTATCATCAGCAAGCTTTTTCATCATTTCTTTTGCAACAGCATCTTCTCTTTTTAAAGCAATTCTGTAAGACAATTTTTTAAAAATGATTTTAGTATGACATCATTACACATTTATTTATTCCATTAACTTACCTAAACTAAAAGCTGCAATTATATAAAAATTTGCAATTTACAAATCTTCTTTGATCTTAATTTTTAGTGTTGGAAGGGATCGAGGGTTTGAACGCGGGACTTTTTTGAATTTATCAACCATGAGCTTTTTACTGACTCGACCATGCATCCTTCACAATTAAGGATACGTGTCAACTGTTTGTGCGCCATTGAGGACATTGACTCCGATTTCAGCCTGCTTTTCTTTTTGGATTTGCTTCCATAGCCTTTGTCCAACCAAGAACAAACAAGGCAGCAGTTGTATATTTTCAAGTTGTCTCTCCTAGAAGAGTGGCTGTCCCCAGCTAACAAGCTTCATCAGCCCGAGGGTTCGAACTCGAGACTTTTTGGTTTAGCAACCATGAGCTTTACTGACTCGACCACGCCGACCCCTTCTTTACAAATAATTTATGAAAATGTAGACCAACTGAAACTTTTTATTTTATTATCATGCAAATACAAATGATAACTAACCATCAATATTAAAACAATTAGCCTATGACATAAAAACTGCCTAAAATGGTATTTGTTACACCAAATAAATCTAGTGAAATTAATTAATAGGGCCTACTTACTTGTGTTTTAAAATAAACTTGACATTGCGATACGCATATGCAACCAAATATGTACTGATTAGAGAGCCAATCACAAAAATGATAGCAGACTGATAGAGATCCATTTGATGTATGCGCCAAAACAGCCCTGGGAAAAAACATTTTTAAATTATTGGCTTATCTTACTATAAGTAGTATAAGGTGGATGCATTGACGATGAGCAATAATCAACCATAAGGTTACTGATAACCAATTTCCTATGAATGCAACTATATGAGATTTTAACAAAAAAAAAAAGCTGCAAGTTCTTGTCCTGTTTGTATTTCAACTATGCATTGAAAATGTTCTAATACAGTATAATATAAAAATACAGTTTAACAAAAAAATTCAAGACTGATATAATGCAGCATGGATGAGGGGTACAATAGTGACCATCACATGATAGACCAGGTAAAATTTATTAGATATTTGCTTCCAAAAGGGAGTAAAAAAAAGCCATCTTTACTTTTTAAAAATTGCAATTGTACAGGCAAGGCAAAGGTAAACTGTAATTGTTTCTCACTTGTGATGTAATTGCTAGCATATTTACAGAGAAAAGAAAATTGCATCCCCAGATTTTTGTAAGCAATGAAAAGAGAATAATACTTGTAACAAGTTAATAAAAAGTCTAGTGACAATATAAGTTTAAGCGCAATTTCCTTAATTAATTTTTTGTGACCGAACGAAAGGATATTTTTGAAAACTTTCAATATTGTTCTAAATTATGGCAGGAATCGATTGGTAAATGTTTCAAGTCACTAAGTGGTCTGGTTGCCGAGATATGGGCCAAAAACTGCATTTTTCCGAGGTTTTTTTTGGCTTTTCCAGGAAATCCAGGAAGGAATTCTGGGAATTTTTTTGGCCCACAATCATCCTCGGAACTTGCTTAACATATTTGCTTTTGGAACTAGTCCTCGATATTGCTTCGTTGAGGAGGAGATACGACTTAAAGCTGCGAACACACATCCATCCATCCATAAATAACGAATTAATAATCGCAATTGTCAGTATGGAAATTGCGCTAAAAAATAGCTAGGGAAGCAATAATTAGTAACTGATTAAAACTGACATGCTAGTTACCCCTGATGTTTATTCTATAGACCCTATTAATTTAAAAATTGTTATAGACTAGCATTGTGAACTTTATTCTTCTTCTTCCTTCTTAATAGTAATGATGGAAAAGATTTCCTCCAACACAATTTTTTTTTTCCATGTCAACTGGTTATGCACCATATAGGCCGTAGACTCAGATTTCAGCAGGTTTATCGTATTGGATTTGCTTCCATAGCTTTTGTTCAAACCAAGAACAAACTACAAGGCAGCAGTTGTTTAATTTTGGAGTTGTCTCTCTTAGAAGAGTTGCTGTCCCCAGCCTCATATGCCCTAGGGTTCCAAATCGAGACTTTTTGGTTTAGCAACCATGACCTTTACCAACTTGCATTACTTACATCATTTAACCTACGAAACATTAACTTATCATTCCCAGTTCCTTGGGCCATTAGCATAAATTGCCATAAATATATAGCCGACTGGGACCAGGGAATTAAGGCTATTTCCAGCCTACAAGGATTTGCCTCTTGGCTTTCCTAAACTAAAAGTATCAATTTTTTAAGTCATATTTTTTAAAGTTAAAGAATTATTTTTTTTAAATGGCTAGGAACCAACAAAGTTACAGATCTTCTTCTGTATGTGGTTGTGACTAGGGTAAATTTTCACGAGCCAACTTTTAAAACAGTGGTCAACATTTTTATAGAAAACTTCTTAAAATTGGGTAGTCTTAAGCATTTAAACTAGAACATAACACGTTTCATTCAACATTATGTTCTAATCAACCATTCATATGACAAAAATACCAGTAGGTATCGCCACGTCACACAGCGCAACGGAGATTTTTATGAGGTCTTGCAGAACTAACGATAAATGACATTTAGGCTTAAAAGTAAAAGTGTCTTACACATTGGAATAGCGGAGACTATTAGAGCATTCCCATAAAAAAGGGCAGAGGATTTAGTAGAGACATTTCTACTAAAGTCTTGAAGCAAAAGCTCTTCTTCTCTTGATAACTTGTTCTGTTTTCCACCTGCCATTTTGATTTCTCGACCGGAAAGAATGTTTTTTTTTGGTTCGTTTAAATACCATAACTCTAACTATGGTGTATATTATAATAGGCCTATAGATCTAGCCATTCTAATAATTGCTAGAATCTAAATCTAATATGTATATTTGATTCGTTTTATATAACGAAGGAAGGCATGGGTTTCGAATTACGTGGAAAATCGGCTTAAGAATTGTTACGTCATTACATTGTATTTCTTAAATGATGAAACTGAACTATTTTTTTTCTAGAATCATGCAGTTATAGATTCTATATATTGTAACTTTTCAATGTTGGTCTGACATTTTTTGTGTGGTTATATGAACTAAGGACAAAATTAGAAAAAAATATAGTGACAATATTTATGACTACTGATAAAAAGCTATTAGGCTAAATGTTTTCATAAAAACATGCTATTAAAATACTTATATAACTTTATTTTTACACACAATTGTACATCATCATTAATATTACACATTTAAAAAAAAGAAATGTTAATTTATAAATGAATTTCACGATACAACAATATGCTTTTAATAGACGATTTAAGGAAATAGCTAAGTTAAATTAAAAGCCTGGTTGAAAGCTGAATTGTATTTTTTATTAGAGCGTTATGAAACAACGTCCTTTATCGACACTTAGCTTACCTTTGAACAATATTTTAAATCCTATTTTTCGAAATAGGTATTTTCAATGAATAAATACATACAAATACAATTTATCTGGTTGAATATGTATACTTTCAGGTAATCAGACAAAATAATACACAAAAACAAATTTGTCTCGTTTTGATGAATGAGATTTATCGTTGCCGCCATTGTTATCCAATGTACACAACATTTTGAAGCAATGGTTGTCAAGTGTAATGAAAAACCAAAACAATATGATTTTTAAAAGAAGAAAAGGTAACCAAAATAATTTTAGCATTAGATCGATGCCCGGTATAATTAACACTTCTGTAAAATTTTTAGATTATGAATAATCAAAGTAAGTAAGTTATATTAATAAACAAAGTTGATGGATGGAGAATAGAGGCGAGCGAGTTGACGAGAATCCTTCCATGACATGTCCATGAGACTTGGCTTCCACTAGACATCTAGATCTAACAGTTAACACTAATGACTAAAATTGAGACTAAAAATAATTCAGAAATTTTACATTTTTAGAATCAATGCTATAAACTTTATATAAAAGTATAAAAGCTGCAAATTCAGAGAACTTGAAAATTAAGTTAAGGCTACACTACACGGGTACAAACATAGTACATTTCTATTTATTTTCATTAGGGCCTAACCAGTAAGTTAAAACCGGTTGTTTCACTAATTGAATTGGCTGTACAGGAACTCCGTGATCGATAACTATTTGTTTACAAAACTTTGCAGATAAAGTTTTTAAATAACAATGAATGCAAATTTAAACCCTATGACTTAGTTTTCCTTTTTTTTCGCTTACAATGTAGGCCTATACAATAAAATTTATGGCAGCCTATCGAATAGCATAGCAGGATGCCATAGTTTATGTCGCCATTACACGTGAAAACCAAACTGTTTTTGCTTTTTTTTTAAATTTTATTTAGTTACAGGAAATATTAAAAACATCAAATAGCCTTCATCATCCATCTAATCTTTAGTAAAGTCTGAAAAAAACCAGACAGACAAGATTTTATAACCATATTAATTGTAACTACGCTGTGCATGAATTTTAAATTATTTAATAGGATAGGCCTCTTGAATACTTTCTCGCTCGCGTCCATTGTCAATGGCTGGTCAATGGATAACAAAAACCAATTTGAGGATAACAAAACAAATTTTTAAGTAATAAGTTTAAATAAATTAAATTTAAAATAGTTAAATAGATCTAGATTCTAATAATTTAGTAACAACAAATCAATCTCCCACCTGAGTTTGATGAAAAGTCTCTGATCATTCATTATTAACACTTAGACTTTAGACCTGAATTACATAATTATATCATTAAAAATTAAATCTCTTTGGCCTAACCAGAATTTTAATATTGTAAGAAAGAATCAGAATCAGTGTTATTTATAATTTTTTAACATTGTTGAACTTGATTCTCTGCATTTGTTGTGCACTTTTAATTTTATGGATCAGTCTAATACTAGGCTAATTCTATAGTATAGTATAATAGTCTAAAGTCTTGTATTTAATAAATATTGTTAAAGGCACAAATGAAGAGATGGTGGGGAAAAAGTTTACAAGCATTTCCAAAACAAGGGTGGATATAATACAACAAAAACAATTAAATTCAAAGTTGAGGAAAATGATTTTCAAAAGTGTGAAATTTTAACTTTGTGAAATTTTACTAAATATCACCTTAAAATTATAACTGATCTCTTATACTAACTCGTATACAGAGTATTCTTAATCATGCACAAAAATTAAATAAGAATTTGACAAAATTTGACAGCCTTCCAGAGCCAGATTAACATAGTTTGAATCATGTCCGTCTGTGTGTGTGTGTCTGTCTATAAACACGATAACTGGAGTACTGTTTCAGTTTGGTTGACCAAATTAAATATATAAGTATTTTATCAAATTTGTAGTTTTCTTTTTAAACTTTTGGCCAATGTCCAGTAACCGGAAGTGTTACTTTATTTTACTCCAATTGTGTGACAACTTAATAACTTGATTAATGTTTTAGTTAGGTAGATGAAATTTCACATTTGAGTTATTAGTGGTATCTGAATGTGGTACTTTACTCTACTTCATGTTTCTAACAGGTTAATGAAATTTTATACATTGGTATAAGATCTTATTTTCTTGATTCTATGTTTAAGGGAAATCACTCCCACTTTATTTTAGTTGCATTACAGATCTGAAACTACTGTGAACGCGTGAGAGATACTTGTTTACAATGCCGCATAAGTTGCATTTCAAAGTAATACATGCTTCAGGACAAGATGATATATACAGAGCAAGTGAACTAAATCATCATAGTCCATTAACCAAAGGATGGCAGTCATCGAGGTTAGAACACTCAAACTTATTATAAATGTTTTTTTATGGTGTATTTTGTGACTACATTTTAAATTATTTGCTAAACAGTAGTTTTATTTTGATCCATGTATAGGCTATTTCATGTCATGTAATAGGATTAACTTATGAATTGTAAGCTAAACAATAGTTTAAATTGCTAGTTTTATGTTAATTCCATTTGCTTTTTTTGCTAAGTAGTAATCTATTCTTTAATCATGGATTTTTTGTTTCAATTTCATGAAAGTGCTGTTGTTGTTTAATTTTTTGTGCATTCATTTTTGTGTACATTCTTGGGTATTTTTCTGGTTATCTATTAATTTTTTTCCCCTTAAAGACTGATGTTTGTCTTAAACTTGAAAGTGTTGATAATTGCTCAAAACATTCTAATTATTTTTTGTATTCTTCTCCAAATTAAAACAATTTTTGCTGTTGAAGCTGACTCATCAACAAATGTTAACATTTATTTGACTGTGTTAAAGAGAATCAATCTGTTTTTTATTCCCAGATTTTGTCTTTACCCTCAAGATATGGTTATCCAGCTTGAAGCAAGGTCAAGGTTAAGAAAAATTCAGATTTTATCCCATCAGTACCTTATACGTAAGTGCCCACATATGTCAGCTTCTTTTCCAAGCTCTGGAACCTTTATACCAAAAAGGATGGAACATATGTCATATTAGATTATCATATTAGATTGTTTCAATCTGTGTTACTATGTATCTGTTTTACTATGTAGAATAAAAGTTCAGACTATGATGTATCAGAGTGCACCTAACTGTAATGATACCTGGCGTATGTCAGGAACATAAAGCCAACTGAGCATGGTGCTGACCACTTAATTCCATTTTATATCAAGTCCACAAACATATTTATCATGTCTAAAAAGGTCCTCTTGTTTAAAGCTATAGCATGCTGATGATTCACAATGATTGAAAAAGTACCCTTTACAACATATATAGGTTAAACCTTTTCTGATTGCAAACTATAGCCGATATTAAAAATAAAAAAACTTGAATTAAAAAGAAGAATAACAAATAAGATTTATAATCATTTAGATTACATCAATTACTATATTACATATTTTGAATTCTACTAGCTGGCATGTTTCATTTTATTTACTTGAACTTATTACATATTCAAATTGTTGCTCTATGTGTATAATAGCTACACATTTTAAATTTTTTTTTGTTTTAATCAGCTGATACATTTATTTATTGTGTCAAATATTTTTTCAGCAACCAAGATCGAATTTTTTGTTGGAGATGTGCCAGATGGGGCACCACTTACGCTAGAAAGTGCTAGATATGCCAGACTAGGGTAAGTTTTATACATTACTCTAGTGCAAGGCATGGCAATTTATATGGCTCAATTAGTGAATGGGCTTAACAATGTTGTTTTAAAGCAGCTAGTTAATGTCCATTGTGATAAAATCCACCCCGGGTAACAAACAATGTATTAGGGAAAATGTGTGGGCTACATTTTAGCAGTGAAAATGTATGGAATACATTGCCAAAGAGAGAATTTTTTTTTTTAATAATTTCCTTTTTTATTTTAAAGAATTCTCTATAGAAAAAAACTTTTCATAACCCTAATATTATCAGATAAAATTGGAGAGCTTCATAGATGATTATTTCTGGTTAAAAAAAAGAACTAGATCAATTTAGGTTTGATGTTTATGATGGGAATTCAATAATATCAATAAAATTAATTTAAACTCTTTTAATTTGGTTCACACAATTTTAAATTATCTTCAAATTTCTAAATTCCTTCTAAAAATTCTTGAAAGTACCTTGAATTGGGAACACAATTTTTTTTTGTTTTTGTTATTTCTACAACCTAAAGAAAAACATTTTGTTGTTGCCTGCTTAATAAATTTCCTATAAATAAATTATAAAATGGTTCTTTACTTAAAATATTGACACTTTGCCTTAGTGTGAAAATAATGTCGCTGCAGTTGAATCAAGACTCATTTCTTTCTGCAGGTATGTTTCCCTATCTGACAATGAAAAAACAGGCTATAAGGCAAGAGAACTCAAGTCAGTGCATGTTGATGCTGTCGGCCATTTCCTCAAGTTAAACATTCATAAGAACCATGTCAACAAACACAATTTATATAATCAGGTCAGTTTAAAAATTCACTAAATTAGATCAGTGCTAAAATTGTATTCAAATAAGGCTAATCCTAAACTGAAAGAAATATTTTATTCAGTAAATTATAGTTTGGTTAGATTGTTCTTCATAATGAAGTATAGTCTTAGGATTAGGACATTATTTAATGTAATGATTAAGATTACGGTGAAAATTTATTTCCTTACTCACTATAATTATTATACCAAGTGATGTGTAATGTGGTTCACTTAAGTCAGATAGCACAGTATTAAAATATGAAAATATTCTCTACAAAAATATATAATGATAAGTGCAGTAACTTGTTTAAAAAAGAATTCTCTGGGTTTAATGATAACTGCTTTTGGACATCTTAAATTATTCGTCTTACCAAGGTGGGAATCATCGCTATCAACGTGATAGGAGACTCTCTGCGACGATCTTACGACTTCACAGATCCAGTTGAGTAACCATTTCCTGTTTCTGCTTATAAAATCTATAGACAGTTTTAAATCAAATACAATTATTAATTAATGTCACCTCCAGTATTATATTGTATGTGTTTAACACAAATCACATGGCTAAGGTAATGTTTGGAATAGCTGGCCTTAGGGTAGTAATTATGTGCCAGGTTTTTAAGGAAAACCATAGAAAGGATAAAATTTAGTTGGAATAAATAATACATATTAGAAGTATTAAATTTAGTTTGAATTAATAATAATAAAGTAACAAATGTAAACTAAATATTTCCTTTCTTACATTTATCAATAACTCTCAGACATCTACAGATTTTTATTAATTTTAATTATTCCTTAAATGTTGTTTTTGTTTATAAATTTTCCTGTAATTTCTTATTACTATACTCTACCATAGGATCTCCTTTTAGAAGACAACAGAGTTGAAAGGGATCCAGCTCTAGAAGGACTTTTCAATAAGTGAGTTTTTAGTGACACATGGGAACATAAACATCCAAGGTATTTCATCATCTTTTCCCATATGTGCCTAAGACACATGGGGCAAATGAAGTAGAGATCTGTTTCAATTACCTCAGCCTACGCAGGGATAGTGTGATCAGCTCAGCCACTTTTTCCGAATGTGAATCAGATACTTATCAGAGTTTAAGTGGACTCAGGAAAGCCCTACAAACTGGATCAGGGATGTGAACTTGAGACTTTTGGGCTAGCGGTCATAAGCTGTTAGATGTAATACCACATCAAATGTAGTAGCAATAGTTGTGTAACATACCAATGGTTTACATTAAATATAATAGCTACATAGTGTATGTTGAAATAGTTGCACATTACATGTAATAGCCACCGTTGATATAAGATGTAGTAGACATAGTTGGACACTTGATGTAATAATTAGTGGAAATGCCTGCTTAATTAAATTAATGTTATGATTTACATTAGATATCCGGACGGAGTGATCTAGTGGTAGAAAGCTGGAGTGCTAAACCGTAAATCTCGAGTTCGAATCCGGTTTAAAGTCAGTAGAACATCCCTGAGTTCACCCAACTCTGATGGGTACCTAACTCACGTTAGGGAAAGTAAAGACGGCTGGGCATAGTGCTGACCACACTATCTCTTCATATGCCGAGGTCACAGAAACAGGTGAACTCTACTTTACTTGCCCTGCAGACAGTCAGGTTTGAAAAGGGAACTTAACTACATTAGTTATAGTAGTGCAGGCAGTTCTACGGTAGGTATAGTAGCAACAGTCATAAATTTATTAGATGTAGCATTACGTGAAATAATATGCAAATATTTTTAAAATTTTAAGGCCAGATTACATTTCACCCCTGGATGATCTTGCGTTTGATATGTACCAAGACCCTGAAATAGCACAAATAATTCGACGGCTTGAAAGAAAAAAACAGGAAGCTGTGCTACGTAAGTTTTTCCCTAGTTAAAATTTATTTCAAAAGTGGATTTTTAAAAATATGTATTGGAAATTTATCTTAAAATTTGTTTTGCAAAAATTCTCGGGTTTGTATTTGTACTTTTAGATTTTAAAAAATCAAATTTTATTTTTAATTTTCACAGAGGAGAGGTATGACTACGCTAAGAGATTAAAACAAGCTATAACAGAATTACAGAAGGTATGTTTATCTGATCCTCTTGCAGCTAAACATTTTTTTTCTAGTCTGATCAAAATAAATTTTTTTTAACCCCTAAATTTTGCTAAAGTAAACAAATGTTCCAACTTAAACACTTAATTATTACATTTTTTCGTGACTTGAAATTAGAAAATAGATTTTTGCTGTACAGTGACATAGTAATATTTTTTTTCTGAAACATTTTTGCTTTTTTTAAGAACTAATTTTGCCAATGCACATCTAGGCATATTAAATTTCGCACAAATAATATACTTTGAAATTGTGATCTTACTTAGCCATTATATGTATTTATTTCACTGCTCTTTTATTAATAATTTCTATTCATGCAAAAAAATTTAAAATACCAGAAAATGTCTAGCAACAACAAAGTTACCCATCAAAAGTTTGAAAAATCAAACAGCATAACTCAGAACTATTTTAATTACGCTTTGAAAAAATGAAATTAGCTCAATTCTATTGAAAGATGTACTGTATTTTACAGGCAGGATTGGTAAACCACTATTTGGGTGAAGAATATGATTATGAACGTTTGGTAAATTCAAAAGTAGAACTATTTTTGTACAAATAAATTTTGTAACTTTCAAATTTAAAACATTTATATTTTCAATCTTAATTAAATAATAAAACAACATCACTCTCTTCTGACAGCTGATCAAATTAACAAAACTATTTATAAACATTTTTTTAATAAATAATCAGATTTATTATTTTCTTTTGTAGGTAATTTATATTAATAAGGTGGAATATTTTTCCCTTTTTAATTTTTCCAAAGGCTTGTAACTCATTGTGTGAATGGGATAAATTAACTGTTTTAAGAAAAAGTAGCAGATATAAAAATGTGCATAGTATCAATTAGTCTGTTTCCTTTTAAGAGGGTTATATTTAATGCATTGTCTTGGGCACAAAAAGGAAAAGATGATGATAATTAATACATTTTTTAAATACAAATATTTTTTGTTGTTGTAATAACAATATCAGTTAAATAAAATGATAAGTAAAACAATTAAATTTTTAGATTGTATTTAAATTTATTAATTTTGTGTATTGACTGAAGAAATATAATTAATTATGAAGGTATAGAAACTGAATAGTTTTTACTATAAATAGTTTGACATGAACCTATAGCAGTTAGTTTTTTCTATACTTTTAAATCATGAATAAAACAATGTTTATCATTTTGGTGTGAGTGATGTCCTTCAATGTAATTCAAGTTTTTATTTATTGTCAATGATTTGTTTTGTAACTTTGTAGACGACCTTCAAGTATAAATACAAGTTCTTAAAACTTATGTTTACAAAATAAGTAAATTAGTATTTTAACAAGAAAATCTACATCAAGCATAATTGTAACTCATAAAATTAAATAATGCTATGGTTAGAATAAAACGGCTCTCTGCTATTGATGTTGGCCTAGTTTGGGATTATTAGAAGTTCATCTTATCAAAATAAATTAGTAAAAAAAATACTGTTGCCACCATTTTTTTCCTTAACATTCTTTTTTTAATCCTAACATTTTGTCTTAGTTACCTTTTACACTATAAACTAGACGATCATTTTTTTATAGCTTGTGTACTAAAATCAATCAAATGTGGTTGGAAGAATTTTTTTCTTTACTAAAAATCTTTTTAATAAACTGTCCATTATGAGTTTCAGACAAACTTAATTGATATTAATTATTTTAAAGAAATATTCTTCAAAGACAAATTTGAACTAAAATTTATTAGTAAAAGAAGTAATTAAATAAATTTCAATGATTATTTTCATTAGATAAGTTAATCCAATTGCATCAAGATACATCAGTGAGGAACTCACTTCCCAACAACAAAATGTATAGGTTGTTTGTTTTTATGTATTTATAAGTGAACACAATTTATCAAGGCAGACAACTGATATTCTGTATTTACTTAGTTATACCTACAACAATAGATCAAGCCACAGATGGTTTGAATTACAAACATTTGGTTGGTGAATGCATAGTTTTTAATCAGACTCTAATGGCCAAAACCTGGTTCCCTGACTTAACTCCTGATGCTAGCATCTGCTATCTGACATCTTCTCTAATTGTGAAAGTACTATTTCATTTTAAAGTTTCAAATATTGAAAACTTAAAAAACTGAAAATTAATTTTATGAACTCAACAGGTTGGTGAGAAGCTTGGGAAGATGGAAGTTGAAAAGAGACAAGCAGTAGAAAATGAAGACTATGACAAAGCTAAACTGAAGAAGCTGCAGATGGATGAATACAGATTACAAATTTATAAAGACTTGAACTTAAATGATTTGTTGGAGTTATCAGGGGTAATGAAGATTTCTATTCTAAACTTCTGTGACTTATAAAACTCTTGTTATTACTTTGTTAGTTACCCAGAATCAAGCACCACATCCACTGTTTAAATTGGTTTATATATAGGCTACACAACTTAGTTTGATTTTTTAAAATGTATACATTGATTAATATAACATTAATATTTGTTGACTTTAAAGAAAAAGTGCATTTTAAAAGATTGCAGTTATTTTTAAAATAAGTTTTATCTGCAATCATATCTTTTTAATTTCGAAACATTTTTTTGTAAATATTGCTTTATCTAATTATTTATTGCATAAAACTCAATTTGCAATCGGATATCTATTTTAATTTTTAGAAAGTAGCCTATGTAAGTTGCCTTCTATTATGTACAGTGTAAATTGAGGTTTGATTCACATGTTAACAGAGTCGGCACCCCCAGCACATTGATCTAGAGCCTGTTCATCATCCTGTTTACACAACACCCCCACCTCGACTAGAGGAGTTACCACCCCCTCCACCACCTCAGCAACCTAGAACACCCCCTCGCTACGATGAATGGCCTCTTCCACGCAAGTGAGTTTTTGTTTTAAAATTTTGAACTTCAACAATTTTTAAATATTTTTTTTAAGTTTAGTACTAATTATTTCATTAGTTTATTAATTAGTTCCATTAACTATGAATATTTCAATAAGTTCTACATTTTTCCCTTAATTTGAAACACTGCCAAACTATGTCATATTTCCATCCATACAAATTTTCAAAATGAGAAAATTTCTGCCTGTCTTTTAAAATTTCGGATAAATATCTAAAACTATTAGCCATAATACCTCACAACTAACCATGCCAATATCTAGTAGAACACAATAAAGAGATTTTATCTCATCTCCATGCTAGTAGATGTAGTTTAGATGCATACATAACTTTTTTTACTCTAGTCAGTGATAACTAACTATTTAAAAAAAATTATGTAAGAAAATATGTTTTTAAAGTCCATGTTAATTTATTGATTTCACTATTAGAGGATACAATACAAATAGCTATAATAATAAATAAGAACTATAAAGTGATTTCAAGTCTTTGAAGTAATTACTCGTACACTTACTTAAATCTTTCTTTTTCTATGTTTAATTTTGTGTCTTATTACATACCGTACTAGACCAACTGTTTATGATGATATGCCATTACCAAATATGAAGAGGTAAAAATAGTTATAACCTATTGGTAATGTTTTCTTTTTAAGGGCAGCTGTTCTAGTCCATTATTCAACCATTAAAGTTATTTTATATTTAGTTCTTAAGTTTATTTACTGATACATTTTGTTTTGTTTCTCTGGTTTTGAGTTCTTTAATGTATCTTTAAATGCATGATTCTTTCCAGTATTTCATTGCATTTCTGATATGATATTGTGGGAGGGGGGATAGATTTGAAAAAACATTAATTTTACTCATGCTTATAAATTAATATTTATTTAGTCATTATAGATAATATGGATGACATTTCTTTTTTCTTCTTATTAGAGGCATGTCTAAAGTATAGCCTTTTTGTATGTAGGCCAATTATATGGCAATTTATAGCATATCATCCTTTACGTTCTCATGTAATATAAATTGGATGCATACAATAATGGATCACAATTTAAACACATCAGTGGGAAAATGTGTTTTGAAAAATTAATGTACTGTTGAAACAAAGATTTAGGCAAGATTATAGCTTCTTCCATGCCTGTTTTTTAACAAACAGAACTTACTAACGTAGACTTTGGCTTTTCTTGCTTTTGTAACTTGATTGATGCCTTTGTAGTAAGGCTGTTATAGAAGCCTCAGAGGCTCCTGTAGATGACCCTCCTCCTCCATCTCCACTCCCCCTGGAAACCAAGCCAAAAGTCAGCACCCCCCAGACTCCACAGGACAAGAGGCTGCCCAAGTTGAAGTGAGTTGGTGTGACTACGTATTGATGTCTGTTAATGAGTTTCTCACAGTGTGAAGCCATACACAGTTTTAAAAGATTTTGCTCAAAACCTTTTTTTTTTAAAAAGCTGAACTTTAAAAAAAAAACTGCCTATGCTTTTTTAAAAAAAAATCAGTTATTGTTTTTATTTCATTGATGATCAAGAAATTTTCTGTAAGCTAAAAAAAATAAAGTTCTATTTTAATAAAAGACAAAATTAAGAATATCATAATTACTTTTTTCTAAGGTTTTAAATGATAATCCTTTCAAACTGATTCAATTAAATTAAGTTAAACAGTTTAATTTGAATTACAAATTTTAAAATTACCAGTTTATTATTATACAAATCATAACATTTCTGGATTGTTTTATGTTTTGTTGCTTATTAATTTGCATGCTGTCACTTGCATCTGTAATACACATTTCCTGTTTAAATATGTATGCATTAACAATTAAGCTTCTTAACTCACAAATCATTAACAATATTGACTTTTATATCTTTTTCTATTGTGATAACAACATATACATTTTCAATTAAATTTAATATTAATTTAATATGCTTGTTTTCCAGATTGCTGCACACATTATGATTCATAAAACAATTTTTGATTTTATTTATTTTTTTGCTAATTATTTAATCTGTTTACCACATTTATATTTTAATATGACCTGTGTGTTAATTTCTAAACGTGTCTTAATCAATGGTTAATTACAAATTCAAATAAACATTCAACAGAAATGGATATGTTTGCTGGTAAAAAATTACATTAAGAATACTTTCCTTTTTAATTAATTATAAGCTCAAACTCTTTTATTAATTCGTTATTAATACTATCTATAATCATAAAAAACACATCAGTAGTCACATTTGTCTCCATTGCACAGTTTATAACTTTGCAAGGTCTCTCATCTAGTCAGCTTGTGTGGTCTAAACTACACCATCTAAAAATATTGTAACACAATTTTGTGTTTTCATTTGCAGAGCTTTGAATGTGGATGATGAGTTGCCACCAGATCCTGACATTAACCAAGGTTGGTGACACAACTTTAAAACAAGATTAATCATCCATTATATTCTTTATATCATTACAAACCTAGTGTTTTAAAAGAAAAACGACTTTTTACAATTTTGGTTTATTTCTGTAAAACAAAAACTTATAAAACATTTTGTTTTACTTCTCTGAAGCCAAAACATTTGTGTGTTTCTGCTTTTGAATTTGACACACACATAATTCAGTACATCATTCACTCTAAATGACATGTTTGACATTTCAGAAGTTGAGCCGATGACCGAAGTAGATCTGAGGGAAGCATCAACAGCCATTGATATTTTTGGTCTTGGTCTGGTATGTTGGGGGTGAATTGAGCCCAGGGGGTGGGGGTTGAATTGTTGTTCACATTTTGTAGCTGTTTTGTAATTTATTTTATTATTTTCAAATTATTAATATAAAAAAAATTAAATTTTAAAAGTTTTAGAGGTGGCTATCCTTTAATAAGAGGTTTAATTTACAATTTAGATTATTATTAACATGTGTCTAAACAGTTCTAAATTGACAACTTAAATTTTTTTTTTTAAAAAAAGCTAGTATTAATTATTTTAATATTTAAACAAAAGAAAATAGTACTGTACTTTTGGGAATTTTGTACATTGCATGTATAAAACAACCAAATATTATACCTTTCATGTGCAACTTGCAGGTGTCAAAAGCCTACTCCAAGACGTGGTCCTACAGAGAGGATGCCTTGACCGCAGTCCACCACCAGATGCAGCAAATGCCAACGGGAAACAAAGAGGAAGCCAAATCCATGATGAGGGCGGCCATCTTTCTGGTCAAGCGTGGTATTGATGACAAGGTTTATGCTGTATGTTGGGACTGATTTCTTTCAAAATGTACTTTTGTGTTCATCCACATATTGGAAAATTTAACCTACACATTCCGGCAATTTTTATATTTTTTTATTGAACAATGCCCTTCATCAATTTGGGATCGATTTTTTTTTCACATTTTTTGCAGTTTTAGAGCTTACGATTTCATACTTGCCACATCTTTTTACTTTTGTTTATTTTTTTTTAAACTTTACCCTTCTTGGAACTACATCAGTTAAAACAAAAATGTTTGAGACTTTAATTGATTGAAATACTTACTCACTTAAGCATTTTTGTTTTATTTCATCTTAATACTTATATATTGAAACATTTTTGTTCTATTTTTATCTAAATATTTAAATAATAAAGCATTTTTTTCTATTATTATCTAAATATTTCAGTAATGAAGCATTTTTATTCCATTTTTAACTAAATATATAATGAAGTATTTTTGTTCTATTATCATCCAGGTATTCAAAGCTGCTCTAAATCTTCTAAGGATGATTCTCACTGAGTTTGTTCCTAAGCACAAGTAAGTTCAAAGGTCAGGATGCAAGACCATAACTCTGCATAAGGGAGATAACAGGCCTGATCCACAATGTAGAGGGGCAAGGCAAATCAGTTCTGATGCAGATTGTTGATCTCAAATCCTGTCTAGCTATACTGATCTGTATTTAGAATATTTTCTGTAGCCATGTTGGTTAAACAAAACGTGTGTCTGTGTAATGCTATTTCAGTCGCAACACTCACTGTCCTCATTGTAAGCAATGCTGTGTGTTTGTGAGTTAAAGGGTTTTCTTTTTTTAGTTTAGATGGTTAGTCAGTATTTATTGTTTCACTACAAATACTTGAGTTGGGGTTAATTGATGTGGGTTACTTCAAGGTTAGGTTAGAATATTTTAAAACACCTGGGATAATGAGTTTGTGAGTTGAGTTTTACCCCCGTGTGTTTACGTATTTTTACTCTAAGTTGTTATGATAAAATCTTAATTTTTGTCTTTTATTAAAATAGAACTTTATTTTTTTAGCTTACAGACATAATTGTTGGACATCAATGAAATAAAAACTCTAACAGAATTTTTTTTTTTAGCAAAGCATAAGCAGTTGTTTTTTAAAGTTCAGCTTGTTATAAAAAATAAGACATGTAAACGATGGTAGCAAGGAGACTGTTTGAGGTTATTTTGTTTAAATAGCAAGAAGGGAAGTAGATTTGAAACATGTGAAACAAGAGGACAATAAACAGCTAAAACATTGTGTAGTCTGTTTTAAATTGAGTAAAATCAACTTCAGTGGACGGAGAGGTCTAGCTGTATAGAGCTGGACTGATAAACTGTAAGTCTCGAGTTAAAATCCGGGTACAAGTCATTAGACCGTACTTGAGCCCACCCAGCTCTGATGGGTACCTAACTCACGTTAGGATTAGTAAAGGCGGCTGGGCATAGTGCTGACCACACTATCCCTTCATATGCCGAGGTCACAAAAACAAGTGAACTCTACTTCACTTGCCCAATAGACCGTAAGGTTTGAAAGGGAACTTTACTTTTTTTTAAAATCAACCGTAAGCTAAAGAATAATTCTAACCAGCAGTTTAAAATTGTACTTCATATAATTAGTGAAAACTGCTAGAACTATTGCCTACAACTGCTCATCAATTTCTCTAGACTGGGCAAGGCTGATGTGACCAATGCTGTTGAGAAAAGTATACCAAACCTTTTTCACAAGGCTGGGGACACGGCCGTCAGGAACAGGGATGACGCTAAAAGCTTTGTTCTGGATATGGCCAGTTTTCCTGAGGTCAAGGTTAGCATGACTAAGCTTGTTCAAATTATTGTGGGTGTATTCAATGAACTGTTTACTAATTTAAACTTCAATAGCTAAAAAAAAAGGTAGACTCTCTATTAACTATTTGCTGTGTAGAAGATTTCTGCTTGAAACCAAAATTATTTCTATTTAAGACCCTGAAATTTTTCCCAGTTTCCACCTCTTGTCAGTGGCCTATGTCCCTGGAGGGTCGACAGGCAAACCATACCATACCTAAATTTTAGATGGACTACACATTATTTGCAATCTTTTAAAACTTGACTTATAATTCTTTACAATGTTTAAAAATGCCATTTTAAGATGTGTTGGTCAGCAGTTAAGATCTAAGCTGTTTATGTGACCTCAACAATAGAATTTACTTCTTTCTGATTCAGTTTAGTATTCAAGACTTTAAAGTTGATCAATCGAGTACTCTTTAATCTGATTACAACATGTTAGTTTAGTTAGTTTAGTCTTCTTTACTCATTGTAGAGCAGAGCCGCTCATTTATAACCTTATGCAATTTCCAAAAAATTAATTACAAATATATTTAAATTAATTTGATATAAAGGGATTAAAACTGCAAAAATTAAATCTTGTAATTAAGAAAATAAAACATGGTTTACCATAATGAATTCCTGTGAATAAAATTGGACAATGTACTAGTTTGCTACACTTTGGTTGCCGACAGGCTAAAAAAAACTACAAAAAAGTAAAATGAATAGTTACTCTACTTTCTGTTTCCCAACCCAAACTTGAGTATAAAGCTCCACCCATAAAGCTTTTGTTTCATTTCTTATCATTCTATTCTTCAGCTGACACGCTACAATTGTTTAATTTCTTATTATTCTGTTTTTTAGTGGACACGCTATTATTGTTTTATTTCTCATTATTCTGTTTTTTAGCTGACACACTACAATTGTTTCATTTCTTATTTCTGGTTTTTTAACCAACTAAAACTTGAACGCTTGAGTATGAAGCGATGCCTATAAATTTGACACAATAAAATTGTTTCATTTCTTATCTTTCTATATTTAGCTGACACACTAATATTGTTTCATTTCTCATCATTCTATTTTTTAGCCAACCCAAACTTGAACGCTTGAGTATGAAGCTATGCCTATAAATTTGACACAATAAAATTGTTTCATTTCTCATCATTCTATTTTTTAGCCAACCCAAAGTTTAACACATGAGTGTGTCAAACCTATAAAGCTGACACTTGGTCCACGGCATGCCCAAAGCAGATGTGAATTAGTTGAGTCGTTGTACCAGAAATTCGGCCTGAAAAAGTAAGTTATTTATCTACACAATTGTATCCACTTATCACTTCTCTATTTTATTTATATTTTTTACCGATGGTTATTTTCTAAATCCATCAATGAGTATCAATATAAAAAAATTAATGGTAAATCTCTCACTATGATTACACAATACCATTTCGCTAAATATGTAAATGTTCAGGAAAATAAAATTTTAAACCCATGAATACTTTTAAAAAATGGAGCAGTCTTGTTCTAGGGATGCAATATATATGTATAAATATACAGATATAATATCTTGTTAACAAAGTAAAAAAAATCTAGCATTTGTGTAATTGTCAGGAGGTTGGCATGATTGGGTAGGTTTAGCTCATAATTGCTGAACTGATAAACCCCGAGTTCAAACCCCTGCACAGATGAAGTTCAATAGCTGGGACAGTACCTCAGTACCTAGTGTTGTGTATGGGGTGAATGTTGTTTGTATGTAGTAGCTTGTCTCATTACTTAGTGTTGACTTGTAGTTTGTTCTTGGTTGGACAAAGGCTATGGAAGTAAATCCAAAAAGAAAAGCAGGCTGGAATTGTAGTAAACTGCCTAAATTGCGCATAACAAGTTGACACATATCCTTAATTGTGTTGGAGGGAATCCCTTCCAACACTAAAATTAAGAACGAAGAAAAAGAAGGTGTAGTGATAATGCTTAATTTTAGCTGATCTTCTCTTTCTCTGTTCATCCATCTCCCCTGTAAAAAATCCCCACAAAAATCCCACGTTATCGACGGCTACCCCCCTGATTGTCAGTTTTTGTCACCCTTCAGTGGCCTGACCATGGACAATGTTATGAAGTTCAATGTGGAAGGTCTGAATCACAATGCTGGTGAAGTGAGAGAAGTCATTGAGCGACTCATTAAGTTAATGTACAAAAACCATGGAGCCCCAATCAAGGAGTACTTGCCACCAGGTTGGTCTTTGTGGTGGATGGGGTGTATGGGGTTAGTATGTAGTAGCCTGCCTCAGTACCTATTGTTGTGTATGGGGTGAATGTTTGTATATAGTAGCCTGTCTCAGTACTTAGTGTTGTGTATGGGGTGAATGTTTGTATGTAGTAGCCTGTCTCAGGATGTTGTGTTGTGTATGGGGTGAATGTTGTTTGTATGTAGTAGCCTGTCCCATCCCCCTAGTGTTGTGTATGGGGTGAATGTTGTTTGTATGTAGTAGCCTGTCCCATCCCCCTAGTGTTGTGTATGGGGTGAATGTTGTTTGTATGTAGTAGCCTGTCCCATCCCCCTAGTGTTGTGAAAGGGGTGAATGTTTGTATATAGTAGCCTGTCTCAGTACTTAGTGTTGTGTATGGGGTGAATGTTTGTATGTAGTAGCCTGTCTCAGTACCTATTGTTGTGTATGGGGTGAATGTTTGTATGTAGTAGCCTGTCTCAGTACCTATTGTTGTGTATGGGGTGAATGTTTGTATATAGTAGCCTGTCCCATCCCCCTAGTGTTGTGTATGGGGTGAATGTTTGTATGTAGTAGCCTGCCTCAGGATCTAGTGTTGTGTATGGGGTGAATATTGTTTGTATGTAGTAGCCTGTCCCATCCCCCTAGTGTTGTGTATGGGGTGAATGTTGTTTGTATGTAGTAGCCTGTCTCAGTACCTAGTGTTGTGTATGGGGTGAATGTTGTTTGTATGTAGTAGCCTGTCTCAGGACGTTGCGTTGTGTATTGGGTGAATGTTGTTTGTATGTAGTAGCCTGTCCCATCTCATAGAGTTCACCACTTGTATCTTGGGCTGGCTGTTATCACATGGTCATAGTACGGTGTGTACTTGTTTGTGTACGGGTTTAAAAGACGTGAGGCAACATGGTTTATCTACTGATAAATTTTAACAAAATGCAGGATAACTTTGAACAAAGTAGAGGATAACTTAATCCAAATTCTAATAAGCTATCAAACTATTTATTCATTCAGTTTTTTCATCAAAGAATAACTCATTCAATTGTTTATAAATATTAAATAAAATACATACAATTAATCAACTATTTATAAATGTCTTAGATGATGAAAAGACCAGAAAGAACACACTGTGGCGGCAACTCTTTGAATATTTTGACCAAGTGGATGGGAAACCGTCAAGATCTGATATAAAGGTTGGAAAAATAAAATGTATTGTGAGCAATGCTAAAATAGCTATCAGCAAAATAATGGTGTTTAGACAATTAACTAAGTCATTTTACTCTATAATGTTAAAAATATATCAATTACAAATATAAATAAACTGGGAGAGATCTCCCCTAAACTTTCTCGAATATTCTTATATAACTTGGAATATGGACATGATTTTTAATTACTTAAACTTTTAAAAATAGAATAGAATCTCATAGAAAAAGAATTGCGCACCAAGCGAACACCAAAACAAAATGTGCATAATAGTGCGCAATATTATTAGTACTTTATAAATTTACATGCGTTTTTTGAGAAATCGGAAATAGCGTAAATTAGTACTTCCGGTCAACGGAAATTACTCAAAATTTGACAGAAGGTAGATAATTAGATCTTTTACTTACATGTGAAATTTCATTTATCTATCTGAAATAGTACTCAAGTTATAGGCTTTTGAAAAATTCAAAGTAAAAAAGTACCACTTCCGGTTATCGGAAATCGCTCAAAAGTTGATACGGATCTACAATTTTGATTAAATACTTATATATGAAATTTCATCAACCTAGCTGTAACGGTACTTAAGTAATCATGTTTACACACAGACACACACAGACATACGAACAAGATTGCAAAATTATGTTTTTCCGTATTAGTGAAGTGTAAAACGTCGAGATTTTGCACGATTACGAGACTTTCTCTATACTTCGTATATACGAGAAAGTAAAAATGTGTAAAAATAAAAGACCTCTGCCCCGCGATCTAGCCGGGTACCAGACGGTAAGACGATGTCCTGCGTCTGGTGGTGGGGGAAGTAAAGCCTGGATAGAGCCTACGGATGGATAAGCGACCATCATGTAGTGTTTCAAATCAACATCTCAGTGAGACTGATTCAGTTCACAATTTGCCATTTAGTTGGAGTTCACTACGTCGAGACCTCCCTTGCTAATGAGAGTCAAACTCCTGAGCCTGTATATCCGTGTCACGATAGTTATTGAACTGTTTTTATATTGGGCATGAGAAAGCTGGAAATGCAGACTAACCTTGAACAAACGTACATATCCATGAGAATATTATAATGTCGTCACAGAGCAGACGATAAAGACTGGTGGCACTTGTTTGATTATAGACGCAAAAAGAAAACAAAGAATATCAAACCACATTATGTAGGAAATTATCAATAAAATACAGGGGTTAAACTAGGCCCAACTAAAACAGTAAGCACGGTATTAGCGTAAAAAAAAACAACCACACCTCCATCCTCTTAGGTGTCATTCATTTATGAGGCCCACAAAAAGTTGGATTTCCACTGGCGTCCATTTAAAGAACGTCATCCCTGGCCTGTAAACCCGATATTAACGTTCACTAAAAGTAAAGGCCTATAAATGTTTTTAAAAGTTTAAATCATACAATATTCACACCAGATGCATGTCATTTATGTAAGCCCTGCTAGGGGGGGGGGGGGGAAACCTAAAATCTACCCTTCTAGGCTTATCTAACTAACTACCGTCCGGTCAGTGCAAGCCCTGCTAAACCCAGACTGGTTAATAACCTAACTAGTCTAAATTAAAAACAAAAAAACTTTAACGATATAATAAAATTTATTTAACAAAAAAATATGGAACCAAGCTTAAAATAAACCGGAAGTGATCTCCCCTAAACTTTCTCGAATATTCTTATATAAAATAAAGGGGATGGGAACTCGGGCTATAGACATGATTTTTAATCCATTTTAAATACTTAAAGTTTTAAAAATAGAATAAAATCTCGTAGACAAATTAATTGCACACCAAGTGAACGCCAAATAAAAAAGCGCATAATGGTGCGCAATATTATTATTACTTTTAAAATTTACATTAGTTTTTTGAGAAATTGGAAGTAGCGTAAAGTACTACTTCCAGTCAACGGAAATGACTCAAAATTTAATAGAAGGTAGAGAATTAGATCTTTTACTTACACATGAAATTTCATTTATCTATCTGAAATAGTACTCAAGTTATAGGCTTTTGAAAAATTCAAAGTAAAAAAGTACCACTTCCGGTTATCGGAAATCGCTCAAAAGTTGATACGGATCTACAATTTTGATTAAATACTTATATATGAAATTTCATCAACCTAGCTGTAACGGTACTTAAGTAATCATGTTTACACACAGACACACACAGACATACGAACAAGATTGCAAAATTATGTTTTTCCGTATTAGTGAAGTGTAAAACGTCGAGATTTTGCACGATTACGAGACTTTCTCTATACTTCGTATATACGAGAAAGTAAAAATGTGTAAAAATAAATTCCTTTTAAAAACATGAAATTCAATGATGAATTCTAATACTTATGAATACATAGAAATACAATGCTTGTAAACATATTTCTTAATTTACTTTTCAGAAACTTAAAGCAGAAGAAGAACAGAAAAAACAAGCAGAAATTGATGCATTGCATAAGCAGCTTCAACAACTTAGAGAAATGAATGCTGGGAAGGCAGTAAGTTATTTTTAAATTCAAGATGGTGGTGGGTTGTGGGTTTCCTTAATCTTGTATTGATTAATCTGATTATTTCCATATAGTATATTTTCATTACCATATCTTAAACAATCTTTTAAATAGCATCTGTTTACTTATAAGTTATATTCTTAATCAGTTTTTTTAGTTTTACTTACAACAGAAGTAGCAATCACCCCTGTAATACATTTACTCTTTTACAAGCACGTATTACAACTTTTTTTTACACTCAGTATATGTTCTCCATACACTTGCTATAACTTGAGTGTTGTGTCTACTGGGTCCACTCAGTTCAAATGGGTACCTGGCAATATGGGATGCAATTGTAGTGTTGTGTTGGCTATGCAACCTCATTAGTAACTAGATCATAGAAAGAGGTGAACTCAACCCTCACTGCATTTTTAAACTGCCAGATCTCCAAGGAAAACCTTTGTTTAACTTTACTCTGTTAAACTAACATCGCCATTATATATTCCTTTTACACAAGACTTTTCTAAAAAAAACCTTTACTTTACTGTTTACCTAAATGTAACAACACAATTTTTTTTTCACAAACCTTTTCCAGTAAAGATTGATTTTACATTAGTCTTTTTTAACTTCTTGAAGCTCCGCAGTGACAGAAGCACTGATGTAAGATGGATACAAATGTTTACCGCATTTAAAAAAAAACTTTCTAAATATTTTTTTCTTTTTATTGAAAATTAGTTTTGTAGAGACAGTTAAATTAAAATTTCTTGTTTTCATTTTCTTACATGAAATGCTAGAATAAAATAAGATACTTTTAGTTAATTTTTTTTTTGGTGTGGCTTTAAAAAGTTGCTAGACTAGTTTAGTTAAAGGTTTATATGAACACAGAACCATTTTTAAACCTGCTATTAACAGTGTGCAATGTAGTATAACAAACTTAGAAATTAAAAATGTTATAACATTTTATAAAAACTTTCAATGATTTAAGGGGATATGCTATGTTTTTTTCTATTTTTTACAGTTTAAGATCTAAAGCTTTTTGAATACTTTTATCATATTTGGCTTATAAAAGTAACTATTAAACAGCAAAAAAAAGGGTCGAAAACAATTTTGGTTGTCATGGAAACCCAAAAAACCTCCGCCATTTTGAATTTTTTGGTACTTTTGAAAATACTAAGGCTTTTTTATTTATGCACCTATAGCAATCAAATTTAAACTGCGTATATTTCAGTATATATTAAAACTTTTGTCACGACAACTTTTTGAAATAGTTACTAGTAAGAATTTTACAAGGTCTAAAAAATCGTACCCGTTTTAGTATTCAAAAGTTTTAAAATGTGCATAGTAATTACCAAATACTTTTTTCTATGAAAGCAATCACAATTCCCTCGTGATAAAAGTTGTATTTTTGCATCAGGAACATTTACTGTAAATATGGTTGGCATTGTTTAATAAATAAAAAGGTAGTAGGCTTTTTAGTGTTAAAAACATGCGAACTGAGAAAAACAGCAAAAAGTAATGAAAACTAGGTCAGGAATGTACCATATCTGTGTAAACTGCAAAGCCGATTGTAAGCTTTGGGTGTTTCCGAGATGTAGGAAATTAAGTTTATTAGATACATGAGAAATCCAGCTTTCCAATGATGTCAAATACAATATAATGACGGATATAAAACTGTTCATAGAGAGATTGTAAGATTGGGAAAAATTGATTATTTTTTAATTAATAGGGTCATAAAAATCGTAATTCAAACACATACAATTTTTTTCCTCTTTAAAGTTATTATTTTCTTTATACAAAAATGGACAAAGTATCCAAAAGTGCAAGAAACCCATCAAGACGAAAAACAAGAAAATTTGTGATTTTTTTCCCGCGCATATCCCCTTAAGACAAATGTGGTAATTAATTGTTTTATTTTTAATTTATAAAAAAAATGTTTCTTTTTTTTTTTTAAATATTCCATTAATGTTTTAGAAATAGTATAAGTACATGGCTTTAAAATTACTGTATATTGATTTACTATTAAAAATTAAAGTAACTGTTTTGTATTGTAAACATTTTTAATTTAAGTAAATTTCTTGGATCTGAACCCAAAAAAAACCCAAACACAACTAGTTTTCATATAGCCTAGATTCTAGTTATAGTGAGCTACTACTTACTTTTCAAGTGTGCTGTGGCATAAAATTAACCTTACACAGTGTGCACCCATTAATTCTTTCCTACAGCCTGTAGATGCTTCAGTTTTGAAGAATGAACCCACAAAGAAAGCGGGTCCTGTTAAGGTAATTTATTACAGTCCACAAAGCTGATAAGCTAAGGGAGTGCAAATGTAGTCAAGCCATTTTTTATTTAACACATTTTTTTTGTTTTCGATTTCTTTGCTTAAAACAAATATTCAGAAAAAGTTTTGAATAATGGTTAAATAATATGTAAATGTTTGTTTTTATGCTGACTCACTGAATGAAAATTTTCAAGTATTGTGTATTCATTAAAAGTTGATATTACTCTTATAATATGCATATAATGTATTTCTTTTAATTAAGGAAAAGTTTATCACTTGTAGTTCATAAAAAAATTAAAATTTATGTCTTTTTTGATAACTGAATTTGATTTTGGTCAATTTAAATAATTGATCATTTTATTGAATCTTTTGCAACAGAAGAAACCAGACACCACAAAGCCTAAAAGCAAAGTGAAAACAAAGGCAAAAGATGATGACGATGTTTCTATGTTTACTGTTGATAAGTAAGTTGTTCAGTTAAAAATACCTATGTTTATTTATTGATTCAACTAATTCTAAATTATTGATGCTTGTTTACAAAGCTAATCTTTTTTTTTAAATCAAGTGTTAGTATTTATAGCAAACATTTATTTAGTGCTACTCTTGTATATGGATGGTGTGTCTTAGCCATAGAGTGCTATACTGCCAACCCAAAATACTTTAGTTTGAATCTGGGTCCTACTCAAAAGATCGCTCTTGAGTCCACTCAGCTCTGATGGGTACCTAACTCATGTTTGGGAAAGTAAAGGCAGTTGTGCATAGAACTGACCACTCTATCCCTTCATATGCTGAGGCCACAGAAACAGGTGAACTCTACTTCACTTGTCCCATGGACCTTCAGGTTCTAAAAGGGATTCTTGCTTGTGAATATCACATAATGAAATGTATCTATTATTCAAATTATAGTGATATGTTGGTAATGTTATAGTAAACTTTCAAAGTTTCTCTTTCAAAATGAAAGAATATCTAAGTTATCTCCAGGAATTAATATTTTGTCTGTGTTTTCAGTATATGTATATTCTGTGGTGAGAGAAATGAAAGTTTTACAGAGGAAGGATTAGACATTCATTACTGGAAGAACTGCCCAATGCTGAAGAGGTGTACAAACTGCAAACAAGTAAGAATTGCTTTGTTTTCTCTTGGCAGAACTGTTCAATTATGAAGACGTTTTGTGTGATTGCGAAGGTGTTTTTATGTCCTACTGTATGATTGTGACAATTTTTACTTTCACGTATATGAAGTATAGAAGAAGTATTGTAATCGTGCAAAAACTCGAAATCAAGAACCTCACAAATCTCAATGTTTTATATCAAATATCAAATTTTACGTAATATCCGTTTATTGGAAGTAGTACTTAACACTTTTCCAATTTTAAAAAAATTGCATATGAATTCATGAAAATACTAATATTCCGCTCTATTATACACACATTATTTGCTGTTCACTTTGTGTGCAATTCTTTTTTCTAGGAGATTCTTATTTTAAAAAGTTTAAGTATGTAAAAATTGATTAAAAATCATGTCTATATCTTGAGTTGCCATCTCCGTAGTATTATATAAGAATATTCGAGAAAGCTTAGGGGAGATCACTCAGGGGAATATTGTAGTTTAACATCAAATATCATAACATGTAAGTAGTTGTAGTAAAGTTCTTTTTTCAACCTGACGGGCCATGGAGCTAGTGAAGGAGAGTTCACCTGCTTCTGTGACCTCAACATATGAAGCGATAATGTAGTCGTCACTATTCCCAGTCAGCTTTGTTTTCCCTAAAATGAGTTAGGTACCCATCAGAGCTACCAATCTACTATCTCGTCCTTAGGTTCAAACTCAAAACTTTTGAGTTAACAGTCTAGTGCTCTACTACTAGGCCACGTCATCCCATATAAAAAAATGTGATGTCGTTTTTAATAATGAGTGTCATGTGCTTTTGTACTAAAGATAAATATGACGTGTGTTGTTGCATCGAAGGATAATGTTGTGAGCAATTTTTGTAATACTGATGAATGTTGTGTGTGATGTTGTATGCACTATTGTAGCAGAGATGAATATTGAATCTACTGTTGTAGCAAAGAAGAATGTTGAATGCCCTATTGTAGCTGAGATTAATGTTGTATGCACTATTGTAGCAGAGATGAATATTGAATCTACTGTTGTAGCAAAGAAGAATGTTGAATGCCCTATTGTAGCTGAGATTAATGTTGTATGCACTTTTGTAGCAGAGATGAATGTTGTATGTACTATTGCAGCACAGATGAATGTTGAATTCCCTATTGTTGCAGAGATGAATGCTGTCACACTATTGCAGTACAGATGAATGTTGTATGTGCTAATGCGTAAGTCTCCCATGTTTTGGTGTCTCTTGCAGGTTGTGGAGATAGCCACATACACTGACCACGTCCTGAATGAATGCGAGGCCAAGTCAAACTTCAGCAAATGCCCTCGTTGTTCTGAGGCAATACCCAAACCAGAGTATGATCAGCATGTGTCTGAGAAGTCTTGTAATCGTAAGTTTAAAAAATTATTTGTCTTTTAATCTTAAGTTTAAAAGTTTCTTGTGAGAAGTCATTTGTACTTGTGTTGAAAATTTTCCTATTAGAATTCTTGTAATCAAGTTTAAAAAATTTCTTAATGAGAATTCTTGTGATTGAAAATTTCGTATGTAAAAAGCTTTCTTTACACTCAAATAGTTTCCCATTTCCATTAGCACATATCAATCCTATTTTTCAATTGTATTATGACATATTGTGCCTATATAATATTTAGCATTAGGGCTTATCAAGCCGATAATATTCTAATACCAGGGTTATCAAGCATATAATTTTCTAGTATCAGAGCTTATTAAGCCTATAATATACCAGTACCAGAGCTTATCAAGCCCATATTTATCTGCTATAACTTTTATTAACATGGTACACCCACATCATAGACGTAGGCCGAGTGGCGTAGCAAGGTCGGTGTCACCCGGTGCAGCACTTAATGGTGTCACCCCCAGAGGCGTAGCGACCCTTCCCGGAGACAAACTTTCAATTTTCGATTTGCACCCCCCCCCCCACCCCCCTACAAACTTTCGTTTTGCACCCCCCTCAAACTTTCGTTTTGCACCCCCCACCCCCCTTCAAACTTTCGATTTGCACACCCCCCTCTCAAATTTTTCTATATATTTTGCTATTTTTTGCCTTGGTGTCACCCCCCTAAATGGTGTCACACGGTGCGGTCCGCCCCCCCCCCCCCCCTCGCTAAGCCTCTGCGTAGGCCTAACCAACCTAGAGATTAAAAAAATATAATATTATACTAATTTTTTTAAAAATTTCTCCACCCAGCCTCCAAGTCTGGAACCAACCACTGCCCGCTGTGTCATGAGAATATATCAGCGGGGGAAGATGGATGGAAGGATCATCTCATGAGCCGTACAGGATGTAAACAAAATCCCCGGCGCCTTCTGGCACTCAACAAACCTGCAGGTGGGCCAGTTGGTGAGTACATCTTTACATTGGTCAGGTGGGGAGTCAGTATTATGACTGTGGATTTATTTGGAACCCAGTCAGCTGGGGAGCCAGTATTATGACTGGGTTAGGTTTATTTAGACCTCAGTCAGCTGGGGAGTCAGTCAGTATTATGACTGTGAGTTTGGTTTATTTAGACCCCAGTCAGCTGGGGAGTCAGTCAGTATTATGACTGTGGGTTTGGTTTATTTGGACCCAGTCAGGTGGGGAGTCAGTCAGTATTATGACTGGGTTTGGTTTATTTGGACCCCAGTCAGCTGGGGAGTCAGTATTATGACTGGGTTTGGTTTATTTGGACCCCAGTCAGCTGGGGAGTCAGTATTATGACTGTGGGTTTGGTTTATTTGGACCCCAGTCAGCTGGGGAGTCAGTATTATGACTGTGGGTTTGGTTTATTTGGACCCCAGTCAGCTGGGGAGTCAGTCAGTATTATGACTGTGGGTTTGGTTTATTTGGACCCCAGTCAGCTGGGGAGTCAGTATTATGACTGGGTTTGGTTTATTTGGACCCCAGTCAGCCGGGGAGTCAGTATTATGACTGTGGGTTTGGTTTATTGGACCCCAGCTGGGGAGTCAGTATTATGACTGTGGGTTTGGTTTATTTTGACACCAGTCAGGTGTGAAAGGGTAGCATTAAAACAAAACCACAAAAGATTCGTCTTTGATATGTAGTAATTCTAGCATGTAGCTGAGATGTTTCTCACATTTAGAGGGATGGTGGTGGTTGTGATCACACATATACATGCCACGCAATATTTCCCCTTTGTTTAGTATTTTTTTTTTTTTTTTTGCAGGAGCAAAAGCAGCAACAAGAGGGAGAGGAGGAAAGGCAGGCGCAGTTCGAGGGGGAAAAAAATAAAAACAGTTTAGAATTAAAATACATATTTTAGGGATATATTAATTTAAATAAATTACATACATATATATATAAATATATATATATATATATATCTTTTACCTATTTGACGGCCCTTATACCAATACTTATTTATAGCACTTTTAATTGAAACCTAATTATTTAATTAAAACGATCCCTTAATAACATGACCCAACATTTAATTTTTGAAAAACCAAAACATGCAGTGATTAAAGTTTATATGGAAATCTTACAAAAATTATAGAATGTTACTGATTCAGTTTTCTTCAAGACAAAACATTGAAGCATCAATAATTGCAAACTGTTTAAATACAAGTGTGCCTTCCATTGCTTTAAAAACTTTGCCTTTAGAAAATGTTACTGCTTTTTTTTTTTACTGTAAATATATATATTTTTAAATTGTTGTAAAATTGATGGAGTGTTTTAGTCATTTTTTTTTTTCATCTGCACAATGTATTTTTAAGCCGGCTGCTGTTTTGAAAATGATGCTTTCATTTTATCAAATTTTAAGTTAGGAAAAAAAATATCTGGCTCTTCGTTCAGTGTGTCAGAAAGTGGTAGTTCCACCTGTGGCTAATTCTTGTAAGTTTATTAACAGTTGATTCCAATTTTTTTGACCAATTTGTGTTCTGTTTAATGTAGTTTTTCTTTTTTCCTATATATAACAAAGGCATTTTAAGACTTAATCACAATTGTTCTTTTTAAAATAAGTTGAATATCATTTTAGGCCCTTCTGTATTTTTATTTTAAAAAACTGAACATTTAAAGGTAAATTCTGAAATAATACACACACATGTGTCCTAAGTCCAGAATAATTTTTTTCTGACTTAAAAAAATCTCTGTATTTGTATTATGCAAAACTCCACATGCACAGTAGAATTTTTTTTCATTTTCCACTTCATAGAATAATTTTTTTAAACTAGTTGCCTGCTTCACAAAAAAAAAAGGTCTCCAATCTACTCAAATTTATTTTAAATGTAAAATTAGCTTGTGTTTATAAAATGGATCAGTACATTGGCTGACATGTTAACATTCCATTAATATAAATTGATGTATGATTAAAAACTTTACTATCAATTTTAACTTTTATGTATATTTATTTACTGTATATTCTTTATTACTATTATTATTCTTTATGCATTGTGTCATATTTTAACTGATTCAGAATTAGGAAAATACAAATTTTCAAAATATGAACTGTGTTGATTTAATTATAGGTACAAAAAAAGGGCTTTTCATTTAATTAATTGTAATATTTATATATAGACATTGCTCTTCATAGAGTTTAATTATCATGATCTGGGGGAATCATAAACCTACATGTGGTCACTAATAAAAATTGTGTTTATGTAAACAAATCTCCAGCATAAATTAGACTCTGAAGGTTAAGAATTGTTCATCTGCAGGGGTCTCCAAACTTTTCAGTCCAAGCGCCGCATTAACTATTAAATTTCAGTTCGGGGGCCAATTTCGTCCAGGTATTTCTGGGCAAAGTTCCTCAGCCATCACTAACAAACATTTTTTTCCGTGGACAAAAAGATCTCTGCGGGCCGGATGAGAGGACATTGCGGGCCGCATCCGGCCCGCGGGCCATAGTTTGGAGACCCCTGATTTATAGCATTAAAATAAAATATAAGAATCTAAACTACTTTTAAAAAAAAAAAGATAATTAATAAACTACATCTGATGTATAAAAGCATAAAAGGAAAGTTACTGTTTTGAACATGGCAACCGATAGGGCAGATGAAGTAGAGTTTACCTGTTTATGAGACCTCAACATATAGTATATTCTATAACAAGCAATCTTCACCATCCCTGACATGTATCAAGGTATTTGTACTCATGAGAGCTGGATGGACTCAGGAATGTCCAAACTAGATTTCTTGATGAAGATATCATTTGGAAATGCTGTAATTGGGAGCAGGACTATAGCCAATTAATCCCCTCCCCACAGTCAATTACTCCTGTGACCAGTTATAAATAGGGTTAGCTTAGGTTAAGTGTTATGATGTAGGTTTAGAGCTGGTGTTAGGATTGATGTTGGGGTTAGCGTTCTTCAGGATGGGGGGGATAGGGGTAATGTCTTATACCCACAGTAATATTAGCATGAAATTTATATAACCTCAATTTCAGAAACTTTAACAGAACATATTGTGATCAGTTAATAACTGAGTTAGTAATATTTGCTCTTTTTTCACAAGCACTAATGTATATAAAGACTTTAAAATTTTACAATACTTGATCTAATGGAAGCTCAGTTTAAAAGGGAATTATCTTAGTACACCATGTGATCTATTATAGGGCCTATTTCAGCCACACAGCTGAGGCAAGAGCAGACCAATATAACAAAACTGTTTAAAAATTTGTTCCATCAACATGTCATACAAATAATCAGATTGATTTTTTTAAAAAAAAGAACTTGTGACAAAGGATATTACATTAAATATATTATTTGCTTTAAATTTTCATCAAACAAAAAATTCTTGATCAGAATCCGACGAAATGGAAATATCCAATGCATAACAATTCCATTTGGTACAAGCTATCGGACATTCATAAGGACACTCTAGTTCGTCTAATGGTTTTTTCTCATAAAAAGAATCTTTGATGAATTCACTAAACTTTAAATAATCCTTGATAATCTTCGACACTGGGAGTTTGTCAATTTTAGCAGGGGCGTATTTTCCCACAAGTTTGAAAATCTTAGCCCTGCATTGTTCCCTGAGGCTCCAGACTTTTTTTGTCAACCCCAGGAGCTGCTGCTTAACAGCTTCTTCATTGTAACAGGACACTGGCCATTTCTCTTCGCGAAGCCATTTTTCATGTAAATAGACTGGGTTTATGTGGAAGAGAATTTTAGCCACGTCCCAGAGTTTCTCACAGACAGATAAGTGGAAGTATGAGGAGCACCTGCGTTTGAGGTTACAGCCCCACTGGATTAAAGTCAAAGCTGACTGGCTGCTGTGCAATTTGATAGCTTGTTCCAATGGCGTCTCACCCCAGCTGAAAAAAAAGTAAAGTATATTTTTACAAAAAACAAAAACATTAAATACATTTTTTACAAAAAAAAATGTTCATAACTTTTATAGAAGACAGACCTAGACAGATCAGCATATATATATATATATATATATATATATATATATATACAATTTTACTACTCAGCAATAAACATATTGCAATATAAATCTATAACATTGATTTTTTTTTAAAATTGAACAATAATGGGTTAGCTACTTCCTATTTATAATTTGGAAAAAAAATCAAAGAAGAAAACCTAACATATTTTCTAAAAAATCAGGGAAATTCAATGGTGAATAAAAAAAAAGGATTTGCAGTTTATTATTTTACTTCACATAAGTATTAAAACTCATATTTAAACCTATTTGCCTACTCTTCAAACTTTATAAATGTTTGAAACTTTTGTTTGACTCTAGTCTAAGTTTAAAACTGTTAACTGTATTGAATACCTAATTTGTAGACTAGTCAGTGGCATCCACTAGCTTAGGTGTCATTATCGTAATTAAGTAATACTTTTTCACTTAATTAAACATTCATTGAAGTCTCAAAAAACATATTTACTCTATAAATCTTACAAATTTTTTTCATCTTAGTGTAACCCCCCTAAATGGTGTCACCTAGTGCAGTCTGCACCCCCAACACCCACCTCATGACTCCTCTGAGACTAGTGGATATCACATTTTAATCAAATACATTCCTAAATAAATCTCTAACATATTTGACCATTAGTCAACCAATGTCACATTTTAATCAAATGCAGGGGTTATGGTACAATATATTTTCTCATGAAAATAAATTACTCAATACAATACAAATTGTTTTAAAATTACTAACATATTTGACCATAGGTCAACCAATGTCACATTTTAATCGAATCCAGTGGTTATAGTACAATATATTTTGTCATGTAAATAAATTGCTTTAATAGATGGATTGTGAACTCCAATCAGTTTTACTCATTTCCATTCAGTTGGTTGATTGTGTGCCCCAATCCCTTTTCTTGGCTTTATTTAATAGACGGATTGTGAACTCCAATCAGTTTTATTAATCTCCATTCAATTTGTGGATTGTGTGCCCTAATCACTTTTTCTTGGCTTTATTTAATAGATGGATTGTGAACTCCAATCAGTTTTACTCAGCTCCATTCAATTGGTGGATTGTGTGCCCCAATAATTTTTCTTGGGTTTATTTAATAGACAGATTGTGAACTCCAATCAGTTTTACTCAGCTCCATTCAATTGGTGGATTGTGTGCCCCAATCACTTTTTCTTGGTTATATATAGTGTTAACCAATTTAAGCTGAGTAGCCAAGAAATTCTAAAAAAACAAAGTCAGAAATTCTAGCTAGACCTGTATTTATTCCCAGAAACTTTGAGGTAGTGATCACACACTGTACCCCACAGACACATAACCCCATCTATATTTTTGTTTACCTGTACTTTTTGTCCAGTCTGTATCCAAACTGTATGAGCAGCCTGACCATAACGGCATTATGTTGCTCAATGGCCACAGTCATAGCAGTAACTCCATGCTTAGTTTTAGCATTCACTTTGATCAAATTTTGTAGCAAAAGTTCACAAATGTCGTATCGTCTGGAGTGTTAGAAATCAAAATACTCAATATTTGACAAGTTATATTTTACCAAGGGGATGGAGTGGTCTAGTGGTAAGGAGTTTGACTGCTAACGCGTAAGTCTCGAGTTCGAATCCGGGTTCAAGTCAGTAGACCGTCCCTGAGTCCACCCAACTCTGATGGGTACCTAACTCAAGTTAGGGAAAGTAAATGCGGCTGGGCGTAGTGCTGACCACACTATCTCTTCATATGCCGAGGTCACAGAAACAAGTTAACTCTACTTCACTTGCCCCATAGACCATCAGGTTTGAATCGAACTTTACTTTTACTATTTTACCAAAGCGAAGCCTTATTTAAATTGTTTAAAAATATAATTCTTTAGGCTAAAGTAACACTAAACATACATGAAATTGTTAAAATAAGAATATTTGCCAATATAACCAAAAAGGATTCCAAGATTACAAAGAAAATGTTAAGTATTTGATGAAAAAAAACTTTTAAAAAGGGTATAAGTCAATTTAAAAAAAAAAAAAAAGATACAAACTTTCACAAATTATTCCAAGCTAGTTTTCTGAATCCATTTTCTTTTCAAAAAATGGGATTTTATATTTTAAATGTGAGCTAATCATATTCCAGATAGTTAAAATTGCATGCATACAAAATAAAATTCTCACTAGTGCATGATACAAGAAACTATTATGGAAATGAAAACTTGGTAGGCCAACAGTATTCGATTTGTTTACCTATACACAACAGCAAAGTGCAGCGCTGTGAAGCCATCTCCTGTTTTGGATTGTATTTTACACATGCTGTTTATCAAAAGTTGACACATTTCTATATTATCCAGCTGTATAGCCCTGTAAACATGACAAATTTTTATATTATTTAGCTGCACAGCCCTATAACAATTTCTATATTATCCATAGCCCTGAAATGTCACAATTTCACAATTTCTTTATTATCCAGCTGCTAGCCCTGTAAAACATTTCTATATTATCCAGCTGTATTCAGAGTTTCTTCCAGGCATCCCCCCCTGAAGAAAGTCTACCAATCCCCCGAAAGAAATGGAATTTATATAGAAAACATTTACATTTACCAGTTTCCCCCCCGCCTCCCCCCCCCCCCCCCCCCGGAAAACATTGTCCGCCCCCTTGAAAATATCAAGTGCACCCCGGAGATAATAGTCTTGAAGAAACACTGGCTGTATAGCCCTTTCACATGATAAATGATAATTTCTACTTTATTCCAACTGTACAGTCCAGTGATGTATTCCATAATTCTATTTTTTTAAAACTGTACAACCATATGGCATATAGTTGTTTATATTTTGACTTACATTTAGGTCTATTTGTGTAGGCTTATGTTGTAAAAATGCAATTGAGTTTCATTAATTTAAACAAATATGTTTTTACTTTTTGAAATTCATATCTTTGAGAACCAGCAGAAAAATAATTTCAACCCAAAACAGTATTTAACCACAATACAAAAACAATTCTTTTTAGATCTAAATGGTTACAAAAAATGTTTTCTAGGAATTTTTTATCTTACTTCATCAGTGGTGTCTCAGCAGTTTTGTCTAGCTGGAGTCTTCTAGTGTTGACATCAGCCCCTGCTTGTATAAGTTCTCTGACTACACCCACACTGTTAGAGAGGACAGCTCTGTACAAAGGTGTGCAGCCTAAAAAAAAATTATAAAATAGTAAATAATACTTTAGCCCAATATAAAATCCAAGTTTTGAAAATTCATCTATGCTGAGAAATACAGTGATAATTATTAAAATAGTTCAATTTAATAGTAGGGTCAACTGATTTATAAAATATAAATGGAGGAACTTTAAAATATATTCAAATGGATGACTTACCAGTTTCTTTATCAATGTAATTAACATCACAGTTTCTTTCACTTAACAAGATTTTGGTTAACTCCACATTTCCAGTTTTTGCTGCCCACCTAAATTATTAAGAAAAAATTACTTTTTAAATTATAAAAAGACTATAGCAAGTGCAAAATGTGGCAAAATCCTAATTTAATATTTAAAAATAATGATTAATATATTTAACATAGCAGGCTCAATAATGACTTCCTTAGTCCATCCATCTCAGATGGGAATCTGACTCAGGTTAGGGAAACAAAAGCAGTTGGGCATAGAGCTGACCAAACTATCCCCATGTATGCAGAGGTCATTAAAAAAGATGAGCTCTACTTCATCTGCCTCATGTGTCTTGGGCATGATATGAAAAGGATGATGCAGTAGCGTAGCGAGAGGGGGCCATATGTCCCCGGGCGCCGACCTCAGGGGGCGCCAAAATGGGTTGAAAGGAAGCTTGAGGGGGTGGAAATCAAAAGTTTGAGGGGGGGGGATGCAAATCGAAAAGTTTTGGCGGGAAGGGTCCCTACGCCTCTGGGATGATGAGACGATGCTATATAACATATAAATAAACAGCCATATTTTTACAACTAAAATCAAGAAAACAAAGTTCTACTAATTTAATATATATTATTATTGAGATTTTTAGAAACATTTTTCCACCTTTACAAAATCTGGAGACAGTGTCTTGTAACTAAATCATAAATTACCAATTAATTTTATGCATAGTACTAAATAATTTTGCAATTGGTCCATATATTTTGTTACATGATGCTAAAAATGTATTATGTAGGAATATGTTGGCTGGAAGCCACGACCCTGTCAATAAACAGATACCATGAAATATCCTAACTTAATCTTAACCCTAACTCTGAATGATACCTACATAATAAAATCACAGTGAAAGTCAGTCGTATCCTGCTGGCATAAAAATATACTAGAAACCAGAACTTACCAGATGGCTCTTCGACCATCATTTGCCTCCAAATTAACATTAGCACCTTTTGGCCGAGCCTTCATTAACAGTTTGACCATCTCAATCAGCTGTAATTGACTAGAAACTATGATAGCTGTGGGCCCTGATGGATCAGTGGGATTGCAACAATTGACATCAATCTGTTTTTTTTTCAACATCATTTTTACCTGTACAGAATATTTTTAGGGTTAGGGAAAATTAAAATGGCTCCATATTTGTAGATATGTGTTGCACAGGCATAGGTAGGGGAAGAGCAGGTGGGGTGTGCACAGCGAGTGCCGACACAAGGGGGTGCCAATTGGGGCAGAAAGATAAAATGCTCATTCATAGCTGCATTACTTTATTAATATTATGCAGTCGACTTTTAGAAAATAGATTGGTACTTGGCTTTACAGACTGATTGCCTATATCAGTAGGGGGAGTGCTTTATTTGCCAATGTGAAAAACAAAGTTTGCATAAAAGGTGGCTTAACGTTGAAATTAAGCCCCAGGAGCTGGAATAAGTAGCTACACCTCCTATATGTTGTCAATCTATATTTAGATTTATGTTGTAGGCAATTATCCTTGAATATAGATATGTATATAATATAATAATATAGTTGCGATGCTTAGTTGGATTTGATGAGTGAAGGGGTGAGCTTAAGAAAGGCATATTGCTTTAAGATTTTAGACTTCTTAGGGCAAAAACACCACCCTCCATGAACAAATACAATTTATATATCAATTTCAAATAATTTGAGGGCATAGAAGTCAAACGCATTATGTCCACTTTTTTTGTGAAATTAATGCACGTTTATACTTATATTGTTAATAATACAAGCTACAAGAACACTCATATACAATGTCAGAAAAGTAAAATGCTAATATTTTATGAATGTTCAAACATAATATTTTGCACTATTTTAGTATTGAACCGAGATTTATAAACTAATTTTTCTAGAGATTATGTTTTTTTTTTGGACACACAGCATTTGTCCTATATACCCTTGAATTACACTTTTAATCTGCCCCTCCTCCCCCCCCCCCCCCCCACCCGGAGAAACAAGTCTAAAAGAAACACTACCAGCATGATTAAGGTTTAGCTGCCAAAATAAAAATTAGGAAACGGATCTAGATTATAGATATCGGGTCTACCTTTAGTCTGTATGATCTACAAATGCAACCTTAGTTTTTCAGACTTTTTTCTCCAGTGGGGCATTTTCCGGTGAAGGTGGGCGGATACCGGTAACAGTACCTATTTTCTTTTGAAATTCTATATAGTTCGAGGGGGCGGTACACTATCTCTGAAGGGGGAGGGGGTGGTGCTATTTCTCCCTCAACAGGCCATTTATCTATTGAAGATTTAAGCATCCAGTCTTATATTTCACCGAATTAATAAAAGTATATAAACGTTATCTTCAGAAGGATTAAATATGATGGCTTATTTTTAAAATAAGGTCTACAGTCAGATATTTTTAGTTCTTATTAATCTGCCAAGTCTACATGCATATATAGTTGTAGTTAGATCATATAAACACTGATTATTTAATATAGGAAGCTAAGCTTTGATGTAAGTCTAGGATTAAGATTAGATTTGAGGTTCAAGAACTATTAATTTCAATAATTTAACAAGTATTTGAAAATGTATTGCTAATCTATGAATGTTGTTCTTATAAAAAGCATGCATACACAAAGAAGCTAAAACTTATTTTATTTTTATTTTTAAGCCTAAGGTTTTACTTTTTTAAATACCTTTTTGCAGTTTCCCGATCTCACTGCATCAAAAAATAGGACCTGGTTACTATTTATAGAAGCCTTTTCTTCTCCCATTACCTTATGTCTTGCACTATTTGAAATAAATGAAGTAAAACAAGTTAATACAGTGATACCTCAACATACGAGTGCCCTACTTACGGGAATTTTCAAGATACGAGCAGCCGATCAGGCTAAAATTTGTATTGACAAGTGAACCAAATTTGAGATAAGAGTAACCTCAGCTGATTAGTGGGTTTACTAGTTTGCGGAAAAGAAACAATTTAAAAATGTTACAAATGATTTTGCATTGGAGCTAGATTCTAATTGATGGCACTGACCTAAATTGTTCAGACAACATTTTGAAGGGGTAGAAAAAATAAACCTGTGGACAAGTTTAACAGCATGCATGAAAAAGCCTCTGCCGATTTTACGCGCCTAAAACATTAGATTACCTAAATTATAAAATCCAGTAAAAAGATAATTACACAACAAACTCAACTTTTGTTACGTGTTTAGTTAAATACGTGGTAGAGAAGTTAATTATAAAAGAAATTTAGGCACATTTTTCTGTTTTGCATGTTTTGCCGTAGTAAATATTTTTAGATGAATTATAAAAACTCTTATGCGTATACAGCCTACACACATTACATTACATTTAATTAATCCTAAGTTAATTTGCACTATCTATTACCTAAATATGTAATACATAAAAGTATTAACAAATATCATGAAAATATATATTTGTGACTTTTTTTCCTGTGACTTTTTTTCCTGTGACTTTTTTTCTGTTTTTTTTCCTGTGTTTTTTTCCTGTGACTTAGTACTAGTTAGTATATCTAGAGATCTAGTAATTAATAATTATTAGGCCTACCAAAATTTAATGAGTAACCTTTTTTCACATAACTAGTCTCGGCCGATTTAACTTACCTAAAACGAGAGATTACCTAGAATCCTTACCTCTAAGTCTCAATCCATGGATAGTAAATAGTCAATAGTCACGTGAATAGGCCCATGGCATAGCCGCGCCATAGTTCTACACGGTAATCTATCGTTTTGGGTACGTAAAATCGCCCGCGGCTATTTATGTACGAAAACGTTACCTCATTGTCAAGGATGTAATAGAAGTATATTGTGATATGTTTGTGTCAAATATTATAGATAAATGAATAATAAACCTAAATCAATGGCTAAATATATCAATATAGGCCAGAAATTAACTTTAAACAGCAGTGTCTGCAAGCAAGATTTGCTATATAAACAGCAGCCATTTGTAAAATAGAGTGACTTCCGCCTGAATCTTGCGCTTTAAGTCTATAAAAATAAAACTTTAACAAGATGGCTGCTATAATAAATGAGCATGGTTGCATCTGTTGGAAACATCGCTAGTCTTCATTTATTACTGAAAAGTTTTAATTCAATTGTTTAAAACAGGTACATAAATGAAACAAGGAAACATTTTTGTATTTTTAAAACATAAATCCTCCTCAAAATGTGAAATAATTATTAAAATGTAAGGAGTCACCTGTTTTTCACATTAATAGTCGCGGGCGATTTTACGTACCCAAAACGATAGATTACCTTCTACACTACTTGTCTTAATAGTTAATACTTATTAAAGTTAACTTAAACTTCTAGTAAATTGGTATGCCTATCTTCTTTAGTAAACAAAAAAAAATTCTAGGTCTAGATCTCAAGATCTAAACTCTAAATACTAAATATTAAATATTATACTCACCCTGGAAGCTACAAATAAATAAAACTAAAATGATTTTCAATGAACCCGAAATTAATAGCGTCCTTAGAAACTTAAAACAGGGGAGTTTACTATAAATTTTGAATTTTTACAGTCCACGATACTCGATACCTACTGTTCAATTCTTCGATTCTTTTGTGCTACTACTAGAGATCTAATTTCCTAAATCTAGATCTAGCCTAAGCCCTAGATCTAGAATAAAACTATGTATAGGCCTACGTGCATGGGCGGATTAAGCTTGAGAGGGCCCCCGGCTGAAAATCTTTTGGACCCCTCTGTAAAAAAATTACTGTCATAATATCACTGTTACTTATTTAATTATATTTCTGAATCAGTATATAGACCTATGTACTATGTATAAATAAATATGTATTTTTAGAGCTGTCATCTAAAAACTGATGCTATGTTCAATCTGAGTTGGTTATTTCCCCCCACCCTCCCACACCTCACCTCCTAAAACGGGACTGGCCTTAATTGTGTAGAGCGACATTAATGTCACACCTAGGTATACGCTGGGTTCAGGGGCGGATTAAGCTTGGGCGGGGCCCCGGGCTGAAACTTTTTGGGGGCCCCTGATTATATATATATATATATATATATATATATATATATATATATATATATATATATATATCCTAATCAGCATACCATTCAAGATATTAATGGATTATTTATACCTTATAGGAATATTCGACCACGATATTTACAAAACTGCTAATTTAAAAAGCTGTCAATTGTGTTAAATGAGCGGTAAATTGGATACACACATCTAACCTTCTTCTTCTTCTCTTCTTCTTCGATCTTAATTTTAGTGTTGGAAGGGATCCCCTCCAATACAATTAAGTATACGTGTCAACTGGTTAGGCGCCATTGAGACCATTGACTCTGATTTCAGCTTGCTTTTCTTTTTACTTTCTCGTATATACGAAGTATAGAGAAAGTCTTGTAATCGTGCAAAAAAAATCAAGATTTTTACAAATCTCGACGTTTTACACCTCACTGATACGGAAAAACATAATTTTGCAATCTTGTCCTTATGTCTGTGTGTCTGTGTGTGTGTAAACACGATAACTTTAGTACCGTTACAGCTAGGTTGATGAAATTTTATATATACGTATTTTATCAAAATCGTAGATCCCTATCAACTTTTGAGCGATTTCCGACAACCAGAAGTGGTACTTTTTCTACTTTGAATTTTTCAAAAGCCTATAACTTGAGTACTATTTCAGATAGATAAATGAAATTTCACACGTAAGTAAAAGATCTTATTATCTAACTTCTATCAATTTTGGAGTAATTTCCGTTGACCGGAAGTAGTAATTAACGCTATTTCCGATTTCTCAAAAAAGGCATGTAAATTTATAAAGTACTAATACTATTCCGAACTATTATGCACATTTCATTTGGCGTTCACTTGGCGTGCAATCCTTTTTTCTACGAGATTTTATTCTATTTTAAAAACTTTAAATATTTAAAATGGAATTCCCATCCCCTGTTGTTTTATATAAGAATATTCGAGAAAGCTTAGGGGAGATCACTCCCGGTTTATTTTAATGTGTTTCCATAGCCTTTGCCCAACCAAGAACAAACTACAGCAGATGTTTGATTTTGGAGTTGTCTCTTCTAGAAGAGTGGCTATCCCCAGTTAACGAGCCTCATCTACCCGAGGATTTGAACTCGAGACATTTCAGTTAGGCATCCACGAGCTTTACCGACTCGACCACGCCGATCCCCTAACATCTAACCAATATGTACTCATTTTTATCATGATTAAATGTTGTCCCCACCCACTACCACGACACACACACACTAAAAAAACACAGGCGATATCCATCCGCTACGTCAGTAGCACTAAATATATGACTGTTTAGTTTAGGCTTGTAGAAGTTTCCGACCTCTGCCCCGCGATCTAGCCGGGTACCAGACGGTAAGACGATGTCCTGCGTCTGGTGGTGGGGGAAGTAAAGCCTGGATAGAGCCTACGGATGGATAAGCGACCATCATGTAGTGTTTCAAACCAACATCTCAGTGAGACTGATTCAGTTCACAATTTGCCATTTAGTTGGAGTTCTCTACGTCGAGACCTCCCTTGCTAATGAGAGTCAAACTCCTGAGCCTGTATATCCGTGTCACGATAGTTATTGAACTGTTTTTATATTGGGCATGAGAAAGCTGGAAATGCAGACTAACCTTGAACAAACGTACATATCCATGAGAATATTATAATGTCGTTACAGAGCAGACGATAAAGACTGGTGGCACTTGTTTGATTATAGACGCAAAAAGAAAACAAAGAATATCAAACCACATTATGTAGGAAATTATCAATAACATACAGGGGTTAAACTAGGCCCAACTAAAACAGTAAGCACGGTATTAGCGTAAAAAAAAAAAACCACACCTCCATCCTCTTAGGTGTCATTCATTTATGAGGCCCACAAAAAGTTGGATTTCCACTGGCGTCCATTTAAAGAACGTCATCCCTGGCCTGTAAACCCGATATTAACGTTCACTAAAAGTAAAGGCCTATAAATGTTTTTAAAAGTTTAAATCATACAATATTCACACCAGATGCATGTCATTTATGTAAGCCCTGCTAGGGGGGGGGACCTAAAATCTACCCTTCTAGGCTTATCTAACTAACTACCGTCCGGTCAGTGCAAGCCCGGCTAAACCCAGACTGGTTAATAACCTAACCTTAGTCTAAAGTAAAAACAAAAAAAACTTTAACGATATAATAAAATTTATTTAACAAAAAAATATGGAACCAAGCTTAAAAAAAACTAGAATTTAGGTAAAACAGAACACTGGAGACATACAAAACAGAAACAGAACTCAACGGAACAAAACACCCAATTTCGGACCACCGTCCAGGTCTATGACGAACACAAACACAAAATAAATACGGCTGGATGGTGTGAATTTGTTGTTCTTTACAATCGATGACCAGAGAGTCTTCCTGCTCTCTTCATCGCTGCTTTCCACACACCAAAAGACAGACTCGAACAAGCCGGACATCGACTTCCACACACCTCACACACTACACGTAAACAAATAATAATAATACACTCCAGCCGCTCACATTTATGTGTCAGAATTCGACCGCTGTTTTTGTTTTTAAATCTAAAATCAACCCAATTTATTGTGATAAGCAAACGCTTTCCGGGCGGGTATTTATACTAAAGTGTGTGCTCGAGTTTGATATTTTGATAAAAAATTGAAATAAAATCGTCATTCAAATATTAAAACATTGGGTTTTATAGTAAAAAAAAACCCAAAGATTTCACTTTAAAGGGAAATTTACTATGATTGAAAAAGGAAATAAGGGGGCCCTTAAAAATCGGGGGCCCCTGGCCACAGCCCCCTCAGCACCCCCCTTAATCCGCCCATGGCTGGGTAGGATAATGTACCTAAAGTGACCGGACAGTTGTGAATGAAGTTGAACCTTTCCCCCAACCCACCCCGAACTGATCTGTTTACATTTTGGAAAACGCGTAATGACGTACCAAAGTACCATGCCGCCAGAATCATAGCTTTTGAAACAGGTTGTAGTTGTAGACAAAATATTTTTGTAAAACGAATATTGTTAAGCTACTTTGTTACTTACTAAAGTAATTATTGATCTGTTTTGACTTTACAATTAAATTCGTTGAAAGAAATATTCAGTGTTTCTTCCAGACTTTTTTCTCCGGGGGGCACTTGAAATCTTCGGGGGGGGGGGGCGGTAAACTTTCTTCGGGGGGGCGGACACTATTAAAAGTATATATTTTCTATATAAAATATATATAAATTTCATTTCGTTCGGGGGGGGGGGCGTTAAAATTTTTTCGGGGGGGGGGGGGGGTGGGGGGGGTGGGGGGGGGGGGGGCGAAGCCCCCCCCGAAGAGATGCCTGGAAAAAACTCTGGAAATATTAATATTCTAGGAACCATTATGTCAAATTATTTATTTACAAGGATTTCAAAACAATCTGTGTTGCGTTCATTGTTTTTTGGTTGTATTGTTTGTATATTTTGTTTTTTGTTTGTTTGTTTAGAGTGATACATTGTAAAGTAATGTAAATCCAACAGGAACGAAGAAAGACTTGGGTTTATTTGGTTAATGCAATTTAAAAAATCATTTTAGAAAAGCTCTTCTACAGAATATCAAAGAAAACAAAGATTAATAATATATAAAATCCATCCTATTTTTTTACTTTCTCGTATATACGTAGTATCGAGAAAGTATTGTAATCGTGCAAAAAAAAAAATAGAGATTTTTATAAATCTCGACGTTTTACACCTCACGGATACGGAAAAACATAATTTTGCAATCTTGTCCTATGTCTGTGTGTCTGTGTGTGTGTCTGTGTGTGTGTGTGTGTGTGTGTGCGTGTGTGTGTGTGTGTGTGTGTGTGTGTGTGTGTGTGTGTGTGTGTGTGTGTGTGTGTGTGTAAACACGATAACTTGAGTCTATAGCCCGAGTTCCCATCCCCTGTTATTTTATATAAAAATATTCGAAAAAGTTTAGGGGAGATCACTCCCGGTTTATTATAAAGTCAAAATCACAACAAAGTATACTTTAGTTGTTTTTTTTTTAAATTAAGGTGGGTATTTTAATGTATATTCCATTTATATACGGGTTCTGTGAACTGATGTAGTTCGCCTCACCTGTCCCAATTTTTTAGGTTTGTGAAACTGTAGATCTCTTACTGTGTCCAGGTAAATAGAACATCCAGAACTAAATGTGATGCACAAACAATAGCAGCAGTTGTTATGAACATAGACGAATTAAACCTTTGACTTACTTAACAATTATATCGTTTTTAAACAAACAAAATTCAACTCATTAATTTTTAGTAGACGTACTTTATTCTTCATTACTTTTAACCAATTCAAATTTATTTGAATTAATTCAAACGCTTCACAAATGTGCGCGTGTTTTAGTAACGTCAACTATGACGTGTGTCCGTCTACAGTTCTAGTGGCGGATACTCGGTGATGTTCGTTGGGATAACCGAGCAGCGGTAATTCACTTCGCTGGCGCAGTTACTGCCTGATGTTGAGTAGCGTATGTGAAAAGTTTCTTGAAAGTTATAGTTTGTTTGCGAATGCGTAATACAGGTGCTTACATTCTCGATCAAGGGTATGGTATATGACAATCGGGTCATAGAAGTCACTCGCATTGAATGAAATATTGGGGGTCCACCACAACAGGCACAAATTTGTACGGACATTTGTCCCCGCCAGCCAAGTTGGGGACCAGCAATCTCACAGTTAGTTTGTCCGTATGTCATGTTTAGTGCGCTTTGCAAAGCATTACCAATAAAGACTTTCATGGTGTGAAGATTATATCCTGAAATAAAAGCAGTATCACAGCATAAGTTATGTCATTAGTGGGAAGAGATTTGCGAGAATAATTACATGCATTACAAATATAGAAAACACCTACGGTTAGTACAAGCTACATATTGTAAACATAAGACATTAATACTGTGGTAGATTAAATATAATAATGTAATCTTTTGAAGAAACTGCTGTGTAACGTATATTTTAATATTTTACTTTTCAGGTTGGAGGAGTAAAAATATATAAAGAAAAAAGGAAATCCAGATTCTTTTCTACTGTAGAAATAATTTCAAGTTCCAAAAAGGTCCCCAGTCCTTTTTTACTGTACATGCATTGGCATTCAGTGTGTGTATGTGTGTTCGTGGGGGGGGGGGGGTGGGGGGTCGAACAGAGCCCATATTTTGGTTTGCCACTCAGTTTTCCAGTGGCTATTTTGGCACCTGGGGTCTTTTAATTTTAATGTCCGGCGGTCGCGTAACCCGGTGCGCCCTGGGATACCCCGTGAGCTCCACAGCGCCTATATTCGTTTAATGAGCGCCATTCACTGAGGATACGGAGGGTTGCTAAAATCGATAACTAAATCGAATTAAAGGTGTCACCCAGTGCATCAGCAGTAGTAAGATTGGGTGCCTCGAGATAGCCAGCGGCTACCTGAGTGCAAGGAATCCGTTGGTTACGCGTCCTACAGGGGTACTACTAATTCAACGACCTAACTGTAACAGGGGCAGCTTTCGGCGCCCCTGGCTTACGGATGACACCAAGCACAGAAGCACCCCCTGGGTAGTATCCGGTTACCTACGGTAGTGTAACACGTCACTCCCGCGACACCCTTAGGTGATGACTAAAAGGTGTTCAACCTAACTATTACGGATAATGATTAACGTGCACTCAATGCTTTCATACAACACGCACCGTCTGCGTTGCTGCGATCTAGTCCCAAATACTAGTGTGATGAAACAATTTGTAAGGGTTTCATCAACGCGTTACCAATTGTTTATTTGTAGTCGTGTGACAGTAGCGTACGCAGGGGGGGAGCAGGGGGAGCGGCCGCTCCCCCTCTGGCCATTTTCAGCAAAGTGGCGCCTTTTTGGAAACTTTTTAAACTCAAAGTTTTAAACAATGATATTTGTTAAAAAAATATTTTTGGTCGGCACATCGATGTAAATCACAAGATTTCTTTTCATGCAGCAATTAAGCATTATTGTACTAGTCTAGTAGTGTCTACGTTTACAACACGTATTAACAGCTACATCAGCTTGCCATTCTAAAAATAACCATTACGATGCATTGCAATGTTTAAAAAACCTCTACGGTAGTACCACTTGGCAAGAGGGGTGTTAAGTTTAAGGCAATTGTATAATGTATTTGCTTACGAATAATTGAATTAGAAAATGTTATACATAAAACTTCACACATAATTACTTTATATATACAGTTTGAATCGTGTGATTAATTTTTTAAAAATTACAATACAGAAACAAATACAACTGATGTGGCACCTCTATTTAAATTTACTTATGAGCAAACTACGTAGTGGTGGGGAGATTTTGAGAAGGTCAACAATGTCATCACGATGAAGTAGTAGTATTATGACAGCTTGGGCGATAGTGATTATGATTACAAATTATATGAAACAATTACAACCCCCCCCCCCCCTCTTCCATGGACCCTTCTGTAAAAAAATATTGTCATAATACCACTGCTACTTATTTAAATCTATTTCTGTAATATATATTTGTGTAATATATATTTGTGTAATATATATGTATGTTTAGAACAGTCATCTAAAAACTGACGCTATGTTCACTCTGAGTTGGTGTAGAGCGACATTAATGTCACACCTAGGTATACGCTGGGTTGGATAATTGACCTAAAGTGAACGGACAGTGATGAATGAAGTTGACCCCCCCCCTCAACCCACCCTGAACTGATCTGTTAAGTACATGTAGAAAAACGCGTAATGATGTACCAACGTACCATGCCGCCAGAAAATTAGCTTTTAAACGTAAAACTCTGTGAATATTGTTTTTGCAATAACCAGTAAAAAGGTGTGTGATCAATACAGTGATCTAACTCATACCTATCACTATGTTAAAAAATGATCTTTAAAGTACACAAAGAAGCAGTAGTTAATTAAAAATATATGATCTGAACTAAAAGACCAATTTCTAGTTAAATGCAGGATGTTATTCCGAATGTTTTTCTATTATCTTCTTCTTCTTGTTTGGGGTTTAAAGTCCGCTTTCAAACTTACGATTATATGAAAAGCGTGGTTTTATACCAACTCTGAATTTAAAAACTGTTATTACGCTGTAATACTTTAGCATTTATGATGACGATATATTAAATTTTGATTATAGACAAAAATATTTTGTAAACACGAATAGTGTTAAGCAGTTTCATTATATACTAAAGTAATTATATAATTTGTTGTGACATTTATAATTAAATGTGTAGATATATACATATTTATAGTAAGAGAGTGATAATTTCCCCTATTTCACTTATCTTAATAATTTCCCAGGAATTATTATATAAGAAATTTTTTTTACAAGAATTACAAAACAGATTATGGTACGTTCATTGTTTTTGGTTGTAGTGTGTGAATATATTTATACTTCGCTATGATGTAAAATAAATTGAAAGTAGCACTCTGAAGAAATAAGAAAACACACACAATGTTAGTGGTCGGCGTGGTCGAGTCGGTAAAGCTCATGGTTGCTAAACCGAAAAGTCTCGAGTTCGAACCCTCGGGCAGATGAGGCTCGTTAGCTGGGGACAGCCACTCTTCTAGGAGAGACAACTCCAAAATTAAACAACTGCTGCCTTGTAGTTTGTTCTTGGTTGGACAAAGGCTATGGAAGCAAATCCAAAAAGAAAAGCAGGCTGAAATCGGAGTCAATGGCCTCAATGGCGCATAACCAGTTGACACGTAACGCTTAATTGTGTTGGAGGCGTGGTCGAGTCGGCAAAAAGCTCATGGTTGATAAATTCGAACAAAGTCTCCAGTTCAAACCCACTGGCAGATAAATCTCGATCCCCTTCAACACTAATAATTAAGAACGAAGAAGAAGAAAAAAGAAAAAGACACACAATGTAGGCCGACAAAACAAAAATTGTATCAATCTAAACAAAGTTTAAAAAGTTTCCAAAAAGGCGCCACTTTGCTGAAAATGGCCAGAGGGGGAGCGGCCGCTCCCCCTGCTCCCCCCCTGCGTACGCTACTGGCATCGGGGGTTTGTTCGCTTTCTGAATTATGTAATCATTTTCTAGCAACAAAAACTCATAATTTTCTCTTGATGTTTTAATAGTCTGTGAACAAAAATATTGTTCATTAAAATAATAAGTGGTTGCTTTGTGTGCAAATGCCCCACACATTGGACGCTTTAAAAAAAAAAGATTCATAAAAAGTTTAGACGAAAAATTGCTAGAAAACAAAATCGATAGCCAATCCTTTATTCAGCTCCCAAAAGCTAAATATTAGAAAAAAATCACACACATTTTTAAGTCGAAAAATAAGTTCTAAAAACATAAAAATAAAATGTACGTAATGTAAATTGTTTTTTTCTAAGCTATTTTTTATTAGTACGTTTAGCCATAGTAGGTTACTACAAATTACTTAAAAAAGATTATAAGAAGAATTCTTACCCTTCATGATACAAACAATTGGCCGATCAATGTGTACGTGCCGTTTACAAATTCTGAATAATCATTGCCTTCAAAGTTGCCTCTTATCTGGGTTTATCCCAGACAGTGGAGTATCCATTAGCACATATTTCAGAAGGTAACAGATCAGAGATATTAAATGGCATTGCATCTATAAAAAGTAGAGTATAAAGAAAGTTATGTATTTACAACTGGCAGTAAGCAAAAAGATGTATATTATAGAAAGGGAAGGAATAGCCATAGCCGTAACCGTAGCCGTAGCCGAAGCAGTAGCCGTAGCCGTAGCCGTAGACATAGACATAGACATAGACATAGACATAGACATAGACATAGACATAGACATAGACACAGACACAGACACAGACACAAACACAGACACAGACACAGACATAGACACAGACACAGACATTGACATTGACATTGACATTGACATTGACATTGACATAGATATATATATAAGTAAATATATATATGTATATATATATATATATATATATATATATATATATATATATATATATATATATATATATATATATATACATACATATATATATATATATATATATATATATATATATATATATATATATATATATATATATATATATTACCTGAGAGAACAATGAAATTCAGGAAAATCAAATTTAGGAACATTTTCATCATTTTGTCGTAGCTCTATGTCTATAGATGAACAGAAAAAAACCCAGTAAATCAGGTTTTAGTTCTCCAGTTAATTAAGAAGAAATGTAGGATAAAATGTTGGATTCATTGCAAAATTTAATTTTTTGTAAATACGTTGAAAAGTTCATAGATTCACTGATTAAATAAAATGTGTTGCATGTTGATTGGTTAAATGGTTGGATGGGTTTAATTTTGTTGGTCTCAAGGGTTGGATGCATTGGATCAATCAAAATTGCAAAATAAGTGGATTCACATAAAATACAAAGATTGTATAGGAAAATACGACAGTCAGTTTTGATTACTTTGGAAGTTTTCCCAGATATGCCGAGTTTTTATGACACCCCTAGGCGTTGTTCTACCACCACACAAAACTTTTTTCTTACATAGCCCAGGTCGAGGGCTTTGAGTCAAGCCGACAGTTTTCCCAAGCGGCCTAGTCATTTACAGGATTGCATGCAAAAAATTAGCCGAATGTACAGAACGGAAGCGCCCTAAAATCTTAATTGAAGTTACCCTCTGTTTTTCCCATAAAATACTAGGGTTATATAGAGAAATACGACTGGTCAGTTTTCACCACTTTACTAAGTTTTCCCAGATATGCCGAGTTCTTATGACACCCCTAGGCATTCTTCTACCACCTGACAAAATATCAAGGGGGGGGGGGGGGTAGATCGGCATTTTTTTTCGATATACAGCTCATATAAGGCGCCGGTTAGTAGAAGTCAGTTTTGACCCCCCTCTACGTTGACTTGTTGACCATCCGGCACCGGCCACCGTGTTCTTTCGCCCCAAATAAGGAGCGACTGCGTCGCTGGGAAGTGTTCGATTGGAACCCGACATCTTTGCTTTATATATATAGACTAGGCACACTGCCTAGCTTCGCATAAGTTTTCAAAAAGCATTTGACAATCTGAATGCTTAATTAATTAGTTATTGGCTGATATGGAGAGCTAAAGTTTAAACACTAATAATAATAATGTGAGAAATATTGCGGGAATCTTCGCAATTTATTACTTAAAAGGTAATTAGAACTACAAAGGTTACCTGAATAGTGAAACTCCTAAGTTATAATAAGTTGACTTTTACAGTTAATTACTACGATTTGTCAGGATACAAACTTTACATTATAAAACAAATCTTACTCAAATAAATGCTAAACTTCGTTATTTTCTGTTTGTGTTTAAAATATAATATAAAGTTATTAAAAAAAATATTTATTTTAAAAAGTTACCTCCCTTGTAAATTAACCGAATGACGTAGTCTTTGTTTCCTTTCTTTTCACTAAAAGTTGCTATGCCTATCTTTAAAAATACGTTACCTCGACATATTTAACGACCATAATGGTTTTTCCGATGGGAAAAAAGTTGTTTTTGTTACCCTCCATGGTCTGTCTACGACCTTGCGAAACATCAGGGGATCTTTTGTTATTCTTATTATATAGCTTACGTAAGGAGAATGTCCCTTTTAAGCCCTCGCCGTGCGAGCAGAGACTGACCGATAGTTTATCCATAAGGCAGATGTATTTACTCAGCTCTATGTAAAAAATGAGCAAGATGTACAGAGCCAAAGTTCCAAAACATTGTTTTGAAAATAGTCATCGTTTTTCACCAAATTAACAATGTTTATATAGTGAATTAGGACCGGCCAGTTCTTTAGCCATTCCGGAATTTTCCCGAAGATACCGCTTGATGTAAAGTGACCCCCGCGGGTATTTCTATGACCTCGGAAGTTATGATTGGGTTTGTACGTCCAGAGTTTTGTATTTATTTTTTTTTTACAAAAAAAACGGTACTGTGTTTATATCAGGAAATTTGGTCTCTGTAAAACATTGTTTCGGGTTTTTTCCCGAGGGTAGCACTATGTTTTTGCTGACCCCCAGAGGCCGATGTATATCTCCAAAAGTTTTCAAAGGGTTCTTACGTGGGAATTTGTTTTCTATAGCCTATATAGCTCATATTAGGAAAATTTCACTCGCTGTCACTTTTTAGCCCTCTCCGTTCGAGCAGAGGGTGACCAATAGTTTATACGAAAGGCCGATTCATTTTCCTAGGTTTATGTAAAAAATGAGCCAGATGTACAGGGCCAAAGTTCCAAAACACTCTTTTGAAAAGATTCATCGTCTTCAGAAAATTAAAAATGTTTATACAGGGAAAATTCGGACCGGTCAGTTCTAAAGGTCTCATAAACATCTAATAGTTTTTTTCCTACCCGAGGGTCGGTCTACGACCTCAGGAGTTATGAAGAAGTTCCTACGTGGGAATTTTTTTCGATATATAGCTCATAGAAGTCGCCGATCAGTCGAAGTAAGCTTTGAGCCCATGATCATGGACTTGTTGGCCAACCGGCTCCCGTGTTCTGTCGCCCCAAGGCAGGATCCTGCCAAATTTGAAGCGCCTGCGGCGCCGGGAAGTGCCCGATGGGGCACCCGACAACTTTATATATATATATATATATATATATATATATATATATATATATATATATATATATATATATATATATATATATATATATATATATATATATATATATATATATATAGATTATTAACTGTAAGGTATGGGGTCGTCCATAAATGACGTCACACGCCTATGGAGGGGGGGGGGGGGGAAGGGGGTTCAGACTGTTGTGACGATGTGTGACGAGGGGGAGGGGGAGGGGGGGAGGCAGTGTGACGTCACGTTTCTTAATTTCACGAATTGATTAACATACATTTTGTTAAGTTTTTAGAAAAATAAACTTACTAAATAATTTTCTTATATTGGTTGCGATACTTCTAACAAAATGTATACTATTGTGTAAGTTGTCAAAAGCTTGTGAAATATATCGGTGTTCTAATTAAATTGCCCTATTATTTGACGATGTATGTTGTGTAGTAGACTGCCGTATTTGGAAATTTGTCAATGGTGATGTTTGACTAAATGCTTGCTATTCTTTGAAACCCTGTTTCCCCAATATTTTATTTAAAACTATTTACAGAATTTATGTTCACACTTAGGGCGGCGACTCTTGCTCTTGATGACACGCATTGTCTCCCTTACATCATGGTGTTCATGGTGTACGATCAGCTCCAAGGTCGAGATCACGTGATTTTTGTAGGTGCGGCAAAAAATAAGCGTATGTGTGTAGGGTCAGCATGTGATGCGTGTTTTTCGATCAACCCAAATAGGCCTACACGTATCTCGCTGAATCAACTTTGTCTGTGTGAGGCTTTTCAGTTGAAAGGTAGATCTAATAATCTCATATATACTGCTTAAAAATCGACAGTTAATAATGGATAAAATTAAATGTTCCAATGTATTTTTGATGCCTACGTGCTGGCATATCCTAAAAAGAGTAAAAAGATTTCCCAAGAAGAAGTCGTTGAAAAGTGGACTCAACTAAAAAGCGATTCAGATCTGCACTTGAAAGCGGAGGTCCGGCTGCAGGAGCTAAAAGCATCTGCTGCCGCTAAAAATGGCTCAATTTTGACGTTTTGGGTCAAACATCTGTATCTACACCTAAAAATAAGAAAACACCCTATGATTTGGCAAAAGAAATACCTAATACTAATAAGTCACTGAAGTCAGACGAAAAAGTGAACGATGCTCATGAAGTCAGTGATTTCAAACCCTCTACCAGCAAACTATCAACATCTAAGCAGGCTACAGTCCAGATAAGCTTACAATCAGAGATTGAGATTCTGAATTCTGATCTAGTCGGCTTGTATGAGCGACAAACTCGCGGAATGTTAACGCAAAAACAGAACATGGAGCTTAAAGAAAAGAAACAGCTAAAATAAAAAAAGCTAAAGATGAAGATATCTGATCAAATAAGATCTCAGAAAGCTCGAAATGAAAAGAAAACGGAATGCTTTGTTTGAAGAGAATCCGGGGCTACTCGCCACTTTGAATGTTAGATCTTATTCTGGCAGGCCAAGGATTGAAGAAGATCAATCTTCTTTATTGGAAACTATCATAAACATTGCTATGCATGGATCAGTATCACACGAGAGGTGGCAGAACGAAATCTACAGGACTATTAAAACATTAGATCAGCAAACTGATCAGTTAAAACAAGATGGGTTTATAATTAGTAGAAGTGGGCTGTACCTTCGACTGTTGCCAAGACATACTTCTTCTCATGAAGGGCAACGACATGTATCGACAGTCGCAGTAAAACTGATAAGAGCGCAAAACGATTGCCATGCAAATCACATTGATCGCTTGTTTACAGCGGCAACACTGCATCACCTAGAAGAGTTAGCTTCCATGATTGGACCGAATGAGGTATGCTTTATAAGTCAAGATGACAAGGCCCGCGTTCCGCTTGGGTTGACAGCTCATGCACATGGAATATAGGGTGAGCTTGCCTGACCATGACTGGGTTGTGGCTGCTGGACATAAGCCGATCCCTTCAGTTTATGCCGGGATAAAAATTAAGCCAACGCTATGGGAAATCGAGAAGCTGTTGTATACTCCGGCCCAACATACATATCAATCAGATCTGGTAAACATTCCTCATCCACAGCACTTAGTCATGGACTTGTTTTTGAAAAATTAATTACTTTACATAAATTTGATGATATCACAAAGAGTGGTCTGGATCAAATTGTTAAACCAATATTAGTGTTGACGGTTGATGCTGGCCCAGACGAAAACCCTAGGTATCAAAAGGTCATCAAAGTTGCGGTACACCACTTTCTCAATCAGAACTATGATCGTTTGTTCATTGCTACTAATGCACCATGAAAAAGTGCATTTAATAGGGTTGAAAGAAAAATGGCGCCACTTAGCAATGAGCTCACAGGATTAGTTTTACCCCATGACTACTACGGCAGTCATTTGGATGAAAGAGGAGTCACTATAGACACAGATTTAGAGAAGAAAAATTTTCCATTTGCCGAAAACACTTTGGCAAAAATATGGTCACACATGACAGTGGATACATTTCCTACAGTGACAGAATACATAGATCTAGAAGAGTCTAAACTCCTTAAAACTTCTCTGCTCTCAAAGAATCTGCGTTGGCACGATATTCATGTGAGAACTAGTCATTATTTGACTCAGATCGTTAAATGCATGGATAGTAAATGTTGCTCAAAGCCAAAGCTTGTATTTCAGCTTAATAACTGATAGATTTTTTCCTCCACCTTTACCAGTCGCCCACACAAGCTGTGGACTGACAATACCTGAGCGTTCAACAGATGGCTCTTTACATAAATTTCCATCTCTTTTTGCTGCTCAGTATAAAAGTGGATGAAATCCTCCCCCGCTCTTCAAATCCTTATCACACAATTCCTTATGAGTTGTATTGTCCGTCTGTTCAATCCGTGATCAGCGACAGGGTTTGTAAAAAGTGTATCTCATACTTCTCTTCATTGGTTATGCTGCGCAATCATTCCTTAACTCACAAACAGGAATCATCAATTGTGCCATAACAGCGCATCAAGCCTCTGAGAGTTGCTGCACGTCGAAAACGTGAACTGATGGTTATAGTTGCCAATGAAATTAATGGCGAGAGTGTAGATTGGATAGAAGAGGAAGACCTTGATGTAAAGGGAATTCCCATTCCATACTGGGGAAAAATCAATTCCATCCCTGTGTTTTCAATGAAGGAACATTTTAATTCTCCACGGGAGAATGAATAAGCTTAAATATCACAACTTTTAATCGAGGATTGCGCATGTTAATACTGTTGTAAGTAGTTTTTTTAATACTTCGGTTAATGATCTTGCTAAGATTTAGAAATGTGAATGTATATAGATATGGTCGGTTAAGTTATAAGTATAACCCGTTACTGATATTATTATTTAATCCTTATTAATAAAAAATTCTATAAAATTTGCTTAGATTTAAGTGAGTGTGAGAGTATTTCTTGTCCTATTTCAACATCCTCTCCGCTAACAGCAAAACAGGCAGTTTAATAATCTAGTGGAGAGTCTTTACTATTAAAAATCTATGACATTTATAATGCTTTGTGAGAGATAACATCAGTTAAATCCATCATATAGGCTACAATATAATATACCAGGAAAATTAAAGGTCTGGGCATAGTGCCAACAGGTTAAATCAGGGGTCGGCAACCTTTTGAGACCGAAGAGCCAAAAGTTACAATTTATAAAGTTTCCCAATTTTTAGAGAGCCACCAACATTTTTTTGTTCAATATTATGATCTTTATTTAGGATTTGGTATATATATGTATGTGTGTTTGTGTGTGCGTGTGTGTTTGTTTTATGGATTACTACACCTTTCACCCGATCGCCATGAAACTTTGGGAAGTTGTTAATAATACTCATGGAAAGGTTTCTGCGATAAAAGTTTTTCAAATTCGCAGGAGTGGCCTCCCGGCAGCACGCGATGCGATTCTTCTCTATATATTGTATATAAAAGTAAAGTCGATTGCGGTTTGACACCGTTCATCCGATCGTCATGAAACTTAAAAGAGTTGATTAAAACGCTCTAGTGGAGGTTTGATAAAAAAAATCATTTTACATTTCTTATGGGCGTGTGGTATATTTTTTGTCAATACACCTTTTGGCGCCCAGAGTTCCCGAGCGGCTATGTTAGTACTTGGCATCCGTTAATCGAACGTTCTGCATAGCGGGTAAGGGGTACTACTATATTCAGCGGCAAAACTGCAACAGGCGCAACCACCGGCGCCTCGTCGATTGCGCGACCCGAAGCGCCCGGGCTACCCTACGAGTTCTATGGTGCCTACATTTGATTTTAAAAATAGGCTATACACTATAGACACCTGTTGCTTTAGTAGCTCACTAAATCGAATCAGGCACGTCCTCCGGCTTCTCTGCAGGGTGCGATTTGGCGCCCAGGGCTATCCCGCGAGCACTAAGCGCCTACCTTAGTTTTAAAGAGCACCCTTCAATACGACATTCGATGATTGAACCGAGCTAAGGGCCGTACGCAGCGCCCCTGCGGTAGTGTAATCATCACGAGAGCGCCACATTCCGTCCCCGACAATTAGGCGGTGAGTGATTAACTGAGATATTACGGTGAATGATTAACTTACACTCAAAGCTTTCATACAGCACGCCATGGTGGTAGGCGGAATTGTAGGTAACCAGTGCCCCGATAAATATGATCCAAACACAGGCATTGTTTACACTTAAATAACTCAGCTTTAGAAAACAAGGAAGTACATTGAAATAGGGAGTAACTAAATATTCTAATAGAATAGCGAGAGTTTATTGATTATATTTTTTATTATATCGTTCGTTAGCGAGTGTTGCAGACAAATACTTTTATGAGTTTTAAAAATAAAATAAAATAATATTAATAATTGTGCCTGAAAACACAGCAAATTTAAAACATAGGATAAATTGTAAATTAGGGGGTGGGGTGGGTTGGAGTGTAACGTCATTTTAAGGGGGTCTGACTTTTTGTGACGATGTATTACGTAGGGGGGGGGGGGGGTACAAAAATGGCCAAAAAAGCGTGACGTCATTTATTCAAGTCTCGAGTTCAAACCCACTGGCAGATAAATCTCGATCCCCTTCAACACTAATAATTAAGAACGAAGAAGAAGAAAGAAGATTTATTGACGACCCCTATGCATTGAGACAAAACATCGACTTACCTTGTCTACATGTAGAATAATGTTTGCTGCTCTCAGTGAAGCAATTTATACATTATAATAGCTCCGCCCTTTTAATGATTTCTTATAAGCCAAGGAGAACAGATAGCCAATGAAAATTATTTGCGCAGAGCGTTAATTTTATGTTAGTTCTATTGGTTAACTCACAAGAACTACTGTTTCATATAGCCTACTGTAATACTTTCCAATATTGAAATTTTAAAAATCTTGCGTCATGATAAAAGTGCCTATAGGTTAGGTTAGGATAGGTAATGTAATGTAATGTAATGTAATGTAATGTAATGTAATGTAATGTAATGTAATGTAATGTAATGTAATGTAATGTAATGTAATGTAATGTAATGTTATGTTATGTTATGTTATGTAATGTTATGTTATGTTATGTTATGTAATGTTATGTTATGTTATGTTATGTTATGTTATGTTATGTTATGTTATGTTATGTTATGTTATGTTATGTTATGTTATGTTATGTTATGTTATGTTATGTTATGTTATGTTATGTTATGTTATGTTATGTTATGTTATGTTATGTTATGTTATGTTATGTTATGTTATGTTATGTTATGTTATGTTATGTTATGTTATGTTATGTTATGTTATGTTACGTTATGTTACGCTACGCTACGTTACGCTACGTTACGTTACGTTACGTTATGTTACGCTACGCTACGTTACGCTACGTTACGTTACGTTACGTTATGTTACGCTACGCTACGTTACGCTACGTTACGTTACGTTACGTTATGTTACGCTACGCTACGTTACGCTACGTTACGTTACGTTACGTTACGTTACGCTACGCTACGTTACGCTACGTTACGTTACGTTACGTTACGTTACGCTACGCTACGTTACGTTACGCTACGCTACGTTACGCTACGTTACGTTACGTTACGTAACGTTACGCTACGCTACGTTACGACATGTTACGCTACGCTACGTTACGCTACGTTACGTTACGTTACGTTACGTTACGCTACGCTACGTTACGCTACGTTACGTTACGTTACGTTACGCTACGTTACGTTACGTTACGTTACGTTACGTTACGTTACGTTACGTTACGCTACGTTACGTTACGTTACGTTACGTTACGTTACGCTACGTTACGTTACGTTACGTTACGTTACGCTACGCTACGTTACGCTACGTTACGTTACGCTACGCTACGTTACGCTACGTTACGCTACGTTACGCTACGCTACGCTACGCTACGCTACGCTACGTTACGTTACGTTACGTTACGCTACGTTACGTTACGTTACGCTACGTTACGCTACGTTACGTTACGTTACGCTACGCTACGCTATGCTACGTTACGTTACGTTACGTTACGTTACGCTACGCTACGCTACGCTACGTTACGTTACGTTACGCTACGTTACGCTACGCTACGCTACGCTACGCTACGTTACGCTACGCTACGTTACGCTACGCTACGCTACGTTACGCTACGCTACGCTACGCTACGCTACGCTACGCTACGCTACGCTACGCTACGCTACGCTACGCTACGCTACGCTACGTTACGCTACGTTACGCTACGCTACGTTACGTTACGTTACGTTACGCTACGCTACGTTACGTTACGTTACGTTACGTTACGTTACGCTACGTTACGTTACGCTACGCTACGCTACGTTACGCTACGTTACGTTACGTTTCGTTACGTTACGCTACGTTACGTTACGCTACGTTACGTTTCGTTACGTTTCGTTACGTTACGTTACGCTACGCTACGCTACGTTACGTTACGTTACGTTACGTTACGTTACGCTACGCTACGTTACGTTACGTTACGTTACGTTACGTTACGTTACGTTACGTTACGCTACGTTACGCTACGTTACGTTACGTTACGTTACGTTACGTTACGTTACGTTACGTTACGTTACGTTACGTTACGTTACGTTACGTTACGTTACGTTACGTTACGTTACGTTACGTTACGTTACGTTACGTTACGTTACGTTACGTTACGTTACGTTACGTTACGTTACGTTACGTTACGTTACGTTACGTTACGTTACGTTACGTTACGTTACGTTACGTTACGTTACGTTACGTTACGTTACGCTACGTTACGCTACGTTACGTTACGTTACGTTACGTTACGTTACGTTACGCTACGTTACGTTACGTTACGTTACGTTACGTTACGTTACGTTACGTTACGTTACGTTACGTTACGTTACGCTACGTTACGTTACGTTACGTTACGTTACGTTACGTTACGTTACGTTACGTTACGTTACGTTACGTTACGTTACGTTACGTTACGTTACGCTACGCTACGTTACGTTACGTTACGTTACGTTACGTTACGTTACGTTACGTTACGTTACGTTACGTTACGTTACGTTACGTTACGTTACGTTACGCTACGTTACGCTACGCTACGCTACGTTACGTTACGTTACGTTACGCTACGCTACGCTACGCTACGCTACGTTACGTTACGTTACGCTACGCTACGCTACGTTACGTTACGTTACGTTACGTTACGTTACGCTACGTTACGCTACGTTACGTTACGTTACGTTACGTTACGTTACGTTACGTTACGTTACGTTACGTTACGTTACGTTACGTTACGTTACGTTACGTTACGTTACGTTACGTTACGTTACGTTACGTTACGCTACGTTACGTTACGCTACGTTACGTTACGCTACGTTACGTTACGCTACGTTATGCTACGCTATGCTATGCTACGCTACGCTACGTTACGCTATGCTACGCTATGCTATGCTACGCTACGCTATGCTATGCTACGCTATGCTATGCTATGCTAGGCTATGCTATGCTAGGCTAGGCTAGGCTAGGCTAGGCTAGGCTAGGCTAGGCTAGGCTAGGCTAGGTTAGGCTAGGCTAGGTTAGGCTAGGTTATGCTAGGTTAGGCTAGGCTAGGTTAGGCTAGGTTATGCTAGGTTAGGCTAGGTTTGGTTAGGTTAGGCTAGGTTAAGCTAGGTTTGGTTAGGTTAGGCTAGGTTAGGTTAGGTTAAGCTAGGTTAGGTTAGGTTAGGCTAGGTTAGGTTAGGTTAGGTTAGGTTAGGTTAGGTTAGGTTAGGTTAGGTTAGGTTAGGTTAGGTTAGGTTAGGTTAGGTTAGGTTAGGTTAGGTTAGGTTAGGTTAGGTTAGGTTAGGTTAGGTTAGGTTAGGTTAGGTTAGTTAGGTTATGTTCGGTTCGGTTCGGTTAGGATAGGATGGATATATTGACCGCAACGTTAGCCGCGAGATATACTTACGCCTTAGTGTTTAAGTGTGTTGGGGGCTTATATTGCCTGAAACCCTAAAACAGCTGTGCAAGTTTGTAACATTAGACCGGTGATGTCTACAACATTTAAAATACTATTGTCATAAAGCTATCATTGTATGTTCATATATTAATACTAATAGTTTCGCTGTCTGTCTATCTATCTTTGTATCTGACAAGAACGCTCTAGAGAAAACACAAGCAAATTAAAAACATGCATAGTAATTCGAAAAACGAAGTATGACGTCGTCACATTTAGCATAGAGTAGAAAATAATCTCAAGCCGGAGAGTGCACACAGTAATATGACGTCATTGATTCTCGAGTAAACATTGAATAAAAAGGAAATTTTGTCTAATCTAAATGGTTTGCTGTGAAGAGTTTCTTGCATACAATTCTTCGGGTAGGGGCGAAGCCCCATCCCCGCTTAAGAACGTCTGAGCCCCCGCTCCCCAACTCAAAAGAAATTTCTTCATCGATACTCTATAATAAAATTACCGCCTAATTAATGTGTCTAATCTAAAAAAGTGGTTTTCTTGCAATTTCTTTAATGCAATTCTTCGGGTAGTGGCTAAGCGCGACACCAGTGTTTCTTTCAGACTTTTTCCTCCCCGGAGAGGGGTGAGGGTACTTGAAATTTTCGGGGGCGGGGGTAGAATTTTCGGGTAGGGGGCGGACACTGGAAAAAGTATATAATTATATTTCGTTGAATGGGACGGTAGACATGTTTTTTTGGGGGGTGGGGGGTGGGTGGGGGGGGGGTTGTGTGTGTGTGTGGGGGGGGGGGGGTGGTTTTAGTTTAGAGAAAAGAGACAGCACTATCAGCTTAGCGCCCGTTGTATCCTTCCTCAACGGGCCATTTTTCTCGTTCATATTTATTTTCGCATGGCCTATAATTATAAACTGGAATTATCACATTTAAACGCACATGCAGTTAAACTACACATGCGATTTTACATGCTTCAAAACCGATTTTAAGCGAATGTGGCCAGTTGCCCAGATGAACTGCAGCTGAAGGTCACTGAACTCTTTTTAGACCAGTTCTTAGAAGGACGGTTGGGTTTTTATAAGTTTTTGCCCAAAGGAATAATTTCCTAATATTAAAACATTTGCATCGAGGTACCTTTAAAAATTTTCAACAACACACAGAAGAGATGCCTGAAAAAAAACTATGGCCCTCGAACTGATATTTGATAGTTAATGCGGCCCTCGGGCTGAAAAGTTTGGAGACCCCTGCTCTGTAGCAACTCCACGACTGATATTCTGAAAACCCCATTAAAAAAAACCCATAGTAATTTGTACTCATAATTTGCCAATATAATTTTTAAAGTTTAGGCCTAAGTATAATCGGCCAAGACTAGTAATGTGAAAAAAATGTGACTCATTAAATTTTAGTAATTATTTCACATTTTTTGGAGGGTTTATGTTTTGAAAGTTACAAAAATGTTTCAAAGTTTCATTTATGTACCTGTCATTAAAACTTTTCAGTAAAAAATAAAGACTAGCGATGCTTTCATAGATGCGACCAAGCTCATTTACGTTAAGTTAGGAAGCAGCCACCCTGTATAAGTTATTTTTGTAAAATTATACTTAAAGATTCAGGGGAAACAACTGTAACCTACAGATGGCCGCTGTTTAAAAATAACAAATATTGCTCACATACTGCTGTTTAAAGTTAATTTCGTTGATATATTTATAATTTAGCCATAGATTTTGGTTTATTATTCAGTTATCTATAATATTTGACACAAACATATCA